ACGACCTGCAATGAGCCGTTCCGCGGTCTCAGATCACGATTTTGAGGACATTGCCAGCAATCGCAACGAAGCATGGCTGAATATCCCTCTTGCAACGTCTACCGCATTCTTCGGTCTCAGCTGACTCGATCCGTACCTTCACATCTATTGAGACATTTTGAGTGCTGAGCTTCGTTTGTGGCAACAAAATGAGAGCTTCTGGGAAGATGTAGCTGTTCGCAGCTGTAGGGCTTCAGGAGCATGATCGACCATGTGCCACCACTCAAGTTGCCTGACTTCCTGGCTGGATCTTGTATCATCAAAGAGGCCGCAAAGATACAGCACTCACCAGCTCCCAAAGTTTGAATGAGCATCTTTGGCAGACTTTCCTCGTCCTACTGCCGAAGACTGCCGGTATTGTGTCGCTGCGTCACCCAGCACATCGTCCATGGCCAGATGAGCCATTTGTTGTACTGTTTCTCTCAAATCAAGATGCGGTGCTGTCAGAGTCTTCGTCAGTTGCAGCCCAACACTATTCACAGAGCTCCGTCAGTGTTTGAGTGGATACTTCAAGGATCCTGGCGGCCGGGCAGCGTCAAAGCGCAACAAGAGCAACTAGACTTGCCCGTTGCAAAGCTTTTCATCTGCGGACACCGTTACGTCGACCCATTATGTTGGTGAAGTATACATCTACATCACACACTGTGAGTCATGGTGTCCTGATGATGTCTTGCTATAAATCCCAGACATCCCTAGTGGCCTCTTTCCAGTAGCTTCCAAGACTACAACAATATCAAGTATGCGTCCTTCTCTCCTCTTTCTTCTGTCTGTGGTGGCTAGCCGTCCCATTCACGGCCCACAAGACTTGACACCTGGCACCGCGGTCTCTGGCCAAGTGATCACATCTCCAACCATTGCATCTGACGCGCTCGTCGACAACGTTCAAAGCAGGAATGACGCGAGTACCGCTGCCATTGCAAGCAGCGATCTGACTGACAACTCTATCAAGAAAACCAGAACCAAAACCAAGACCAAGACCAGGACCAAGACCACGAATATCCTGACATCCGGTGCAGCCAGTCAAGCCTCAACATGCCATCTACAGGCGGCTCTGACATTCTGCTTTGTGGCAGCTACTGTTCTGGCAGAGCTCTGACCGCCGTCAGAAGCGCGTGATGAGGCGTAAAAGGGTATTTAGTAATGAATATGTGTGTGCTTGATGCCTGGCCTGGCCATGCCTTGAATTGCCCCATCTGAACTTGACTCCATCAAACAAGGACGTCCTGCAATGGCATTCAGAGCTTGAGATTCAGACCAGCTATCCATGTGATTCCGTCCATTCCTCCAGCGCACAAAAGCAAGCATCCGCTTGTCTGCTATATCAGTTCTTCCTGAGACATATGCTTTTTGGACAACATTTGCTAGTTGCTGTCATCAGGCGTAGACAGCGTCCAGCTGCCTTCTTCATCCCATCATCCACAAGCTGTCGATACAACTTGCCGAGACAAAGCAAAGCTGAAGGTCTTCTCAGTAGAGAGCACGAGCTGTGGAATTGAGACGCTGTAGCTCTTGCTCTTTCAAGACCTAATACAAGCAATGGTGGCCGGACTCATCTACGCCGAAAGTTCTTGAGAAACGTATGCCAGGCTCTCCGCTTTCCATCATGCGTAGTGTTGTTGCTGTTCCATGATGAGGCTGTATATGAGGCTGTACGACTCCAATGCATGACACACCATGAGTCATTTTATGGTTGCCGAAATACGATCCCAAAACAACCCAGAGGTAGTCTCTACCCACCATCAACAAATTGAAACATGCAACCTGCCTTCCTTTTACTTCTATCGCTGGTCGCAGGTCTGTCTGTCCGCAGCCCTCAAGACCTGTCACCTTGCATCGCTAGATCTGGTCGGGCAACAACACCTGATGTTGCCTCTAGTTTAGTGATTGATGATAACCAGTATAGCAAAGATGCGAAAGATGCGGGTACCATTACCGCATGCAGCGCTCTGGTCGGCGGCTCTATCAAGAAAGGTGGGAGAGGATCAGGTGGGAGAGGATCACGCGGCAGAAGCCGTGGAAGAACCATAACCACCGCAAGTGGATCATCGGGCGAGACTAGCCAGGCCTCGACATACAATCCGCAGATGGCTGTATTGTTCTGCTTTCCGGCAGCTGCTCTTCTGGCAAGCTTCTGAAGATCTCCCATCCCACAAACAAGCACGAAACATAAAGGTGGCGAAGAGCGTCACTCCGGGGATTTCTCCTCCAGCTATCGCCATTACTTGCAAATGGATGCGCTGTATTGCGCACGAATGAGAGCCTGTAGTTTGTATCTTTGTATCAACACTGCACTTCCTCCTGCCGACCTCTGTCGCTGAAACAGCTCCAGGCACTGCTCCACCCTTCGCGCTCAGCAATCGCCAACAATGCGCGTTAGGAACTGATTTGTGAAACGCAGATGATAGCCATACCTGTGATCGTTTATTGCAGCATTCGCCACTTTGGTAAAGAGCGGTGATAGCACTCCAACAAGCTTGGTCTGGAATGATTCTGACGACATAGATCAAAAGTGATACCGCGGTTCTGGAACGTAAACGGGCCGGCTGATAACAGGTACACCATGCATAGCAACGGTTTGAGTCGAAGCGACGAGGTATCCGATCCACTGCTCTCTTGTGCTGCCAACGCGCCGCCTTTACGAAGCCGCCGACAAACTCCACCTGGCTTGTCCGGCCGCCACAAGAAGAGTGGCATCAGCAAATAAAGAAGGCTCGGCACGCCTGATGCGACACCAGCAGCGAAGACGAGGCTGCGAAGTGGTTGTGAGGTGAAGCCAGTCGAGATGTCATAGAAGGATGATCGCAGGCTATTGAGGATCGTTTTAGCGATAACTAGAATTGGTAGACCTGTCCATGCGCGAGAATGACTGTAGCTCAAAACAGGCAACGACTGTTGCAATAATCGTGTTGGGAGGTTGAGAGGTTGCTTGGCATTTCTGAAACCAACAAGACAATACTGCCGAGGATGAGCAAGATGAAATTGACGATGCTGAAGAAGAAGTAGCGAAACTCTTGCATCGCCTCAATGACCAGCATGATGCCTGCAGCCAGATTGTCCAGTATCAGGATGGCCACGAGGTCCTGTTCCTTTTGTGCAGGCTCGTGATGGAGCATTGTTCAATTGCAACCGCAGAAGAGAGCTACGCTGTGAAGCCCTTAAGCTCAACTTTAGGTGATCAAGCCGCCATGTAGCACTTCAAATTCGCTTGGCATCTCTGCATGATTGATCCATGCTTCCACGCCAGCAGCAAAGACCTGCGGGATCTGCAAATCCCACAGATGAACAGCTCGACGTATCACAAAGGCACAACAAGCTGGATTGTTCTGCACAAGGGCTTTCCCAGCTCGCAACGTGTTCTCCACATTATCCCGCCGAGCTCCTGCGACGATCGCGATGCGAACGTCTTTGATGGCGGCAATGTCTGCAAGCGTGAACGAGCAGGCAGCAGAGTATCCAATGGTAAGTAGAGACATCGATTGATTCCGCCTCATTTCCTCGCGGAGGCCAGGTAGACCTTTGATGCCAATTGGATACCAAAACATGGCATCGGTTGCCAAAGAAGCCATGACAATGCTAAGCCGGGCTAGAAATCGAGGGCGCGATGTGATGAATCGCCAAAGGCCACTGAAAGGTGCACAACCTGTGCAAAAGACGCTTAGTATAAGGTCGGGACGTTGTTTAGCGAGATTCAGTGCTACGAAACCACCGAAAGAGACGCCAACAATGTGCGCTTTGTTACCATGAGCTTGCGTGATAATTAAGCGAATGACTTCATCTACAGCAGTCTGGAGACTAAAGGAAATACCTCTGGAGCGCGAGTGTCCAGGAAGATCCACAAGAAGGAGGTCAAAGCTGGACAAGAAAGGCGTGACGAGAGAGAACTCAATATGTGAAGTTTCCAAGCCATGTAAAAAAATGACAGAACTTGTCTTGCTAGCTGATTCAGAGGACGGAAGACGCTTGTAGTAGATCTCATCTGCTGTTGAGTTACGTGTGGACATGCTGTAACATGAGGCATGAAGCTTGTGCTAGCTTGGCCATTCGTCAATGTCGTCGAGAAACTCGCGGCCAAATCACGACAGGGAGCAAATTGTGCTTGCCACATCTTCCTTCATGCGTCCATCAAAGCAGCGCAGGTTCTTGCTGGAGCCTTGTAGACATGAGAAGACAGCAGAAGGTTCTCCTGGTCCTTAATTGACAATCTACTATCTACATCTATATCTCTATCCAAGGTATGGTCCCAGCACAAGCTCGCTCTCTGTCCTGCTTGCTCCTTTTTTGCAACAAGCTTGGCCGGATGACATGCTACAGAGCTGCTGACGGTGGACTTCTTAGGCATCAGCTTCTCAATTCTGTCAAAGTATAGTGGTGCAGAAAATACGCCGATTCTACGGTGCATGAAGTCGACAGGCGAGACGATAGGATAGTCGCTGACCAGCCGTTCAAACACTACGATAAGGTTGGTCTCGCGTCAAGAATAACTTTCGTCAGCTCGCAACCTAGCCGCGGAGACTTCCTTGTCGATCTGCATCGGATGTCTCTCTTCGAAGTCGGCGACGAGTCCAGCAAGCTAAATTGCGCATATCGTGCTTTCAATGTGGCTTCCATTCCTTCCAGCTGTAGCTGGATTGATCTTGACATGCGACCCACCCTCGCTTTGCTCCATCTCACTTTGGCGTTTCTTGCTTTGATCATACAAGAAATTAGTGAGCCGTTCTTGCATATTGATCAAAACTGATACCGCGGTTCTGGAACGTAAACAGGCCGGCTGATGACAGGTCCACCATGCATAGCAAATGGTTTGAGTCTAAGCGAAGAAGTATCCGATCCACTGCTCTCTTGTGCTGCCAACACGCCGTCTTTGCGAAGCCGCCGACATTCGCCACCTGGCTTACCCGGCCGCCAAAAGAAGACTGGCATCAGCAAATAAATAAGGCTCAGCACGCCTGATGCGACACCAGCAGCAAAGACGAGGCTGCGAAGTGGTTGTGAGATGAAGCCGGTCGAGACGTCATAGAAGGATGAACGCAGGTTGTTGAGGATCGTGCAAGCGATAAGTAGAATTGGGAGACCTGTCCATGCGAGAGAATGACCGTAGCTCAAGACAGGGAAGGACTGTTGCAATAGTCGTGTTGAGAGGTTGACTGGCATTTCTGAAATCAACAAGACAATACTGCCGAGGATGAGCAAGATGAGATTGACAATGCTGAAGAAGAAGTAACGAAACTCTTGCTTTGCTTCAATGACCAGCATGATGACAGCAGCCAGAATGTCCAGTGTCAAGATAGTCACACTGCATACGCGCAGGGCGTTGAGCGCAATGTAGGCGAGACCAGCTCCCATGACTGCCAAGAGCAAACAGGAGAAGAGCAGGTCTTTATCTCTTTGGAGAGCGAGAGCGAGAATGAGACTGAGAACGTGAGCGTCTGCGGCGATGGTGATGACGGTGCCGTTCAAACCGCTCGCGATGGGACCTTTTGCCTTTGTCCTTCTTTGCAGAGACAGCCGCTGCAGCTTCTTCTTTTCGCTGCTGCACTAAATACTCAAACATAGGATCTTCAGGATCAATGCCAGCTGTAAAGTCTTGTTCCTTTTGTGCAGGCTCGTTTTGCTCCTCAGACAAAGAAACAGCTGGCGGTGCAACATTCATCGCAGCTCGTGGATCTTGCTCCCAATCAGCCTGCGATCCTTCTCCCTTGGGCTGCTTGTAGTTACTGCAGTGATCCACACGTAGCGTTCGGCCAAGCACAGATGCGCCTGTCAAGTTGTCCACTGCCAACACAGTCGAACGTTGGTCTGCATACCGGAGAAAGGCAAAACCTTTGCTCTTGCCAGTCTGCTTGTCCCGTAGAAGATTCACATCGAGCGGCTCGCCGTACTGCGAAAAGATGCAGACGATATCGCCCTCTGTCAGCGTATAAGGCAAGCCGCCAATGTAAATATAAGCGCTGTCTTTGTAGTCATTGTGCCAGGACTCAGAATCCTTGGCAGTCAGTTGAGCATTATTGAGCTTCTCTATGCGATTCATGCGCTGCTTGCCAGGCCTCGTGCGCTAGCTGCACAGGCCCCGTTTCCGAGCTTTTCTTTGTCTCTTTGTGCAAGGATTGACCGTTGAAAGTGTCGTCGTCGGCCTCTTTCACCTCCATCGCATCGCAACGACTTCCTGAAAGGTTCCATGGCATGGCCAAGCCCGACCTGAGTCCCAGTCAGGTCCAGCAGGAGCTGCATGCATGCATCGACAACTTTGACGCACTACATGCCTTGCTACAGCGCATCACTCCGGCCTTCGTCGCGACAGATGCGCCGAAATGGCTGACTGATGCCGTTGCTCAGCTTGCACACAGGCTTGTTGAGACGGGAAAGACACATACACAGTGGGAGCAAGCAGTGCGCGCCATCTTTCGCTGTTTCCAGAGTATCTTGAGTGACCGCGATCCATCACCGACCAGCAGGCAGCGTATTGTGCTGCGTATTGCCAACATCCTCTTCAAGCTCTACTTTCGCCTCGACCAGATTCGGCTATGCGAGACAATCTCGCGCAATGTCGTCGCCTCGGGCGTCGTCTTTACGAACTACAGCCGTGCTGATCGTGTAGCTTATCGGTACTACCTAGGTCGGTACCATCTCTCACAGCAGCAGTTTCGTCGCAGTCGTGCGCACTTGGATTGGGCATTCAGGCACTGTAGTATGAAGCATGAGCATAATCGACGCCTTATCTTGGTGTACCTGACGGTTGCTTCTCTGCCTCTCGGTCTATTTCCTGGCGCTGCTTTGCTACAAGCATGCAGTCTTGAACCAGTCTTTGGTCCTCTTGTGCGTGCTCTCATCAAGGGAGACTATGGTGGCTTCCACCGTCATCTCCGAGAGCAGCAGCAAGTCTTTGATGGCTACGGCATCACGCTCTTCCTCGAGAGTCGCTGCGACATGGTTCTCTACCGTTCGCTGCTGAGACGCACCGTTCTCCTGACGCTGACGGGCACTACAGCACAAAAGACGCCGCATGTCCAGCTCGCGACGCTGCAACGCGCCATCCAGTTTGCTACAGCAGATGAGCTGCCCTGGGATCTGGATGATACGGAGCACTTGTGCGTGAGCTTAATCGACCTTGGCTTCGTCAAGGGATATGTCCATCATGAGCGCAAGCTGCTCGTCCTGGACAAGAAGACGCTCGGGTTCCCTCCGCTTGCTGCAGTGAGGCAGATTGAGCTTCCTGGTGACGACGACGAGCGGCAGTTTGGGGGATCATAGGCATAGACAAGAGACGACATACCCTCTATACTTGTAGTCAAGATGATTCTCATTGTAGGCGGTCCATCAGGCTGCGGCAAGTCAACAGTCGGCAGCTACATTGCAGACAAGCTCTCCCTGCCCTTTGTCGAGGCAGACACGCTCCATCCTGCTGCCAATGTCGCCAAGATGTCTGCTGGGATCCCGCTGCAAGACGCAGACAGACTTCCGTGGCTCTCTACGCTGCATCAGGTTGCAGTCCAGCATGCAGAGACAGATGGTGGATGCGTCATGACTTGCTCGGCGCTCAAACGCAGCTATCGTACCATCCTACAAGGAGACCGCGAGGATGTTTACTTTGTGTTTCTACAAGTCGACGAAGATGCACTGCTCAAACGGATGGAGACACGCTCAGGACACTTTATGAAGAAGGACATGCTTGCGAGTCAGCTACATGACCTGGAGATTCCTTCAAAAGAAGAGAGCAATTGCGTCGTCCTCGATGCATCCAAGAGTATCGCCGATACGCAGAAGCAGGTCCTCGACCACGCTCGTAGCATCCAGCACGCCTCTGCTTAGGTTGCTACTCCTTCTGCAGCGTCTGGGACAGCGTCTCTGCACTCTCAACAAATGCATCCAGCTGTCTCTCCAACGCGGCAAGATCTTGTCTTCGCTGCCTATTCTCCGTCATGAGTGCCTGTTTCTGCACGCCCAGTTCCTTCCGCTCTCCTTCCAATGCAGCACGCGTCTCTAGCTCGAATCGCAGCCTCGCCTCCATCACCTCTCTTGATTGTTGATCTAATTCTGCCAATGCCGGCTGAGCAGCAAACAAGATATCGTCCGACTGGCACTGAATCTCAGCATAGCTATGCGGCGCTTCTTTACACCGCGCAACAGCTTGCCTCAGGTGTCGTTGCTGGTAGTAGAGACCTTGCAAGTCTAGCTGAAGCTGATCAAGCCGCGACTTGTGCGCCGCTGTCTGTTGCTTCATAGTGCGCGCATCGAGGTGTGCTTGGCGATTACAGCGGCGTAGCAAGGTGAGAAGCACAGCAACCTTGGCATAGGCTTCCTCTTGACCATCTTGATCGATGCGGCGCGTACGGACTTGCTCTGCGAGTGTCTGCAAGGCTGCTGAGACATCGACCGCGTCTTCCATCTTGCTGGTCCCGGTTGCTGGCAACTTGCTGCGACGCTCTTGAGTTTTTTTGGCGCAAACAATTTTTTGGGTGCCAAGAGACTACAAGATTGAAGATGCAGCCGGCGAGTAAGAAGCAGCGGGTGATGCAGGCAGCGGATCAATCACAGCTACGGCCAGATCAGGTCAAGGCGACGAGCAACATTTTTGGGGAATTGAAAGAAGACGAGAGCGAAAGCGAAAGCGAGGAGGATGAGGAAGAGGAGGATGAGCAGGACAATCACGACGACGAAGAAGAGGAAGACGAAGACGAGGATGACGATCATGAGGGCGAGCCGAGCAAGAAGCGGAAGAAGAATGACCCAGAGGCCTTTGCAACAGCCATGCAAAAGATTCTCGGCGCAGGTCTCACTCAGCAAAACCGCAAGAACCCAATCCTTGCACGCTCCATTGAATCGAAGAAGCTGGATCTTGCTGCAGCGGATGCCAAGCTCGACATTAAAGCTCGCAAGCAAATTGCGCAGGAGCGGAAAGCTGCGCTCGATAAGAATCACAAGGAGCAGCCTAATGCCGCAGAAAGTGAACAAGCTGCTGCCCGAGTGATTGAAAAGGAACGCGCCTTGCGCAAGGTCGCCCAACGCGGTGTCGTACGCCTGTTCAATGCGATTCGCGTAGCGCAGAATGTCGATGCAGCAGCACCAGCGGCGACCGGAACGGCTGGTAGAAAACAACAAGAGCAGCAACAAGCGCTCAGCAAACAGAGCTTCCTATCACTCATCAAGGCTTCGGGTCCTCCAGCCGCGTCGCCTTGAGCTGTACCCACGCACGATACATTTTCTTGTTTTCCTTGCGATTGACAAGGAGACGCCGGTCGACTGTGTTTTGGAAGATGGAGAAGCCACTTGCCTCACTAAACAGCTGCTGCATCTCATCGGTGGTGAAGTAGTAGACACGCGTGCCATCGCCACGAATGTAGAAGTGGTCTTCGAGGAGGCGTTCGCGCTTGATGCGCAGCTGTGTCAGATCGTAGCGTCCATAGTCACGCAGAAGTACTGTACCGCCTGGTTTGAGGAGTAGCTGTAAGTTCTTGAGGCATATTGGCCATTGCTTTGGCGAGAGTGCTGAGAAGCTAAAGATGAGAACGCAAACATCGACAGAGCCTGGTTGTATTGTGCTCGGCAAGCCAGCTGGGTCGGCCATGTCCCACACACAGGCATCTACTTGCGCGGTCATTTCGGGGTGACGTTTGACAATCTCAATGGCCTCTGCTGAAAAGTCAAGGGCGTGAATCCTGAGTTGGGGATTCTCGTTGATGCGCAAAAGAGGAAAGAGTGTATTGCCCACAGCACAGCCGATATCGGCAATAACGAGCGGTCCAGCGTCTGCTTCGGTGCAGGCAATGAGTTCTGGGAATTCCAGCTGGATCCACTTGCGGTCCTTGAAGAATTGCTCATCATGTTGCTTATAGAAAGTATCCCAGTGACTTGCAGCCTTGTCGTCATTGTATAAGAGCGGATCAGAGACTGGATGAGCCTGCTGGAAGGCAACTTGCGCTTCTGCATGAGCTAGGTGAGCTTCATCCCACTCAACGTGGTCCCAAGCATTGTGCTCTAGTACTTTGGATGCATCAGTCAGCAGTCTCGTTCCGAATGTACCTAGCATATAGCAGGCAGCAGTAAAGTCTAAGCGAAGCTAAGCAGTGGAAGCAGCAGCAGTTATAGTGGTAGCGATAGCAGCAGTCGTAGTAGAAGCAAAACTGGATCTGGTTCCATCTCATCGGCATCTTCCATCCCCACACTCAGCAGAGGCGACTCCATAGACCAGACTTGACAACTCATTGCAAGAGGCCTGGTTCTATTACAGATTCAACAAGATGAAGACTGCTCCTACAAATCACTCAGAGTTCCAGCGAGACATCTATGGCGCATTTGCACCGCCATTGCAGCCAACCTGCCCCAATGCACTTGAGCAACACGCCCACAAGGTCCTCAAGGAACCAGCATGGCACTACATCAATGGGTCGGCTGCCCTGGGCCTTACTGCCAAGGCCAATAGAGAGGCATTTGATCGTTACCCTCTTGTTCCCCGTATGCTGAGAGACGTCACTACGCGATCAACGCGCGTAACGCTATTTGGCAAGACGTACGATTCGCCCATTCTCGCAGCACCTGTCGGCGTACAGCAGATTGCACATGCTGATGGAGAGATTGCAAGTGCGCGTGGTGCAGCTGCACAAAATGTCCCCTTCATCTGCTCAACGGCTTCCACACGAACATTGGAGGAAGTGGCTGATGCGTGCGGCACGAATGAGCACTGGTACCAGCTTTACTGGCCCAAATCCGATGAAGTCTGCATTTCTCTTCTCGAGCGAGCTCAAAAAGCTGGCTATACAACACTTGTTGTGACGCTCGATACGTTTGTGCTTGGTTGGCGATCTCGCGACTTGGACACAGCCTACCTCCCCTTCTTGTATGGTCTTGGCACACAGATTGGCCTCACTGACCCTGTCTTCAATGCCAAATTTGAGCAAGAACCAGCACCGGGTTTTGCAGACTTGAAGCTGTTGCTGAGTAAAGCTCGTGGACCTCTGCACCTCGCCAAGTTATTGTACTATGCCAAGACGATTCGCAAGGCGCGAGCATGGCTTGGAGAGATGAATTCAGAGACCTTCAAGTCGTGGGAGCAGCTCAAGTTGATTCGCGCGCACTGGCCGAGCAAGATTCTGCTCAAAGGCGTGCAGCATGTTGAAGACGCTGCGCTCGCCATCGAGTATGGCATGGATGGCTTGTGTGTCTCCAACCACGGTGGTAGACAAGTCTCTGGTGCGATCGCATCGCTTGATGCGCTCAACAACATATGTCAAGATAAACGCGTGCAGGAAGCTGTCAAGCAAGGCTTCACGCTGCTCTTTGACTCGGGCATCCGCACTGGCTCGGATATCTTGAAGGCACTGGCGATTGGTGCCCACGGCGTGCTCGTTGGACGACCGTACATCTATGGCTTGAGCCTGAATGGCCAAGCAGGCGTGGAGCACGTCTTTCAGTGTCTCAAGGCTGACCTGGAAATCAGCATGGTTTCTGCTGGTGTCAAGGAGCTCACGCGTGAGGAGCTTGACAAGGTCGTAGGCTGGTCAAAGCCTCAGCAAGCTGCACATCTTTAGTGGATTGGTAGGAGTGAATCTGCCGGAGTCTTTCATCTGAAGTCAAAGACATTGTGCCTATCTTCCTGCTTCATGAGTCTGGTCGCAACTCTCGCTACTCTCAAGTCTGGCACAGCAGCGAGCTTGTCTCGTCGTTGTAATGCCTGCCGCTTCGCCTCGGCACCTTGCTCGCACTTCACCATAGAGACTCTTGTGTATGCGCAGGGCAACAAAGCTTCCTGTCACCTATTGACGTTCCTTGACTTGATCTTCTGAACACATAGCTATGCGTGTCGACGGGAAGGTGCCCGTATGCCCTTGAGAGCGATTGTTTCCAGGATGCAACCTTCGTCAGTCAGCAAAGCACGGCAAGGCACAAATGATTCGCAAGGGACTACAAGTGCCTCACGATGGTGTCCTGCAGGCGTTGTGTGGAACATGCCAGCTGCGCGGTCAGATGATGAGGAAGTCATCAAGCAGGGGAGCAGTGGAGGCGGAGAAGAATGGTGTCTAGGGTGCTGGGCTATCCATGATCAGAGAAGTCATGTTGTTGTGTACCTGAATGCCTTCGCGCAGCAGGGCATTTTGCTCTGTCACAATCTCATTCTGTTGTCGCAAAGCAACGACGTAGCTTAACGGAGGCCTTGATGCTAGAGGAATGTGATGGCAAGGACGTGCGGCCTCTATCAACTCCTGTCCCAAGTCATACCAGTAATGGCGTTGTACGTTGCAAGCTGCTGTGTCGAAAAGCCGCTCCCCTCCTTCTCCTCATCCAACACCCCTTTATCACAACAATGAACAATCCGTACATCCTCGTTAACGCAGACTCATCTTACTCACCTTCTCAGACAAGAATTATTCGACCCAATGTGGCAGCGCATACTGCGCAGCTTGCGCGCGCTTGCATTCCCAATAGTCGCTGGCCTCGCACTTTACGTGGCAAGCTCTTACCTCGACAAGTAGTACGTGTGCCAGCGCAGCAAGACATGGCCTGTCGGAGGCATGCTGCGTTTAGCAGAGTCTCTTGCTGCCACTGGTACACGTAGTACTTCTCCAGGTAACAGCTTGCCACGTACAGTGCAAGACCAGCGATGATTGGGAACGTCAGCGCGGCTAGGCCGCGCCATATACCCCGCCACACCGGGTTGAGGTCTCCTTGGCTGAGAAGGTGAGTAAGATGAGTCTGCGATAACGAGGACGTACGGATTGTTCATTGTTGGGGGAAAAGGTGTTGAATGAGGAGGAGGAGGGAAGCGTTATCTCTCGCGAAGCTCGCTTCTGTCCTTCTTGCCGCCCAACCCTTGAAGTAAAAGAGGACCTGGCGCACGCCTTACCGGATTGACCGGATCATGCCGATGAGCAGGCCACGATCTCACAAGCCTGGCCCGAGCTGCAAAAGACAAACATACTTCATGCCATCTTGCAGCCATTTACGAAGCAGACGAGACTCGCCATCAAGGTCGCACCAGGAGTATGCAAGAGAATCAACGCGCGATACGTCGCGCCTACACTGAAAGTTTAATGCTTAGAGGTAGGCCTATCGAGAGAGGGATCTTACTCTGACGTTGTTTGTGCCCGCGGCTCTCTGCTGCAGGTTGCGTAGGAAGTCGTGGTAGACTGCCATGGGTGGTACACTGGTAGCCGAAAACATCGTAGTTTCATAAACTAAACCCTGACAACACACCACCTTTGACGCGCGTCTCCCCAACATCTGCCCAGAGTTATTCTGAACACCTTCCCACAATTCAATGGCTGTAACGTACGTCTTCGTTACCGCAGACTCATTTCACTCACCTACTTGGACAGAATCGAGTCGAACCAACGTGGAGGGGCATAATGCGCGGTTCAGGGGCGCTAGCATCCCTGACTATTGCTGGCATCGGAATCTACGTCGCTTGTGCGTTTCTGGAAAAGTGGAAAGTGTGCCAGCGGTAGCAAGATCTAGCCTGTTGGAGGCATGCTGTGGTTAGCAGAGTCTCTTGCTGCGCTGGCACACGTACTACTTGTCGAGGTACGCGCAGGCGACGTAGACACCGACGCCAGCGATAGTCATGGACGCGAGCGCCCCTAGTCCGTGCACAATGCTTCGCCACATAGGCTTAGCTCGATTCTGTCTGAGAAGGTGAGTCAAATGAGTCTGCGATAACGAGGACGTACGGTACAGCCATTGAGTTGAGGGAAGGTACGTTGGATGAGGAGAAGGAGGGGAGCGGGTGAGGGCTGCCTTATAAAGAGTGCCGCAAACGCAACGCATGAAAAACGAGACTGCGACAGAGGACGCATTGCTGCCGGAGGGTACAGTTAAGCAGAGAAAGACGCCATAAAGCTAGCAGATGTGTAGAGTCAGAAGCGCACCGCACGAAGTGACTGTACTGGCCATGTCTTACGCAGGGCGAGAACTTGTGCCACCGCTACAGAAACAAGCGCAGACAGCACCAGCCCTTGACACCGCAGCACAGCCAGAAAGGAGATAGGCGGGCGTGGATGCAGCAAGACGGGTACTGTCATTTGCGCAGTGCCTCGCTGAGTGTAGTCCGGCGCAAATGGGACAGGGTACTGCGTAGAGCCAAGGCAAGACGTGAAGATATGCGGATGACCTCAGGTACAGCACAAGACAGGCATTTGACTACGTGGTCTATGAGACCACTCACTCAGCCCAGCCCTTGCACTCTTAAGACTTGCTCGTCGTCGACTCGTCGTAGTACCGGGACAAACATTAAACATCAACATTTGTTCGTCATGTACACCGTCTGTGCATATCTGGGATGGTGGGCGTAACAGCGAGCCCGGATAATGCGATACCATGCTAAGAGAGCACTGAAGGCATTTCGCCAAGGTGTCATCTTTCCCGTGGCGAACCACAACCTTTATTTTGCGCGGCAAGGTCTTTAGCGACGAACGAGCTTGGGCTTGAGTAACGAGGGGAAATCGCGTCACTGGGAGGCATCTCTCATTCTTGAGAAGATCAACATACTTCAGATCTGCTGTCAAAGAGCTTCTTCCGAAGGAGCGCGCCGAAGTTCTCTCGATAAACGCTTCAAGATGCCCTCAGGAGCACAGAAAAGCAATGCCAATGACATTTGCCAGCATACTAAACAAAGCAACGTGTTTTGAGGACGTGCTCTAGCCGAGTCCAAGGACATGAGGAAATGTTACTGGGGTGAACCGCCCAGCTGCGTTTGATGAGCGAAGCGAATTCCATCAGTCATTGTGCCGTCACTTGGTCACGGCTGCTCACGAAGTGATCTGTGGCTTGATGCGTGATGTCTGTTCGCACGTACAGCTCGTGGATATCCACAACATCATCTATGACGTGTTATGAGTCATTGTTCAGCTGTGTGAGCCGAGTTGTTTATTTGAACAACCACACACGCTCTACTTCTACGCTTCGAACATCATTGGCGCAATCTACAGCCACTGCGCACGCTGCATAAGGTATTACTGTGAGCTGATTAGCTTCTCTTCCAGTGGTGCTACTCACAGGCTGTGCTTGGTAGTCCTTTCTAAACAACTGCGATTAGGCTGTAGCTGGCGCCACACATCGCCCTTTCCACGGCAGGACTCTGCCTCCAAAATTCTGTAGCAGTGCAGCATGAGTGCTCCAAATTCAGATGCCTTACAACCTGATCTCTCTTTGGCGTTATCTGCGCAATATCTGAGAGCTTGGCGCAAGTTTGTCGAGAGAATACCGCGTTATTCGCGGGAGCCCATCGCGGTCGATGCACTGCCGTTCGCGTCCTTTCAGCTTTCTACCCTGAGAGAGTATCTCAAACAAGTCCCAGGCACCAAGTTGGCATCGACGGTTCGAGAAATCAAGTTTGCTGATATTTTAAGCGAATTTCTCTTTCCACGGCATGAGCAATTTGCTGTAGACAAACAGCTACGAGCAAAAGTAAGAGAGACAACCTCAAATTGTATGCTAATGATAGCGCATCAATGAGATATATGCAAAGCGCCCGACCTTTGACGAGACTGAATTCACTGTTGGAGACCTAAAGGCGTTCTTCGGGCGCATCATGCCCGAGATACCGGCTGATCAGTTTGAATTCCTTTACGCTGGGCAAAATGTTTGGGTTCCTGATCATTTCACGATACTTTCTGTGTGGACGCACGCAAAATGCTATTCGGCACATGCCACTGAGTGGTGTGTTATTCTTGGTTTCGAATATGTGCCTTTGCGGATGGCCATCGACGCGGACCACTCTGAATATGTCAAACGCTGGACGCAGTACGATCTTTCTACCACTGACTCGAGTAACACAGACAAAAGCCTCGTGCCTGCAATCTCGAGCCGCCAGCTGTGCGATGGATCAGATTTGTCCTCATCGCAGATTTTCTTGTCACCACAACATGTCGTTGCCTGGCGTAAGTATGTTGCACGCGACCCACGTTTTGCGAAGGATCCTATCTCCTACAAGAACTTTGTTGAACGTGCTACTCTGACATTTATTGACTCCACGGGAGCACCGTACCAGTGCTCTGCGCAATCTCCTCTCCGACAATTTTGTGACGGAATCGAGTACACGAAGCTGATAGAGATGTTGTTGTTGCCAGACCTGGCGGCAAGTAGCAAGCAGCGGGCCAATGTAAGCCATCGAGCATCTTGGTAGATCCAGACTGACGCTTTGCAGGCAATCAATGAACTCTACGCTACTCGACCAGACTTTGATGAGACACAATTCTCGGTCGACGATCTTGTCACTGTGGTGATGCGTGCTGTGCCAGGACAATGTGTTGACGTTCTTCATCCAAGACACCTTCTACCCTTCCCAGGGCCGATGCCTCTTTCGATCGTGCAGCAGGGTCTCATGAAGGAGAATCGAACACGTGGATTCCTTGGTCGCTTCGCAAGTGTTGCGCTCGCACTCCGTATCAGGACAGCTCAGAGCCAAGCCGAGTACGAAAGGCCTGTGGCTGCGACTCAGGTGTTCAGCGACGGTGTGACCGAGCACGAACGAATACGCGAGAGTGTGGTGCAAGCCAAAGCATCTGGCCGCGGATCTGCAGTTGCAAGCGCTGCTGAGAAAGTTCAGCATGCCAAGTACTCTCTCTCACCACGCGATGGCAGAGATTTGAATGCGAAGATGCGCGAAGAGGACACTATTGTTGAGGATTTGATAGATCTCAGTTAAATTTCTTTGCTCTCTCACACTGAAGGTAAAATCATTTTGGAGTGCTTCTCATTCTCATCAGTCATCAGAAGAGTCTTTTCGCGCATGGTGCCAAGTTACTGTATCATGTCATTAAATACCAGCATGGCTTGAGGAGTGTGCGTGGGCATGGAAAATGCCGATGAGATGGATTTGGAACCAGTTTTGCTAATGCTACTGCTACTGCAAGTCTCTAGTTGCATCGCTTGATGCGCTCAACAACATATGTCAAGATACACGCGTGCAAGAAGCTGTCAAGCAAGGCTTTAAGCTGCTCTTTGGCTCGGGCATTCGTACCGGCTCAAATATCTTGAAGGCAATGGCAATTGGTGCTCACGGCGTGCTCGTTAGACGACCGTGCATCTATGGCTTGAGCCTGAATGGCCAAGCAGGCGTGGAGCACGTCTTTCAGTGTCTCAAGGCTGACCTGGAACTTAGCATGGTTTCTGCTGGTGCCAAGGAGCTCACGCGTGAGGAGCAAAATGCTCTGCTGCGCCAAGCAACGACGTAGCTGAAGGAAGACCGTGATGCTGGAGGAAAGTGGTGGCAGGGACGCACGGCCTACCAACTCCTCTCCCAAGTCAAAGCAGGGATGGCGTTGTACAATGCAAGCTACTATGCCGAGAAAAGTAGTACGTGCGCCAGTGCAGCAAGAGACTTTGCTCACCACAGTATGCCTGCCTCGAGCTATGTTCTCGCTTTACGCGAGCAAAATCATGTTCTGCGAGAGCAGAATGCTCTTCTGCTGCAAGGCATGCAGTTCTGCAAAAACATGACTTCTCTGATCATGAATAGTCCAGCACCCTAGAAACAATCATTCTTCTTCGCCTCCACTGCTCCCTGCTTGATAACTTCCTCCAACCCCGTAAGCATCCTCATCATCTGACTGCGCAGCTGATTTGATCCACACAACGCCTGCAGGGCATCATTGTGAGGCACTTGTGATTCCTTGCGAAGCATTTGTGCCTTGCCATGCTTTGCTGATTGACGGAGGAGAAGAATTGTTTCTAGTGTGCTGGCGTAGTAAGGGTCATGTTGCACAGCTGCATGCCTTGGAGCAGCAGGGCATTCTGCTGGGTCGAAATCTGATTCTGCTAGCGTAGAGCAAGGACATAGCTGGTCGGAGACATACTGTTGTTAGCAGAGTCTCTTCCAGTCATACCAGGGATGGCGTTGTACGTTGCAACCTGCTATCTCGAGAAGTAGTACGTGTGCCAGCGCAGCCAGAGACTCTGCTAACCACAGTATGCCTGCGTCCAGATACGTCCTCGCTTTACGCGAGCAAAATGCATTGCTGCGAGAAGGGTTTCACAACATGTCTATTTCTACCTAGAAGAACGAATCCTCTCCGCCTCCACTGCTCCCCCTTGATGACCTCCTCTATCCCAGCACGCATCCTCATCATCCGACTGCGCAGCTGGCATACTTCACACAAAGGCGGAGAAGGTTGTTTCTAGGTAGAAGTCACGTTGAGTATGCCTTCACGAAGCAGGGCATTCTGCTGTTTCAGAATTTGATTCTGCTCGCGTAAAGCGAGGACATAGCTGGTCGAAGGCATACTGTGGTTAGCAGAATCTTCCCCAGTCATACCAGGGATGGCGTTGTACGTCGCCTGCGCGTACTTGGAAAAGTGGTACGTGTGCCAGCGCAGCAAGAGACTCTGCCAACCACAGCATGTCTCCGATAGGCTATGTCTTGCTGCCGCTAGCACGCTTACAATTTCTCCAAAAATGCACAGGCGACGTAGATGGCTATTCCAGCAAAGACTGGGAAAGCGAGCTCACGAAGGGCGCGCGTGAAGTGCAGCAACAATGGCTCTGCCACTCGTGTCTGAGACGGTGAGTAAGACTGAAGGTGTTGTGCGGAGAGGGAGGCGACGGGAACGGCTGCCTTTTTTAAAAATGACGCAAGAAAGAGGCGACTCCAGCTACGATCGACGATCTCATGGAGCACAAACGAACGCACGACAATGTGGTGCAAGCGGAGGGCTGTTGGCAGTCGAGAACCTGTCAATTAAAACATCATTACTCTCTCATACTACTGTACATGAAGATAAGAATGAATTTGAATCTTCCTCTCCAGCTGCAATCCCCTGAACCGATTTGCGCCTTGTTTCAGCGTGATGCTGCCAAACGCAAGATCCACACAAAATACAGCAGGCACCCATTCACGTTGTTGTATAGAGCATCCCAAACTGTGTTGTCCAATCTTGTACTTTCCCAAAAACACCACAACAGCGCATGCCCGGTGGTGCACGTAGGGTATGCAGACTGCCACCATTCAAATTGCCACACATGGGGAGTTGTCGATGATTGGTAGTAATGGCGAGACCATCGACCCATGCGCCTGATCGAACGTGAAAGCCAGTGATAACCTCACCGGGCACAAATTCAAAGACATGCCGTGCGCCGCCGCGTTTGCCAAAGAGTTGGAGGGATGGACGTGAACCGGCCATGTGGCATTCCATCCCATCGAGACTCGCACCGGCGAAAATGACGATTTTGCTGACAGGTGCATCGAGGAGGACTTGACTGTCTTCGCCAGGGTAGTAGCCTAATGCGCTTGACTTGTAAATATCACCGATCCCGGCAATATGCTCAGGGTGCAGGGCAGCAGCGAGATCTTCAATCACTGTGTTATGGTTTGTGCGTGAAAAGAGGGAGATTTTGAGTTTACCAGGGGTTGCGTTGACGTGTTGTCGGCATTGCTCTTCAGACAGGATGAGCTGTTGTGTGCGTATGTGCTTGTTGTGCTTTGAATGCTCAAACAGCATTTGACCAGCTGGAAATTCGCCTCCTGCGTAAATTTCAATGAAGCGCAGACCATCTTGTGCTTCAACGTACAAGCCTGCAGGACACGGCATGGCTGTCATGTCTCCTTGTAGCGTATCATCCTCTGGTAGCTTGAAGGATGGATGAGTTGCGAATCTGAGTAAATCCAGTAGATGCCAGTGACACAAGCCATCGCCTACTTCTTGTTGTGCCAGGGCTGGTTCCATTGCTGTGATGGAACGATGGAGACGCGGGTAATCACGCAGCATGACACCGGACGCTTGATGCGGACAACCAAAGAGATGCCCACACTCATGCATCATGGCGCCAATGCCAACATTACACGCAGAGTAGTAACGCTTGCCTTCTGCATCGATACCACAATACCGCGTATCCACCTCGCGCGTATCCGTAAAACATCGCTCAATATCTTCAAGGCATGATGGCCACGCAAAGAGTGAATGACTGCCGAATATCGCGAGAGATACCTGGGGGGTGCCGCCACCGAGTGCCGCATGCCCCACAATCAGCTTTGTGGTGGTATCATAATGCGCATCAAGTATCAATGCTGCGATATACTCGCGAGGCCCGTTGGTGTCTGGATGTGCAGCGAGCGTTTGTAGGGCAATATCAAATAAACTGCCTGCAGCACCAGCTTCTTTATTTTGCTGTGCGCGTTGAGGGTCTCTGATTTCAGCGACGGTGTAATTACTGCGCAGGACGCGAACATGCGCAGTGTTTTGTACGGTTGAAGAGTGCCGCGACAGTGAGTCTTGTGTCACTGCCTCATCGAGTCCAAAAGTACGATGTCCAAAGCCTGCATTGAAGGACTCATTGGCTGTATAGGCAGACCACAAGTAGCCTGCAAGTCTGAGCTTCTTAATAGCCGTCTCGACCGTATTGGGTTCTCTCGGGTTCGGCACATCGTCATACAGCAGCGGTGAGTCTTTGCCTGCGATAATGACAAGCTTGAGGGGTGGTGTTGAGAGTGGTGCATAGCGGACGGGGTATTCGCTGCGATGTGACTCGTAGGCAAGATGGATGACATTGTCGCCTGATTGTAGTGGTATCAAGGCTTTGAATGTGCTTGAGACGATGGATACTTGCAGTGATGGACTGCCTTGAGGCGTGATGTGCAGTGTTCCTTGATTGACGCCATGGACTGAGCCATGGACGAGGAGCAAGCGTGTGTGGACAGTTGAGCCGGGAAAGAGTGAGGTTATTTGAGGCAGCATTGCGTCTAGAATGCTTGACGGAGCGTTCATTGAGTTTAGACTATATACAGAAGTGAAGCAGGAGTGTTTTAGAGAGTAACATGCAGCAGTAGACTAGAGTACTTACCCGTCCTGGTTGTTCTTGTCGCTGGTCAGATGGACAACAATTAGCAGTCATATAATTTTGTCTTGACACTGTTTTGACCAGCTGCATCTACTAAGATATCTATCATCGTCTTATTGACAGGAAAACACTTCTCTATCCACCCCCGCAGTCAAGCCATAGCATTTTGCCTGTTGGCAGTCACAGCAGTCAACAGAATTTTGCTGTCGTGTGCAGGGTTAGGCAGCACTCACCAGCAATCAGACAGAATGAGACTGAAGCAGTAGAGCAGCAGCGGAACAAGCTACGAAGACCATCGGCACCAGCAACCATGGTCAATATCCCCAAGACACGCAAGACCTACTGCAAGGGCAAGGACTGCCGCAAGCACACACAGCACAAGGTCACCCAGTACAAGAAGGGAAAGGACTCCCTCTTCGCTCAGGGAAAAAGACGTTACGACCGTAAGCAGTCCGGTTACGGTGGTCAGACCAAGCCTGTCTTCCACAAGAAGGCAAAGACCACCAAGAAGGTCGTGCTCAGGCTCGAGTGTGTCTCGTGCAAGTACAAGATGCAAATCTCCCTCAAGCGTTGCAAGCACTTTGAGCTCGGTGGTGACAAGAAGACAAAGGGACAAGCTCGTATGTTTATGATGTATGCTTGGAGGATGCTAACCTGGCAGTTACTTTCTAAGATGCTCTTATCTTGTGCGACAACAACGACCTCATATACATTGCATCAAACCTTCTACAACTTCCAAACAGATTGTGTGAGGTGCATCTGTGCCAAGAGTCCACCCACCTCGCCTTGTCCCCGCTCGGGTTTGTATCCAGCGATATGTGCCACGAATCCATCACTGCCGCAGACAATGACGTGTGTTGTATTCCCGTCTGCTGTCGGTTGCTTGAACCAACCTGATTTCAGTCCAAGTGCGTCCTGAAGGTGTTTTTGTGAGACGAAGCCTTCCGTGTCATCCTCCACATACCGAACTGTGACGTGTCCATTGCTCTGCTCAACAATCGCATCGAGTCTGTCCTGCAAGACACGCTCTTGACGACATCGACTCGCATACACGATTCCCACCCGTGGCATCGTGTCTGCCTGTTTCAGCAGCGCCTCTGCCAGTTGAATAGCAACCACGACGCCCGTACCACCCACCACACACATGACTTGTTGGATCCCTCTAGCTTGATAGTCAGGCATGATGTATGCCGATGGATGAGCCCGAAGTTGTAAGGTGCCACCCACGCGCTTTCCATGAATGAAGCGAGACATGTCGCCATCGTCATATCGCTTCACCAGAATACTGAGGATACCTTGCTCTGCGTCATGTGAAAGCACGGTATATGGACGTTGAATGTTGAGGGACGGATCACACACGCTGATACTCGCCACAGGACGCATCAAGTCTTTGGGCAGCGCAGCAGGATGCTTAAGGTGAAAGACGCTTTGCGTCGGACTCACCTGATCAATTGCAGTAATCTCAAACGGCACAAACGTCGTGTCATTGAGTGGCTGCACGTCAGAACCTTGCAAGACTTGCTGTTCCTGACGGTCGAGAAAGTCCAAGACGCCATAGATGAGGAGTCCAGCGCCTGCCAGTTTCAACAATACATTCAGTCTCGATGTTGTTGGCGTAGCTGTGCTGCTTGCTCGACGATATGGAGACGGGCCACTGGCAAACGCATACGCAGGCGCAAGGACACCCTGCTGCTTACCTAGTCTCAGACGATTCCGCGCCACCACGCGTGGAAGACTGCTACCTGATCGAGCGACAGGATGCACGAGTGACAGACACGCGTCTGCTAGTCTCTGCAAGAATGCAACGTGATGGAGTCGATAGGATGCTGAAAACGTACGATTGCCATGTTGTAGTAAATTCGCCGTCTCCCACGTTCTTGGCACGCTATGCGTCCATGTTGGTAGGACAGGGAGTCTTGTCTGATAGCGACGATATGCACTCGCATACCGAGCACCATGTCCAGGCTGCACTGCTTCATAGATCAGCGCATTCACGCGGCGTACAGGCGGCGTGATGCACTGTAGACGTTGTCGTTTCCTGTAGAGATGCGCGAATGTGGTCATGGTGCGGATGTGATGACATGCCTGCTGTGCATCTCTGTGTCTTCTCTGCAGCAACATCCCCAGTACTCTATCTACGAGTCTACGACGACTCTCTGTCTTTGCTCAGGAGATGGCTTTGGTCAGCAAGAGAAGTGGAGGGACGTCATTCAAGACTGCAACACCACAACCAAAGCTGGATAGTGCTGGAGGCTGTGTGGTTGAGGAGGAGAGATGCCAAGAGCGCTACGGAAGGCGCAGAAGCAGAAGCAAGAGCTGGAACTGCAGCAAGCTCCTGTCCCTGTGTCTGATGAAGGCAGCGACAAGGAAGAGGAAGACACGCGGTCGGCGCCTAATCCATTCGACTTGCTGAATGCTGCGGATGATCAAGACGAGGATGACGATGAAGAGGAAGAGGAAGAGCAAGCACAGCTGACTACACAAGACGAGGAGCTCGATGCAGATGAACAAGAAGATGTGGATGCTGCCATAGAGGCATCCCTGTCTCCCAGTAAGCCAAAGCGCAAGAAGAAGAAGAACAAGCAAAAGGCAAAGCAACCTGCGTCAGTCACAGAAGACGACTTTAAGGCAGCACTCCAAGCACATCAATCAGCTGTTGCTGGCACCACTGCCGACCCTACCCTGCCTGCACCCTTCCATCTCGCAAACTTATTGAGTATCGACGTCAAAATGCTCGACCCTGCAGCAGAGATGCGGCAATTCTTTGGCAGCAAAGTGGTTCACTCTGAGCAGCAAGAGCGACAAGCAACCCTCCGTCGCCAGCTCCCACGCGGTCTCAACATGCCTATGCAACGAGGCAGGAAAAGTGTCCTCGTACCCATCGATGACAACTGGCCCGCTCAAATACGCGGCGGCCTTGAAATGCTGTCCCTTGGTGAAGATGACGGCATCCGGCTCTTTCGCTTTCAACATCCAAAAGCCTATGCTGAGCAACAACTCAGATTTCTTGAAGCAGTAGGATCAGGTGATCCTCAGGTTCTCCTCAACCTACTTGGCTCTGCGCCATTCCACGTTGATACACTCCTGCAAGCCTCTGAGATCTTTCGACACCAGGGCAATCACGAAGAATCCGGGGAGATGCTGGCGCGTGCATTGTATGCATTTGATCGTGCCCTGCATCCACTCTTCAAAATCGCAACAGGTATGGTGAGACTGCCCTTTGAGATTCCAGAGAATCGCTCCTTCTACCTCTGCATCTACCGGTACATCCAGTCCTTGGGAAGACGTGGACTTTGGCAAACGGCATTTGAGTATAACAAGCTCTTGTATGCACTTGCACCGGAGGAAGACCCTTACGCGGCGTTGCTAAGTCTTGACTACTACGCACTCAAAGCGAAACGCTTCGATTATGTTACAAAACTCGCCGAAGCGCCATGGGAGGCGATTCTGGATGACAATACGAGTCATCCTGGCATGCTCTATTCTCGTGCTCTAAGCAAATGGCTCACTCGCCCTAAAAAGCCCGTGGATGCAGCATGGGAGGCGGAAGCGATGGCCTTGATGCAACAAGCAGCACAAGCCTATCCTGCCATTCCAGCTGCTCTGTTTGCCGCTGCAAGTGCACAAGGACCTGTGCAATGGCAACAAGTCTCTTGTACTCACATGCAAGCCATGCATCGTGACTTGTTTGTCTTTCGCCATAAAGACATTTATGGCATTCCGGAAAATCTGGCTTTTCTACGAACGGCCCTGCTTGAGCAGGATCCTCCGCTCGAGTCGACGCACAACGATGAGAGCGGTATGGCCTTGCATATCAGACGACACATCTTGTTGCTAGATGAGCGCAGTCTGCTGGGTTACCTACCACAAAGCAGAAGGTCCATCTTGTCATTCGACCCACTACGCCCAGCAGACTCGGCTCCGTGTTATTATGACGCATACATCAAGTTACTCGATGGTTCTACCAATGAAGAAGAGTGTGCCCGTGCTGGAGAAGAGTGGATCGGTGTCAATCTAGCCGGAATAAACTTTCCAGATCTGCGAAATCAGTTAGCTCGCGTGTTGCCCGCTGTTGGCGGCGGACATGGTGAATTGGCGGCAGTCGCTCAGGATGATGAATCAGAGGAGGAAGACGAAGAAGACGAAGAAGACGAAGAAGAAGAAGCAGACGAAGCAGTCCCCAGAATGCCCGGCGCTTGGTGAATCTACAGCTTTGCCCTACCCAGCCATGATTGTAGTACAGCATCTGTATCACGACCACACTCCATACCCACCTCCTCCTCGCCCTCTCCATCATGCGACCGTGTCTTTGGCAGACCCTTGTACCCGCCGACAGAGACAGGCACACCCGCATACTCAATCTCATCAAGAACGGGCGTCACACACGCATCCGTCCCATCATAAACCTTGCACCATTCTGCCGTTGTTTGTTCCTTGAATCGATTTGCATAAACCGCTCGCATGGCTGGCCAGTTGTCGCGGTCGAATCGATCCATGTCGACAATCTCCTTGCTCACACCAAGTTGCTCAATGAACAACTTGAAAAATTGAGGTTCTAAACACCCAACAGCCATGAACCCACCATCCTTTGTTGTATAGCAGCTGTAATAAGGACATCCACCATCAAGGATATTGTTGCCACGGGGTTCACCCCACATGGGTCCCTTTTGAGCATGCCGAACAAATGTTGCCAGGTACTGCACGCCATCCACCATATTCTGCTCAACAACAGTGCCGTTGCCGGTTGTATTGCGAGATTGTAGGGCAAGGAGGATTCCCACCACACAGCTGAGACCACCGCCTGCGAAATCAGCCACGAGATTACCAGGCGGCAAGGGCGGTTCAGGCATAGCAGGGCCTAGTGCAGAGAGTGCACCAGAGAGGGACAGGTAGTTGATGTCGTGACCTGCTGCTTTGCCCCACGTACCTGTCCTTCTGAATCCCGTCAACCTGGCATACACGAGTCTTGGGTTGAGCTTGCACAGAACCTCTGGACCAAGGCCAAGAGACTCCATAACACCAGGCCTGTATCCCTCAATCAAAATGTCCGCTTTAGAGACAAGCGCTTTGACGGTTGCCAAGTCTTGAGAGTCCTTCAAGTTGAGTGCAATGGAGCGCTTGCCGCGTGTCAGTGAGTCGCTGCTAGATGCACCTTTTCGGTCAATGCGCACGACATCAGCGCCGAAATCGGAGAGGACAAGGCCAGCAAAGGGAGCTGGTGCCAAGCCTGCCATTTCTACAACACGCAGACCGTGTAAAGGACCTTGAGCTGGGGACATACTGGCTTCAGTTTATCGTTATAGCACTATAGCACTTTCGAGTTGCGTCGCATCTGCGGCATCTGCCGAATCGCGGGGAGAATGAAACAGCGTGAGACGAAGTAGCCAGATGAGGACATGGCAGCTAGATAGACTGGGGTAGTTCGCAGCTGTAGCAGCGTAGTGGGATAGTAGCAGATCGTCAAATGACTGTTGCTTTGCAGCTGCAGCTCTTATGCTAGCCTATGGAGTGACTGGCTTGCCGATGTGACTGATGACCACGCTGTCCTATGCGACACAACCCTCCTGATAATGCCATGCTCGTGATATTAGCCTGCGTCAGCGGACAATAGGGTTGACATCAGGGACGGGCATGGCTGTCATTCTGCGTTCAGAATTGTTATAAGGAGTAGAGCTTCGTCTTTCACGGTCTATCTTCTGATCAGATCGCCCTGTCAATCTATTTGCCATTATGTTCACAGCACGGCTCATTGTCTCGACATATCTATGCCTCAGCATCAATATTTCACTGGAGGTCATCAATGTTGGTTCTGTCAAAGCTGCCGATACGAACACCGCGGCTTCATCAAGCTCTCAATCTCAAGTTGGACAAACAAACGACACTGAACCTTCTGGGTTTTGTAAGCTTATTTACACAAAGCTCAACCCAGACGTAATGCTTCATGGTGGCCGCTTTCGGCCCACATGTGAACTAACATGTGCTGACCATTTTGCTGACATGATGTGGAACTTGGCTTCCATCGTCCATCCTTGTCAACGCGTCACAATGTCTCCTTGGGATGTGATGCTTGTTCATCATCCTCAACCCAAAGGGCCAAAGTCTGAATCAGACTTTACAAGATGCACATCAGACTTTAGAGTATGCATAGACGACTGGTGTACGTGCTTGCCACCACTGGTAGCCTGCAGCTGCTCTGTGGAGGTGCTCCTGCATCGAGTCTCGATCAACAACGCAGGTGTGCCGCAAAGTCCAGGATATTGCGACTCCGAAGCTGTCATCAAACTGCTCACGCATTTGTTGTCAACACAAAGCAAGGGACCGTCTTTATCGACTGGTCCATCGAATGTGGCAGAACGTTTCTCTACACCGATCGACCTTCAATCTAACATCGCATGTGATACGATTGCAGATTATTCCACCAGCAGTAATGTGTACGCTTTGTACGAACAGCTGACAAAGTCTTTACCCGCTACAGAGTCGAACCGACCGCCATTGGAACCCGGCATCTGCACCTTGAAATATCAGTTGGGCGGGCAGTCTCGGCTGGCCGAGCAGTACAAGCCGACCTGGGGCTTCTTGACAGGCAACCTCATCAAATGTCACCCGCGCTCAGCAAACGATCCATCTCTCTCCAACATCAGAGATAATCTCAACGACATGCGGCGAGCAGTGGCCGAGTCGAGGCTTCCAAACGACTTTTGGAATCTTTGAACGCTGTGTCGACACCCCACCAGCTCGTCAATCCTACATTCAACGCCTCTAAAGTTTCATTAGATCCCGTGGTGACCAGCAGCCTGTAGTCAGATCATATGCGCATATGGCTCACATTTGCCATTCTCCCTGAGATTGACCAAGAAGCCTTCGCCAAAGTCAATGATGCAGAGCGCAATCTCTGCTACCGCTCGAATTGTAAGTACCTCCAGCCGTAGCTTGCGGAGTGACTGGCTTGCCGTTGTGACTGATGACCACGCTGTTCTATGCGACACAATTCTCCTGATAATGCCATGCTCGTGATATTAGCCTGCATCAGCGGACGATCGGGTTGACATCAGGGACGAGCCTGACTGTCATTCTGCGTTCAGAATCGTTATAAGAAGTAGCGCTTCGTCTTTCACCGTCCATCTTCTGATCAGAACGCCCTGTCCATTTATTTGCCACTATGTTCACAGCACGGCTCATTGTCACGACATATCTATGCCTCAGCATCAATATTTCACTGGAGATCATCAATGCTGGTTCAGTCAAAGCTGCCGATACAAACACTGCGGCTTCATCAAGCTCTCAATCTCAAGTTGGACAGACGAATGACACTGAACCTTCTGGATCTTGTAGCTTATTTACACAAAGCTCAACCCAGACGTAATGCTTGTTGATGGCCGCTTTCGGCCCACATGTGAACTAACATGTGCTGACCATTTTGCTGACATGATGTGGAACTTGGCTCCCCTCGTCCATCCTTGTCAGCGCATCACAATGTCTTCTTGGGATGTGATGCTTGTTCATCATCCTCAACCCAAAGGACCAGAGTCTGAAACAGACTTTACAAGATGCACATCAGACTTTAGAGTATGCACAAACGACTGGTGTACGTGCTTGCCACCACTGATATCTTGCAGCTGCTCTGTAGAGGTGCTCCTTCATCGAGTTTCGATCGACAACGCAGGTGTGCTTCAAAGTCCAGGATTTTGCGACTCCGAAGCTGTCATCAACCTCCTCACGCATTTCTTGTCAACACAAAGCAAGGGACCGTCTTCATCGACTGGTCCATCGAATGTGGCAGAACGTTTCTCTACACCGATCGACCTTCAATCTAACGTTGCATGTGATACAGTTGCAGATTTTACCACCAGCAATGTGTACGCTTTGTACGAACAGCTGACAAAGTCTTTACCCGCTACAGAGTCGAACCGACCGCCGTTGGAACCCGGCATTTGCACCTTGAAATATCAGTCGGGCGGGCAGTCTCGGCTGGCCGAGCAGTACGAGCCAACCTGGGGCTACTGGCCAGGCAACCTCATCAAATGCCACCCGGGCTCAGCAAACGATCAAGCTCTCTTCAACATCGAATTGAGACTGATGGCCATGAGGCAAGCAGTGGCCAAGTCCAAGTCCAGACCTTCAAATGAGCAATGGAACCTTTGAAACGCTGTGTCGAGGCCCATTCCAGCTCGTTAGTTTCTCGATTTAACGCCTCTGAAGTCCCATCTGATCCCGTGGTGACCAGCAGCCTGTAGTCAGATCATATGCGCATATGGCTCACATTTGCAATTCTCCCTGAGATTGACCAAGAAGCCTTCGCCAAAGTCAATGATGCAGAGCGTAATCTCTCCTGCCGCTCGAATTGTAAGTACTTCCAGCCGTTGCACTCCACATGGTAACATCCCCCTTGTAACTGGCACATCTGCACTTGACTGCCAATTACATATACAAACTGATGTCTCCCCTCTCCGTCTCATCGGACCCTTCAGCCTGCAGCCCCACCATTGCTGTTGAACGATGCGCAATTTTCAGCCCTCTGTCGCATCATGTTTGTGTCTTGCTGTTAGCATCTCGTTGAGAGAAGTCAGCCATGTCTTTGTTGCAGCTTCTGAGACGAACGCAGAAGCAGCTTCTAGCTCTCATCAGATAAAAGGCAAACCCAAGACGCCCGGCCCTGAGGACAGATTTTCTTGCAACCTCATCTACACAAATTTTACCCCAAATGTTCTCATTCAATCTGGCTATGAGGGTGGCTGTCGCGAGCTGTGTGCATATCACTTTGTGGAGATGATGTGGCATATGGCTTCCATTGTTGAGCCTTGTCAATACATCACAGAATCTACTTGGGACATCCTCTTCATTTACCATCTGCCAAAGGATGAGCTTGTTCCAGTGGCAGATTTTCATCTCTGCGAGCGCTTCTCATCTCTCACAAAGTGCTTGCGGCCATTGATAGCCTGCGACTGCCCTGGTGAGATGTTTCTTCATCGGGTGGTCAACAATACCGACCTCGTGCCTGGAAACCCTACAGCGTGTGAGTCTCGTCAAGTCATCAAGCGACTCATGACACTTGTCTCATCGCAAAGTGGGAGAAGGGCATCAGAAACAGGAGAATCAGATTTGCAGGTCAAGTTTTTGGATCCAGTGAATGTGGAATCTGCAGTCGATTGCAAAGTATACAAGTCTGAACGCGAGATATACGATGTGCGCAAACAATGGACAAAGAATCATTCTGCGTCTCATGATGCGATAACGTTTCTCAACTGTACTTTGAAGTTCCAGATGCCTCTCGCGTACATCCCAGGCGATCAAATCACATGTCATTCGGACTTGGATAACATGCTTGATGTCGAATATATCATGGGGTTCCTCGCTGACTTGCGGAGGCCACTAGAGCAATTTGCTCATTCCAGCTATGAGCACCTCAGATTTTGGTAATCAGCTTAGATATACAGATACACTTTAGCTGTAGTCAACTTTGCTAGATTGTGGGACGCTAGTTGGATTCATTCACAAACTGGAAGCAAGATCTCTGTATTTGGTAGTTGTATCGTGGCATTCAACATTCGAGTTGAGAAAGAACGCTTCATGGGTTGCGGAAGATATCACGAACACTTTCAACAACATCTGCTTCAGAATTTAGCTCTGCTTCGGGCGCATATGGACTACATACCACAGAGATCCAGTATGCAAAGAACAGAAGCCTGTGCTGCATTTCCGCAAACATGCTTTACGCTGACTTGTCGATGAGGGTTGCAAAGAAAAACCCAACTTGATTGCAATTCTCAGGGGTAGATGCGCAATATCGACCACCCCATCTCTACCGTCCAAATTGACAGTCTAAAAGATTTCCACTGAGGTTCTGCTTCATCGATTTTAATACCATCGTCGACCCCGAAACTCAGGGTGCTTTAGCTGCCTCCTACAAAGTCATCGAGCGGGTCATGCATATTGTCGCATCGCAAAGCCAAAGATTGGTCATCGAATGTGTACAAGAAGTTATTGATACGTGTCAGCTTGCAGTCTGCAGTTTCATGCAAAGGACACCTGGCAGATAATGGAAAGATACACGAATTGCATGAAAAGATGCGGTTGCAAAAGCATGACATCGAACATCGATGGGATTCATTAAAGCGTACCCTGGAGCTCAGAAAGCGGCAAGATTTTCCTCCGTAGGAAGGCCTTGCATGTTATCCTCGCGGTCTTCTGGAAACAAGCCTATCCTAAGCACATTGACAATATACAGAGAGACATTCGCCGGGCATCGCTTTGACAGCGGGCAGTTGCTCGTATGTGATAATACTTCAAGTGTTGTGGTACGTCTGATTCTAGCAAAGGATCATAAAGTATACGGCACAGATCGCAGCTTTTCGTGCATGTACTGTACTGTCTGACAGACTGACACTGTCTGTACTGTACATGCTGCGCAAAACAATGAAAATATTTCCTCGTCGTTGCGTCCCGCGAAATTTCAAAACAAAAACAAGCAACAACGCCAGCAACCACCACACCTACAATACGGCCCCATGTCAGGCTACCGTCCAGGCATGCCAAATGGCCGTAGAGACGTCGCAGACTCACTCGATGCAGCTCTTGACAAATTCTCCTTCACCAAGAACCAGCTATTTGACGATTCACCCAGCAAGTCGGAATTTGACCAATTCGGCGACTTCACGGGCACGCGCTCGCAGTTTGCATCGTCTGGTAATCCGCATTTGCAGCGGCAGCAGGAATTGCGGTTCAGTGGAACGCGTAGTGATAGTGGGTTGAGCTTGGAGCGCGGTATGGCGCAGGATCCTGCGTTTGATCAATCTGCCATGAGCCTCAAGTCGCGTGGGCCATCGCTCTCAACCTTGTCGAGTCTCTCTGCGCATGATTCACCGCGTAAAGCACATTCTGAGAGTGGATTCAGTATGCGGTCGCAAACCATTCATCACAACAACACACAAGCTCATCGCTTCACGCCGATGAGTGTGCGGAAAGTCACGGCCTTGGGTCCTCATGCCAGCGAGTCGGAGGCTTCTCCCTCTCGACGCTACAGAGACGCACAAACACCGTACTCGGCGCGTTTCCCGGCATCCACGCGTAAAGTCTCCCCAAAGACCTTCAAAACTGCTGCTTCCCTCTTTAAAGATCTTGGTTTGGCCGAATCGCCGCAGGTGGATGACAAGACGCAGCCTGGACAATCCTTCCGATTGCCACGCGACTTGCCGGACTTGTCGACATTGCTCACGTCTACACGCAAGCCAGAACACAAGACACTTGAAAGTATTCCCGTTTCTGAAGACAACCGCAAGCTGTTTGTTGCCTTGCAAGCGATGCAAGACCATGTCACCTCATTGGAACAACAACTCGGACACGCTCAAGCACAACTCAAATCTGCCAACGCACAGCAAAAGACGCATGCGGCGGCCTTGGCTGCGGAGCGTGAACGTGCCACATTTGCCGAAGCAGAACTGAAGGTTGCCTTGCAGGATAATAAACCCATCAAGCAGTCTGAAGACCTGCATCGTTCCCTTGAACAGCAAAATACGCGTCTTATGGGACAGTTGTCGGAGGCAAAAGGACAATTGCAGGTGTTGCAGGCACGCGTTGAGCAAGTCCTGGAGGAGTGTAAAGCGATTGAGGAGGAACGCGATGAAGCCATTTCACGGCTTGCGCAGGCACTTGAGAAGATTGACGCCTTGCAAAGTCAAGTGAAGCCAAATCAGTCAGCACCAGCACCAGCTAAACCTGCTCGGCCATCCGCTTCTGATCGCATCACGGAGCGGTTGCAGCAAGTCAAGCAGACTCGGCCTGTTGAGGAGTACACGGATGAAGCGATTGAAGTCAGCAAGAGCGTTTTGGACGAAGCTGAAGTGCGTGAATTAACGCAAGAGATTCACCAAGTGCGTCAAGAGCATCAGCAGAAGCAGCAGCGGCACGCACAAGGACAACAGCAGAAGAAGAAGTCGGCTGCCCGCCAAAAACTCAAGAAACGGGTGAAGCCTGTTCCTGTTGTGATTGTTGAGAGTGTCCTTGAGTCTGAGTCTGAGACTGAGGAGGAGATGCTCTCGGAGAGCGAGTCTGACTTGTCTGAGGCTGACTTGACCACAGACGAGGCCGAGTACCTCGACACGGAAGAGCCCACGCGCATTTTGCAGCGTAAAACGCGGTCTCGCACACAGCATGCACAAGGGAAGCAGAGCAAAGTATCAAGCAAGACAAAACAGGAAGAGGCAGCGGCCTTGCAAGCACAAGTCGAGCAAGTCATCAAGGATCTCTCACGTCACGACGCGGCACGTTGTACCATTTGCTCCAAGAAGCGTCAGGAGCAACAACCCTCAAAGAAGGAGTCAAAGACGCACATGCGTAGTGACGGCGATGCAACACTGCGACCCAGCCAGCCGCCCATGGAAGCACTATCGAGTGTCCTCGCTGCACTACAAGATGAATTCCGGCACTTGAAGCTAGAACATGCACGTCTCGCTGAACAATACAAGGACCTCAATCCTGAACTCGGCAAAAGGCAACGAAAGCAATTGGCTCAAGGACTACGAACATGTATCGAGCAGCTTGAAGCGAAAGCGGATCAGATATACAGTGTGTTTGATGTGGTTGAGGCAGCTGGACAGGGAGACTTGTTTATGAATGCCACTGGAGCCAGTCGGTCTGTGCCGCAGACTGCAACGACGACAGCTGCTGCTGCTCATGGAAGTGTTGGTCGTCCGCCATGGTTGACGACGTAATCGTTTCCTTTTGTCTTTCTCCATCCATCGTATCACGCTCGTTATTGTTGTACTTTTTGAGTATCCTCATCCTTGTCTCTTGTGCATGAGCCTCCTGATCAGAAACGAGAGATGAGCGCCTTCTTGCGCGTCACGGCCAAGTCGCGCTCGACCTTGTCGCAGCGTCGTCCATACAACGCGAGTGCAGCACGCGTGGCATCCTCCAGCGATGCTTGCAGCTTGCCCTCTGCAGAGACAAGCGGTCCATCGGGACGCTGCGCCGAGTCGCGCTTTGACTGCATCGCCTCCTTGAGTCGTGCACGCTGCTGCAAGTTGTCCTCTTTTCTCTGCAGCAGTGCTGAGACTGTCTCTGTGAAGCGACGACATGCTTCCTCTACAGGCACCTGGACTTGCTCGTGCAAGATCTTTTGCGCTTCTTCCAGCTGAGCGAGACGTAGAGAGAGTGCGCTGTCTACAGTATCCTCTTCCTGCTGCTGCATCTGAGCGAGCTTCGCATCGAGAATACGGTTGACGGCAGCAGAAGCTTCGAGACGGGCATGCTCCATGATCCTCGCAATCTGTGCGTCGATACCAGACATCGTGGAGTACAGTACAAGAGGAAGTCTGCTCTAGTGATGGAAGTGGTGAGAGGTCTATGAGAGGAGCTTCTTGACGACGCCATCCAAGTCCTCCACTTTACCAACATGCAGCACGGCGTCCTTGCCCACCGTCGCTTCTACCAGTTTCCGCGCGACCATGCTCGGACCAATACTCAGGAACCGCGTCACGTCGCGTTCTCGTAGGTACTCGACGCTCTCGTGCCACCGCACCGTCTCTGTGCACTGCCGCGCAATCGCTCGTTTAACAAACCCAGCATCGTCGTCCGGTAGAGCACGCGCAGTAACATTACTGACGAGTTTGATGAGGGGTGGCAGTTGCAGCGGCATGCCCTCCAAGATACCCAGCATCTGTTGTTGCGCAGACTGCATGATGGGTGTATGAAAGGGCGCAGACAACGGCAACTTGATGGCTCGTGGATCCCGCCCATCAAAGCGCTTGAGCGTATCAATGAACTGCCGCAGCAGTGTATCATGACCTGCAACAACGACTTGCGAGTCGCTGTTGTAGTTGGCAACACACAGCACCTCCGAGTCAAGCAGACCCTGCGCTTCTCTGAACCGTGCAAGCTGTTCCACCACAAAACGACTGCGTCCACGCTCAACCACCAGTGCAATCATACTGGAGGGCGCACTCGCCTGCGCTGCTGCCTCAGACATGGCCAGACCGCGTGCACGCACAAGTTTGATGGTTGCCGGAAGATCCATCATGCCGCTGATGGCGAGTGCCGTGAATTCACCTAGAGAATGGCCGAGTGTGTAGTCAAAGAGTGTGTGCACGGGTACTTTATAGTCCTCCATGAGCACTTCGAGAATCAAAGCCGACATAGCCAAGATGGCAGGTTGCGCATTCTCTGTCTTGTTGAGCTCCTTCGGTGAACCACTCGCAATCATCTCTGAGAGCTTGAATCCTAGCGCGTCATCCATCTCCTGCATCTTGTGGCGGGCACTGCTGAATTGATCTAGCCACGGTAGCGTCATGCCGACTTGCTGTGAGCCCTGTCCGGGGAAGAAGACTGCGCTCTTCTGTCGTGTTGCTGTTGGTGCTGTAGCTGTGGCTGTTGCATAGCATCGTCTGCATCTTCTCATCGCCTTCATGACGCTGCAGCTCTTCTATCGGCGTCTTTGGCTTTGTTGACTTGTTCTCGGTGTTGTGTTCCGACGACGACATCCATGCGACAAGTCTACTGTACATACAAGCACTACAATAGCCACAAGCACTACTATAGCTAGGCCTTGAAGATGTCTGTCGCTGCACTCACTGCTCAGCTAGTCGAGCTAGCTCAGGCGAGACCCTACGATGGACCAGCTCGTCTGCGCACACTAGGTGCATGCTTTCATCTCCTCGAGCACCTCACACAACCGCAAAACAAGTCTCATCTCCTCGCTGCTCTGCTTGAGTCCGATGCATTCTGGGACGGCGATCAGGATGCCTTTGCTATTGCATACGATGTCTGTGCAGCCTCGAGCTTGCTATCGCTCTATACAGCAGAGCAACTCGACTCTATAGTCAGACACCTCTGCAATGCACAAGCTGTCCCCGCATGGCGTAAAGCTGTCTTGCTCGCATCTATTCTATCAGCTGAGCTCAGAGACCATGATAAACCTCCTGCCATGTACGCGCTCTGGACAGGTCGATGCGCTGGTCCGTGTATTGCTGCTATGAACCAAGCACTGTCAGAGCCGGCCTCTTTGGCGCAGCATGCTGCTTGTCTCGTGGCATACTCATACATTGCCGATAAGCTCACTTCCTACCAACAGTCACGCCTGACAAGCTTGTCAAAGCTACGGCTGCTAGAGAGTCTGTTATTGAGCTCACTGGCATGGCGAGACCCAGCTTCGAGAGGTCGGAAAGAGGTTGGCCTCATGACACGGCTGCTTGCTCAAGTCATTGTACAGGATCCCTTCAGACACCAGGAGGATGCTTCTGCGTGCCTCTTACTCTATTCAAAGACCATCAGGACGATGCCATCCCTGGCGCAAAAGCAAGCCTTTCTCTGTGTTATCTTGTTGCAGCAGGCTGTCACCAGATCTTTTCTTCTCAGAGCGCCGCCTCTGGATGTATCTGTCAAGCACCGACAAGATGAAGCGCATGCAATCATGTGTATGCAATTACTACAAAATCTGCAAAGCATTCATCCAGACAATGCAGCATTTGAGCCCTGGCGTTTCATTTTTGGTGCTTCCCTCGACCTACTCTCGCAGGATCTAGCGAGCTTACAGCGATACCTTGGCATCATGTCTCCCGAAGAACGATGGCGCCTCCTCGTGCTCGAATCTGCAGCGCCGGACCTGCCAGCCACATCACCTTTTGTCTTGCAAGGCTTTACAGAAGCACTACAGGGGCTGTCGGAGCGGCCTGAGAATGATCTATTAGAACTCAGACATTCCGTTTGTCTGTCGCTAATATTATCACAAGCAGACCTGCTTCAGCCGCAAATTCAACCATACCTGCATCGCGTCTTTGCAGACTGGCAAGCCATGACGGAACGGCAAGTGAGGCTGATTCTACTATCGCTCTATCAGCTCTCCTTGCAACAACAACGGCGAAATGACGACTCGGTAGAGGCAGTTCAGGAAGAAGACCGGTTTGGAATCTTGCGTTTCATCAAGGAGAAGCAACAGACTGCAGACCACGCACAAAGGATAGTCTTGGTGTTATCCTATCTCGACATTCTTCCATTCATCCCAATCGACTATTTTGCTCGGCATTTGAGGAGTGCAGCGCAGCAGGTGGAGGAGGTGCAGGATGCAGCGTGTCGACAACGACTGGCAGAAGTATGCACGACCGAGATGGACAGTGAGCGTGCTATGGCCGTGACACGCTGGAGGCTGGGTCCTGAGGAGCGGTCGATGCTCTAGTCTCATCTACAGGATATATGTACATAGACTATGTCGAGCATTGACGACGAGCAAGTATCAACATCGTCGCCATCTGATCTCGAACCCTCCACAAAACGCGACGTCGTGCAGCGCAGACTACATCAAAGCAAGATAAGATGCCTGGGACGCGGTCGATGTCTGCGGAAGACTTGAGACGCCATGCAGACGGATTCGTTGACTTTATCAATGCATCTCCGACACACTATCATGCTGTTCGCCAATTGACGGCGGATTTAACAGCAGCGGGTTTCCAACGACTTTCAGAGTGTCGCGATTGGTCTACAAGCATCCGACAGGGCGGCAAGTACTATGTGACGCGCAACGGAACATCTGTCGTTGCATTTGTCGTTGGCGGCGCTTATACATTGCCAGGCCCGATCGCTATGGTTGCAACGCATGTTGACAACATCAAATGGACCGTCAAGCCAATCTCAAAGCAAGTCTCGCTTGGCTATGAGCTCCTCAAAGTCGCTCCATATGGTGTAGGCGGTGGTGCAGTGCCGCTGACTTGGTTTGATCGCGACCTAGGACTCGCAGGACGAGTCTTTGTCCGTTCAGCAGATGGTAAAGTGGTCTCCCGTCTGGTACGGTTGCCATTTGCCTTGGCCAAGATCCCGTCGCTTGCAGAACACTTTGGTGCTCCTGCTGATCCGCCATTCGATAAGGAAACGCAGATGATTCCAGTGATGGGCTTGTCAAATGATCCATACTTTGACGGCCAGGATCAGTGCGATACACCGCAGCTTCTGAAACCACAGCAAAATCACTCGACACGCCTGCTCAAAGTACTTGCACAAGAATTGAACATCTCTGCAGATGCTATTGTAGATTTTGACTTGGAGCTATTCGACCATCAGCCAGCAACACGCCTCGGCCTCGACGGAGAGCTCCTCAGCGTCCCGCGCTGCGACGACAAGCTGTGCACGTACGCCGCTCACTCTGCATTGCGGTCGCTATCTACAGAATGGATCGCGCAGAGTCCCCAGATCAGTATGGCAGCGACGTTTGACAATGAGGAAATTGGCTCAGAAACACGCTCAGGTGCAGCGTCCAACTTTGCAAAGCTCGTCATTCAGCGCATCCTCTCTGCACTGAGTCCTGGGTACTCGCCAGATGATCTCTTCGGTGCAACCATGGCACAGAGTTTCCTCGTCTCTGCAGATGTCGAGCACGCCGTCAATCCAAACTTTGCCGATGCATATGGCCTCAAGCCACGGCTGAGTACGGGCCCTGTCCTTTGCTTTGATGCGCAAGGCAATGTCACCACTACAGCCTTTGGATCCTCATTGATGCAAGACATCGCAGCACGCTGTGGTAGCACCCTCCAACTCTCGCAGATACGTAATGGGCAACCGTCAGGTGGGACCATTGGTCCTATGCTCTCTACGGCACTCGGCGTGCGTGCAGTTGATTTGGGCATCCCTCAGCTTGCCATGCATTCTATTCGAGCAACGACGGGTGCTGATGACCCTGGACTCGGTGTCTGCCTCTACCAAGGCTTTTTTGAGCATTTCGCAAGTGCATCGCGGAATCTGTTTGAAGAAGAGGACGAAAGCGACTAAATGACAAAAAGAGCTACCTAAATCGCATCATGTGATTGCGAATGTATTCCCCTACGAACTGCTTGGCGGCAACAGTCGCAGTGACCGAGACGGAGACAAAGTCGTCCCATGGTATCGCCAATGGCAGTGCGGCCACCCCTTTCGCCAGTGCTCCCTTCGTCGTTGGCCATAAGTATCTGATCCGTTCAAATTCGCCGTGATATTCCTGCATATTGTCCCACATGCCGCAATACTTGTGTCCCTTGGGTTCCTGCACACGTCCCCTGTAGATGTGTGAATTCGTTATGTCAGTAGCCGTCCATCTGGCATATGACAGTCGACGAAGGATGCTTTCTTTACTGCATGGATTCTGACCGTCAGGAAAGCCCGAGAACGAGGATGGGCGAGGAGGCTCCCTGTAAACTCGATTGATGGTCATCTTTGTCGTACAGATGCACTGAAGCGTGTTCGGCATCACGCGGGCCATGTTTTCCAGCTCAACGCTGGCACCCCAGTAGAGCACATCCCAATCTGCGTAGATGTTTGCCACAAAGCACGGATCTTGGAGCGTTCTGACGTGATACTGATGTCGGCGGATGTGATCACTGCAGACGGGCTTACAAACGTCAGCCCTGCCATCGTCTTCAAATGAATCATAATCATAATCATAATAATCATCATGAGTTCCTTTCTTAGCTTCATCTTGAGCTGTATCTTGAGTTGAATTCTGAGCTCCATCTTTGACATGCTTCGGATCTGGTATCATCTCAATAAACTGCAATTCAAAGTCGTACTTTTCGCAGAGCGACATGTTGGTGAGCTTGTCGGTGTAGCGGTTGCGGAATATTTCCGTGTCATACGGTATGACATTCATCCAAGCCGCCATCTTGAGCTGATCGACGATGCCAACTGGTGGGAACCCGGGAAAGAGGTACTTGAAGGGCCCAATGTTGAGGCCCCCGGCGCGGGCCACAATCCAATGTGCTGGGTTTCGTTGAAGGTTCCATATGGCCAACAGATGTCCGTAGACTCCTACTGGAACAAGTGGAGCTAGCTGCTCGGCCACAAAGTTGTTTACGACCTGTTGTGGGTCTGGTACTTGTGGTACTTGTGGTAGTCGTGGTAGTTGGGGGAACCAAACACGAATTTGGGGAATGATGTCTTCTGGATGCTGGAAGGGATGCTGAATATTTGCAAGGACATCCACTTCAGGAACGTGCTCTGGAGGAAGATTCACTTCTGGTGCGCGGACCACAGAGATCCAGGCCAGAATGAGCAGAGGCCAGTGCTGTAGTCTCGCAAACATGGGTTTGCGCTGACTTGTCGATTGGCGTTGCGAAAGACATCCAACTTGTTTGCAATTCTCAGGGGCAGCTGCGCAATTTCGAAAAACCCAAAAAGGGGGAAGAGGGGCATTTCTTAGATGATCGCTGCAGCCGCAGTGCAGCGCTCTTCATAAACAATCAAAATGGCTGTAGTCAAAAGTGCTTCCACTTGTCAGCAAGGGGGAAGTGCAGACAGATCTTGGCTTGCAGTCAAAAATATGCTTAACAAGCATTCTAGTCTAGCGGTAATCTTGCAGATAGTCGAGCTTGCAGGCATTGAATGGAACTCAGCGTGGCATCTGCTCCCAAATAAGACTCAAAAGCTCTTCAAGCAGTTGTGGGGATAAAGCTCTAATTTGCTCCAGTTCCTCGTCACCCAGAGGCGAGCATTTGAGTAGTTGCGAGTAAAATGTTTGAGCCGGTGACGTGGAGCCCTGAAGTTCCTCTGTAGACGATGCCAGAAGACGCCGTCCACCAGCCCTCCTCACAAGATCTCTGTAAGTGTTCATGATGAAATAAATAGTTGGGAATGCGAACGCGCAAGCAATCTCGGGTTTTGGGATGAAGTCTTTCAGTGAAAGGGAGGTAAGGTTGAATGCGATGACCACCCTTGGAGGTAAACCGTAGCGAACATTTTCTGTCGAATCGCATGCACTGAAGCGCCAGCCGTTTGCCGGTCTCGACCACAGTAGCCTGGGTGTGGCAATCCACGCATTGAGCGAAAGGCGCAAGCTCATCTTATACATGCTGCACTTCGTTTCCGCACTTGGTAGTTCAGTTGGCTGTTGCCACTTGTACCTTTCAAGGGGCCAAGCTGGCATTTGAGAGGGATGGGTGTGGTAAGTGCGCGCGATTGTCATCAGCGCTTCACAGTGGCATTCTTCATAATACTCTATGGCCTCTGGGACGCCATTGAAGATAATCGGAGTTTCGTTGAAGATCCCGAGAGAAACAAACTTGGGCATCCAGTACACAACCTCCCATGGGGTCTGAGAAGCTCTGCTTTGCCTGTGAATACAATATTCCGGCGTCCTCTTGACAGCCCAGATGTGCTCTTGAAGTCTTGTACGGCAAAAGGTCTGACACGAGTCCGGTGTTGGCGGCTTGAGAGTATCGAACAAGGTGATTTTGAAAGTAGGCGTCAAGCAAGGAGTACTTGAGTTCTTCATGAATGCGTATGGGTCGAACCCAAAGGAGGTGACCAGAGCAAAGCCATACAGTAAGATAAGCACTGAGCGGAGCATAGCAGAAAGACGGGCCTCTTGAGGGGACTTGAACATTGAGTAGCTGGGTCGGTGTCAAGTTCATTTGCTCGCGACTCAATTGCAAAGGGTTTTTCTAGCAGGCCCCTGGTTCCACCTCAGAAATGAGCGCAAACCTCCTGAATGTGTGGCACATGAGGTTGAGCATTCACAACGCTGGATGCCGTAGGCATTGGTGGATGACAAGGCAGGCAGACTGAAAGATGTTGGCAACATCTGCGGGAAGATAGACTGTGTGATGTACATATCGGCAGCTTAATGAGCCGGAAGCGATTGTGCTGTAAGTCATCTTGGGAAAAGGGGGCCACGGTCTTGTTGATGCACTCACAATAAATTGCTGCCAAGTGCTTTTCATGAAAGCAAAAGGAGATCATAGGCAACCTACTGCATATGTGTACAACACCGGACACATTGTTGCAAACTTCCCCTTTGCTTTCATGACACCATGATAGTGATCCCACTGGTTCACATAGACGTGAGCGACAGCCAAGGCAACAAAGTATACAGCTTGTGCAGAAGACCACAATCTTGTCAGGAACATCTACTGGCATGAGCAAAAATCGGAGAGCATGCTTCAGAGCTAGCGCTAGAGCACCTGGCACGACTGCCTGTCTATTATGCTCCGGACCCCTGCAGCTGCCCTGATGCGCTCATTTGTCTCGAAGTTCGAGACTCATGAAAAGCGACTGTTGGAGAACGTATAGCCGTCTAGCCAAGCTGACTACCTCCGCAAGGCACTATGTCAAGACAGGCTCGACTGGCTATTCTCCTTGGGTCAGGCATTGTGCCAGTTAAGACACGTGCTCCCAATTTTGTGTCGTTGATTGCAGACTTGAGTTGACAAGTGGCCCAAAGAGAAAGTGCCGCAGCAATGGCCGCCAACAAGAGAAGTAGCTCCAGCGTAGAGTGGTGCCTGGCAATCGGCACGGTCAAGAGGCTCAGCGGCAGGTAGGATATCCTGCAGGCAAGTCCATCTGTCTGTGGCGTCAACGGAGGATAGGTGTGTTCAGCGGACTGTTCAGGAGAGTCCTCTTATTCGACGGTCTCAAGCGGACGTAATCAGCGTCTCCTGTGTCTCTCACTAAGACTGGAGGACAGGTGCTCAGCTCATAAGCTCTAAGTTGGTGTCTGACCGGTCAAAGAGTGTGCTCAAAGACGCTTATTGTGTGCTTCAACGACTCGGGTGTCGTGGACTCCGCTCGACTGAGACGGGCATCTATTGAAACGCTTTGCAACACGCAGCAACCAGGATGGTGAATGGCGTGAACGGTGTTGCTGCATCCAAACCTGCTGTACAGCTAGAATCAACCAAGTCTCAACCGCTGGACCTGAATACGGTTGAGCGGCGGCATAGCTACACAAATGATGCGCCTGCGAGAGAGCGTCTCTTTGGCTTGCAGACTGCTCCTACATACCGTCCTACGCAGCAGGAATTCACCAATCCGCTCAAGTACATTGAAAAGATTGCACCGCATGCAAAGCAGTTTGGCATCGTCAAGATCATCCCGCCAGAAGGGTGGCAATCGACTTTTGCTGTAGATACAGAGGTATGCACTTCCTGCCTCAATAGCTGCCGCTAATAACAGACATTCCAGTTCCGCACGCGCAAGCAAGAGCTCAACTCGATGGAGGCAAAGTGCCGAGCAACGCTCAACTATGTTGATCAAATTTTCAAGTATCATACGCAACACGGTACGCCGATACGTGGTTTGCCAATGCTCGATGCGAAGCCGATGGATCTCTATCAGCTCAGAGAAGTCGTCGAGAAGCTCGGCGGCTACAAGCTCGTCAACAACAGCAACAAATCGCCGAATGTACAGAACTTGTGGGGTGAAGTCGGCAAGCATTTTGGCTTTGCGGATAACGCAACTATGTGTCTGTCCCTTGCGAGCAACTTCAAGATCGCATATCAACGCTACATCCTGCCTTACGAGACCTTTCTTCAACGCGAGAAGGGCAAGCTCTCAAACAACAGCACGCCCGTGAAGGATGGAAAGGACATCAAAGATGTCAAGATGGAAGAAGCTGCTTCGGCAAGCTCGCGAAGCGCATCACCCTCAAGACCGCCTACATCAGTTTGCCCTGCAACGCCACCCCGGCAGACATCCATTGCCGGGTCGGCTCCTCCATCTGCGCGCCCACCAAGTGCTTCAGAAGCAGAGAATACAGCCAGGACCACGCGCAACAAACTCAAGCGTGCAGCACAAAGCGACCAAGTCCCAAGTTCCCCCTCGAAAAAAGTTGCAACTGCAGGACAACGAGCGAAACCAGGCGAGAATTGCGAAACGTGCGGTAAAGGCGATGATGGCGTGCATATGCTTCTGTGTGATGGGTGTGAAGCTGGGTATCACATCTACTGTCTTGACCCACCCTTGCTTGCTGTGCCGAAAATTGACTGGTACTGCTCGCGCTGTCTTGTGGGCACGGGGGAATTTGGCTTCGAGGAAGGTGGTGTTTATTCACTTCATGAGTTTCAAACAAAGGCGAACGCCTGGAAGCAAAATTACTTCAAGTCACAAGATGCCAAGACGGAAGAGAGCGTATCCAGTGTCACTGAGCATGATGTTGAGAAGGAATTCTGGCGACTTGTGCAAGACGTCAATGAGACTGTTGAAGTGGAGTACGGTGCAGACATCCATTCTTCCACCCATGGCTCAGCATTCCCTACACTCGAGAAGGATCCAAGAGACCCGTATTCTGCCGATCCCTGGAACCTCAATATTCTCCCACTCCTCGAAGATTCGCTACTTCGCTACATCAAAACGGATATCAGTGGCATGACAGTACCTTGGTTGTATGTGGGCATGTGCTTTTCTACATTTTGCTGGCACAACGAGGATCACTACACATACTCTGTCAATTACCAGCACTTTGGTGAAGCCAAGACTTGGTACGGTATCCCTGGAGCGGATGCACAAAAATTTGAGGATGTGATGAAGCAGGAAGTGCCAGAGCTGTTTGAGCAGCAGCCTGATCTGTTGCTGCAGCTCGTGACCATCTTCTCCCCGGAGCGGCTCGTCAAGAAGGGTGTGCAAGTGTATGCCTGTGATCAGCATGCGAATGAGTTTGTCGTTACCTTTCCCCAGGCATATCACGCTGGCTTCAATCATGGCTTCAACCTCAATGAAGCCGTCAACTTTGCCATCCCAGATTGGGTCTCGGAAGGTCTGTCCAAGGCTTGTGTCGATAGATACCGCTTGTTTTCACGGCATCCCGTCTTTTCTCATGATGAGCTTCTCTTGACTGCTGCAGCACACGACAGCACTATCCGCACAGCGCTGTGGCTTGCTCCTGCCCTATCAGAAATGACGGCACGCGAGCTGGACCGCCGCAAGCAACTGCGAGCCATGTATCCAACCATCACTGAAGAGTTGTTTGAGGAGGACGTGCAAGAGGAAGACTATCAGTGTGGCATGTGCAAGACGTTTTGCTATCTCTCACAGATTCGCTGTCAATGTACCGATAAAGTTACTTGTACCGACCATTTGGAAGATTTGTGCGATTGCGATCCAAACACGCGGACTATCCGCCTACGGTACAGCGATGATGCTCTTCTCAAGTTGGAGCAAAAAGTGCTGGAAAAGAGCAAATTGCCCGGTCAATGGCGCGACAAGTTCTTCGCACTGCTCAAGGACGAGCCACGGCCACAATTAAAGACGTTGCGTGCGCTGCTTTCCGAAGGCGAGCGCATCTCTTATCCAATCTACGAGGTGCGTATGCTGAGACAATTTGTCATGAAGGCCAACGACTGGACAGAAGAGGCTAATGGACTCATCTCAAAACGCAGTATCAACACGAACCGCCGCAAGTCGGAGAAGGGTAAGAAGATGCAAGCTGCAGATCCTAAAACACTGCCTCGACAGCCTGAAGTCGTCGTCAAGATGATTGAAGATGGCAAGCGTCTAGCGTTTGACTCTCAAGAGATGGAACAGTTGCAAGCGAAAGAGGTGGCTATTCGCGCGTGGCGCGCTGAAGCCCGTTCTCTCATGGCGATGCCGCAGATCTCAATTGACAAGTGCGTCAGCATCATTGAAAGTGGGCAAGCACTCAATGTTGATTTGCCAGAGGTGCGGCAATTCGTCACCTATGTCAACCAACTCAGATGGCTCGAGCGTGCGCGACCTGCGTGGGAAACTCCGATACCCTTGCAGGATGTCATCGCCATGTGGGAAGAAGGTCAATCTTGTGGTGTGCCCACTGAAGCGCTCGAGATGCACCGCCTCAAGCAGCGCAGAGAGGAAGGCGAGGCGTGGGAGGAACGGGTTGCTCAAGTGCTTGCGCAGGAAAAGACGTCGCTTGAGACATTGACTGCTCTGGCAAAAGAAGCTTCTCTGCTTTGTGTTAAGCCAGAGACCGTGGCGACCATCAATGCCATCGTTGCGAAAACGCAGGATGTGCAGACACAAGTTGCTTCAATCATCGCTAGAACACAAGACCCTGATTGGCTGCAGCGGCCAACGGCCAACGAGTACAAGGAACTTATGGAAAAGTTGGATTCTCTGACTGTTCGCCCAGCCGACAGCGACAGATTGCCACAGCTCTATGGCAAAGTGAATGAATGGATTCGTCGGGGCAAGCGTCTCTTTGGCAAGGCGAACGCACCGCTCGATATATTTGGTCTCCATCTGGAGTACGTGTTGAGGCGCAACAATGCGTGTCTATCGCTCGAGGATGTGCCGCGTGATCCCGTGGAGCCCAGTTCCCGGGAAGCATCGCCAACTGGCAATTCGTCACAAGAGATGCCCAAGTCGGACATATTTTGCATGTGTCGACAACCGGAGTCTGGTTTGATGCTAGAATGCGACGTGTGTCATGAATGGTACCATGGCAAGTGCCTCAAAGTGGCCAAGAAGGATGTGAAGGGTGACAACAAGTACATTTGCCCGATTTGCGACTGGCGCATTCAGATACCCCGACCATCTCATCGCCCAAAGCTGGAGGACATGCAAGAACTCGAGCGTGATGCGCGCTTTTTGCCCTTCCAGGTCGCAGAGCTTGAGAGGCTGCAAGAGATCACTGCAACGGCACAACGCTTCAGGGACCGATTACAACCATTCCTCGCTGCATATTTGGTATTGACATCTGCTGAACTACCGACGCTCAAGTTCTACCTGCGCAAGCTCGAAGGTGCCGAAGTCCTGCTGCATGCAGAGACCAACTTTTTCCGTCGCAAGATTCACGAGTTTCACCCTATTGCACCAATGCCACCGCCCGTCATTGCCGAGTCCAAATCTACAAAGAAACCGCGGCTTTCCAAAAAGAAACGCGAGGAACTTGAAGCTGCTGGCATTGACCCTGCTCAGCATATTCAAGCGACACAAGACGCTCGGCAGGCTATGAGCAGTGCGTCGCCAAGTCGGCCTACGTCGCCTCCACTGCATCCTGCTTTACCCTCTCGCTTGAGTCAGTCGAATGGTCCAGTCTTTGTTGGAACGGTGTTTGAGACACAACCGACGTACACAGAAGATGGCAATGCCAGCTTTGCGAGTCCCGGTGCAGCATACCAGCATGCCAGCGCAATGGCAAGCAGTTACGAGTCTGGCAGTGCGTCTCCAGCAGCCAATGCTTTTGCGAAAGGTAGCAGCTATCTTGCGAATGACTATGCACACACGCAGCATTTGCGTGCCGATATGCAAATGGCCAACAGCAGCAACTTATTTGCGCAGTTCGATCATCAAGGCATGTCTGCGGATATGATGAGCGGTGTGATCAAGACGGGCGCGAATGCCTTTAGCTATGTGGATAACAGCACGCACCACAATCACGAGGACGATCAAGCGGCAGAGCTACTGGCTGGCTTCTCGCGCGGCGAGGTAGATGGCAAGTTGGGTGGTCAATATGAAGGCATGCACGATGGCGATGATGCCATGTCGGAGTTTCTCAATCCTTAGGCTCTCTTTGTATAGGACATTAAGATGCTACGAGTGTTGTCACTTCAAAGGCCTGCAAGACGGGCCGTTCCCCCATTGCGCGTTGAAGTTCTTGCGGCAAGGTCAAGATGCCCACAAACACGGCATCCATGCTCTCCCGAGCCATGTGAATAAGGGACACGGCCGCTTTCTGCACCTCGCCCGCTTCAACAAGCATACCACACCGGACGAGTCCCATGACGAGTTTCCGTGCATCATGACGGACGTTCGACTCGAGTCGCTCCATGAGACGACGGATGGAGTTGACGAGGTACTCTTCCTCCCAAATGGTTCCTTTCTTACCACGCGCACGCTGCCGTTCCATGCGACGCTTGGCTTTGCCTGAACGTCTCGACATGCTCGTACTGCCCGTTTTGCCAGTGAGATCGGTGTACCGCGTGAACATCGAATGCTGTGTCGAGGAAGTCGCATCGGTACCGGCAAGCGAGACATTATCCGGCGCACCACTCTGCTCTGCATCCTCGCCGCCCTCTCGACCATCGAAATAGTCGTCTGGTTGGTCGAGACGTTTTTGACGGACCTCTGCTAGACGTGGCAATTGTGCTTCAAGCTGTGACTTCATCTCTGCGAGCAAAGCACTGATGTGGCTGAATCCTTCGCGCAGGGTAGGCTTGACAAGTTGATCGATACGAGCGGCAGAACCAGCGAGGAGCAAGCTGGAAGTGAAATCAAAAGCCTGGCCAAAGAAACGAATGGCAGCGTCTGGGTCATGTAGCCAATCGCGGTACACGACAGCTGCGTCCGTGAAACGTCGTTGTTCAACGAGATCATCTGCAAGTCGCTGTGCAAGCGTCTGCGTATCGAGGTCTGCCAGCAGTGCAGTCTGCAATGCTTCTTGCCAATGTCCTGAGAGTGTATAGCAATGCGATGCTTCAGCTCGCTTACCCACAAGCTCAAACGCTGCACCGGCTTCGCTGAAATCACGCCGCTCCTCCAACTCTTGAGCATACGCTGCAACAGCAATGAGGTAACGTTCGCGGTCTGATCGCAGGGCAGCCAAGCATGTGTCCCATAACTGATGCAGTCGTATGTAGCGTAGTGCTTCTTGCCAGTATTCAGTTGATGGGGTCATGGCCAGCAGACTGCAGAGTGCTTTACCGTACCGCTCGAGATGATCGTCTAGCGTGAATTTTTGTCGAAGCGGCGTGAGTCGCTGGATGGATTGCAGGAATGGAACATATTCGCGTGGATCTTTTTGACTTTGCTGAGCGAGCAAGAGTGCCAATTTAAGGTCATACAAGCCTAATGCTCGTTGATGGAGTTGATGCGCATCAGCGAGGAAACACATGTGTTGGATGGCCTCTTCCCGTTCATGCTCCCGTAATGCAGAAACCAATAAGAGCGCCGAGTCTGGATCCGCGGGCTGTTTTGAGAGGTGCGCCGTTAGGATACTGGTGAGATGGGTGGATCTGTACTTTTCTTGTAGGAGCGTGAGCATTTGGTTGCAAATTGTCGATACTTTGTCAGGCACGGTGTGGGCATGGACGGGCGTGTCTGTGGGAAATGTAGAGAGATACATCGTATCTGATACATTCTCCGCCTTGAGTGCACTCAGGAAAATATCGAGCTCCGAGGCAGTCTCGAGTGCTGCAACAAACTCATCCATCTGCGACAAAAACGCCAACAAGTCATAATCACACATGATGTTTGGATTGATGCGATGAATCTTTGCTTTTTGCCACGCATGCCGCCAATCGCCTGCATCAATGGCTTTGCGTATACCAGCCAGGACGAGGAGTCGTGGGTAGACGGTCTCGAGATTGCCGCGAGGTGCTTGTAGCGTCACTGAATCTGCCGTCAAACACGCACAAACGAGCAATGAGCCGCGATCGATTTGTCTTGAGCGTTCATCACTGCTTTCTGCTGCTGGGAGGCGTAGGGTTTCGGTGGAGTCTGTGATGTGGATGAAGTGGAGGTGTGTTGTGGTTGTGTACGCGAGAAGTCGGCCGAGTACCAGGTGAGACGTGACACCGCTTGTCAAGTGACGCTGGTGTGCGTAGAGCTTGCCTCCGTCAGACAGACCGAATGCCATTGAACCTTCCGGCCTGCTTGAGACTGCAAAACGTGGACAAGGCTCTGGGAATGCTCCAAAGGAAGTGAGTGCGTCGCTGTAGAGTTCCAGCTTGCCTTCGGTTGTCTGTACAATACAACCATCGCCGGCTGCTGTCATTGCCAGGCTTGGCACAGCAAGCGAGATTGTCTGAGCGGCTGTGTCGTTTTCTTGGCCTAGGTCTAGTAGTTCTGAGGAAGACAGTAGGACAATCACACGACCTGTGCTTGTCAAAACGACTTGCAAGGGCCAGACGTGCTCGGGACAGGTCAACGGCAACGACGAGACAAGGGCTCCAAGGGAGAGTTCTTCGATGTTGAGCTTGTACAGTTCCACAGAATCAGCATACAGAACAGCCATCATGCTTGCATCTTCCCGGATGGAGACATGTCGCGGTGTCCCTTTTTGTAGTGGTAGTGTGGCATATGCCATGGGAGGTGGGACGTTAGCGAGTTTAATGGGCGTCAAGCCCAGATTCGCACCGTCAATCATGCAGACGAGTCCGAGATCATTGATGAGGGTTGGCTGTTGAATGAGGGTGTCTGACTTGAAGGATATTGCATGACATGCTGAGTCGGCGAGAATGTGGCAGCGCAGGGGTTCCTCCGGATGCCATTGAAATCGCGAATGTGCCGTTTGAGGAACAGGCAGAAGGGCTTTGAGGGAGTAGTGATAATTTGAAGCAGTGTACAGTTCGACGCTATCGGCATACTGCACAGCAAGGACGGTACCGTCAGCGTTCCAGTGGAGTCCGTTGACGCTGCTTGACTGATTTCTCACAGTAAATTCACCATGTCTCAATCCATTCTTTTCGAAAAAGATGACTTGCTGTAATGCTTGCGTCTTTTGCACACTCGCAATCACTGCACCGTTGGGTTTCCAGGAGAGAGGCTGCGTTTGATAGTCGACCGCCTCCGAGGTACTCTCGAGAATGCCTTCGCGTGAGTACACACGAATGACTCGACGATCGTGCTGCACCGAGGAATGCGCTAGCCATTGACCATCGCCACGCCAGCTTAGCTGTACAGATAAATCATCCTCTTCCGCAAGACAACCAGCGTCGACGCGTTCAGGAAGAGTTGGATCGCGCGGTGCGTGTTTCCCACGGAACTGCGTTTCTGCACGTCCCCAACCAACAGAGACTTGATTGGCGGATTGTCGTAGGTCGCTCCTTGCGAGGCTACATTCTGCGAGTGTTTCAAAGGTGCGTGTGAGGAGGGTGAGTTTGTCTTGTGTTGCTAGGGCAATGATGTCGCCGTCTGGTGACCAGCTTACTTGCAAGATAGCTGCATCGATACTGCCAATAATATCTGCAGTGCCTGTCTTTGTCTCAAAGAGGAAGATGTCGCCTTGCCGTGAAAAGACACAGAGCTGGTCTTCCTCCTCCAGGTAGTGGATATGGATGGCATCTGCATCGCGTTCAAGTGATGCAGCAGAAACAGCACCTAGTGCTTGATAGGTAGGTGAGATTTGCTCGACCACAAGATCTGGCCCATGCTTGCCTGCCACGATGACTGCATCGTTCATGTAGCAACTGCATCTTGGGTCTTGAGCCTGCACAGCATGAGCTTTGTAGCTTGTTTGAATGAGATTTCGCATTTTGGTAGATGAGCTTAGATATAGCAGAAGAGAGTCTGTTTAGCACATTCTATGTAGCACAGCAAGATCAGACCTCGTCGTAACCAGTCGTTGTTCTACTTGCAGGCTTCTGGCGATGAAAATAAAATACACGTGAGTTGATCCTCGGCGGAGGCAGCGACCAGTGGAAAAGAGAGTCAAGGCTGCAGCAGAGTACACAGACAACAGAGCAGCATCATGTTCAAGGCACAGAGACTCGCTACCCGTTCTGCACGCCAGTTCTCGACATCGACTGTTGCGCGCAGTGGACACTACCCCGAGGGACCGCGAACGTAAGTCACCCCAGGACAGTCAGCATGAGAAGTGATTGAGTGAGGATATATGGCCATGCCGTGTCTCTGCTCTCTTCAGCTATACTCTCTATGTTGATGTCTATGGCGATGTAATCCAGTGCATGCATCTAATGCTGTAGCAACATCCCCTTCACGATCTCCAAGAGCAAGCCTGTCTTTGCAACCAAGCTCGCCCTCTTCTTCGGTGAGTGCTGCTCTGTATCGACTGTGTCTGGTGCTGACTCTCTCCTCTAGCAACTGGCTTCTCGATCCCGTTCCTGTCTGCGTACTGGCAGCTCTCGAAGAAGGATTAGACGGTGATGTAGCAGCATTAGTAGTCTCATCCTTCTCTCTCCTCTCCCTCTCTCTCTTCTCCCTCTTCCCTATTGTCTCTCCTCTCTTCATCCTCATCCTCATCCTCCCTCCCTCCCCAGGCTGGTGCTAGCTCACCACCACTCCCTGACCCCCAGTGACCAGTCCATAGCTCCCATAGCTCACTGCAGCCAGCGTGTGACATCTTTTGCTTTTTGCGCAACCAGACACTCACAAAGCAGCTCAATCACAAAGAACTCGTTAGTCTATAGACCCCGGGTAGCCAAGGCATCGTCATGTTTGACGACGATGCAGATGCGTCCTTTGACGTCTTCACTGCACAGCCAAACGCACCCACGAAACAACGCTCCAACAATCGTGGCGAGAAGCGTGCTAGCCAGGGCGCGTCTACCTCTGCCATCGAGCCAACGACAGAGACCTCCAAGAAACGTCCGAGACTCGATGCAAGCGTACATACACGAGCGGAAGAAGTCAAAGTGACCGATGCCTTTGATCAGGAAGCAGCACGCAATGTTGCGCCTGTTGGCGGTGATGCAGCGTCAGGGGATGCACCGCTCGTCTTGAAGCATCAAGTCAGGCATCAAGTTGCCTTGCCGCCGGATTATCCCTACATCCCCATCTCACAGCATCAAAAGCCAGAACACCCGGCAAAGGAGTATCCCTTCACGCTTGACCCGTTCCAAGCAACCGCCATTGCGAGTATTCAACGCAATGAATCAGTCCTCGTGAGTGCGCATACGTCTGCTGGAAAGACAGTGGTGGCAGAGTATGCCATTGCGCAATCACTCATGAACAAGCAGCGTGTCATCTATACCTCACCCATCAAAGCCCTCTCCAATCAAAAATACAGGGAGTTGCTTGAAGAGTTTGGCGATGTGGGTTTGATGACGGGCGATGTCACCATCAATCCAACAGCATCGTGTCTCGTCATGACAACCGAAATTCTCCGGTCCATGCTCTATCGCGGTTCAGAAATCATGCGCGAAGTGGCGTGGGTCATTTTCGATGAAATCCACTACATGAGAGACAAAGAGCGGGGTGTTGTGTGGGAGGAGACCATCATTCTACTGCCAGACAAGGTACACTATGTCTTCCTCTCCGCCACCATACCCAATGCCATGCAATTCGCGGAATGGATCGTCAAGACGCACTCTCAACCGTGCCATGTCGTTTACACAGATTTCAGGCCCACACCCTTGCAACACTACCTCTTCCCAGCCGGTGGCGACGGTATCCACCTCGTCGTTGATGAAAAATCACACTTTCGCGAAGACAACTTTCAAAAAGCCATGGGCGCATTGGTGGAAGGTATGGGAGATGACCCCGCAGCCATGCCAGCCAACAAGAAGAATGCGAAGAAGGGCAAAACAGGCAAAGGCGGCGTCAAGGGACCTAGCGATATCTACAAGATTGTCAAGATGATCATGGTCAAAAACTACAACCCCGTCATTGTCTTTTCCTTTAGCAAGCGGGAGTGTGAGTCGCTCGCCTTGCAGATGAGTAAGCTCGACATGTCTGACGACACGGAACGCGATGCCATTTCGAAAATCTTTACCAATGCCATGAACTCACTCGGTGAGGCGGATCGCAAGTTGCCACAAATTGAGCATATCCTGCCGCTCCTTCGACGAGGTATTGGCATTCACCACTCGGGTCTCTTGCCAATCCTCAAAGAAGTCATTGAGATTTTGTTCCAGGAAGGCTTCATCAAGGTCCTCTTTGCAACGGAAACCTTCTCCATTGGTCTCAACATGCCTGCCAAAACGGTCGTCTTTACCGATGTCCGCAAATTCGATGGCAAGAGTTTCCGTTGGGTCAGTTCAGGAGAGTACATCCAGATGTCTGGTCGTGCAGGTCGTCGCGGACTGGATGATCGAGGTATTGTGATTCTCATGATTGATGAAAAGATGGAACCACCCGTTGCAAAGAATATGCTGAAAGGTGCAGCAGATCGTCTCGATTCTGCCTTTCACCTCTCATACAATATGATCCTCAATCTCATGCGCGTGGAAGGCATCAGCCCAGAGTTTATGCTCGAGCGCTGCTTCTTCCAATTCCAAAGCAACAGCTCCGTTCCCGAGATGGAGCGTGACATTGTCAAGCTCAATGCAGAGATTTCCGACTTGCAAATTGAAGATGAGCAGACGATTGCAGAGTACTATGAACTGAAGAGCAAGCTCGGCGGATACGCAGAAGATATGAGGCTCGTTATGAATCACCCATCCAATGCACTACCCTTCTTGCAACCCGGTAGACTCATCAAAATCAAGCATGCCGGGCACGATTTCGGCTGGGGTTGTGTCGTCAACTTTCAAAAACGCACCAATCCCAAGGGCGTCTCGGCGCCGTTCTCACCAGAAGAGAGTTATCTGGTGGACACCCTACTTTGGATCACACAAGACTCATCACGCTCACAAAAGAAGGGCGTTGAAGATGATATTCGGCCTGCAATCGGCGATGCACCCGGAAAGATGGACGTTGTGCCTGTTGCCTTGAGTGCAATTCACGGCATTGCGCACATTCGCATCCACCTACCAAAAGACTTGCGCAGCGCAGATCAGCGGCGTACCGTCCACAAGTCCATTGCTGAAGTACAACGACGATTTCCTGATGGCATTGCGCTGCTTGATCCGATTGAGAATATGAAGATTGCCGATGATGCCTTCAAGAAGCTCATTCGAAAGACGGAAGTCCTCGAGGCAAAACTCTTTTCAAATGCACTGCATCACTCACCCAGGCTCACCTCACTCTATGATCAGTACGCTCATAAAGTGGCCCTCCAGACTCAAGTCTCTACGCTGCAGCGCAATATTGCAGCAGCGCACTCTGTCATGCAGCTCGATGAGCTCAAGTGTCGCAAGCGTGTCTTGCGTCGACTCGGCTTCACAACGCAAGAAGACGTCATTCAAATGAAGGGCCGCGTTGCTTGTGAGATTTCAACAGGCGACGAACTCTTGCTCACTGAAATGATCTTCAATGGTGTCTTTAACGACCTGACGCCCGAGCAATGCGCGTCGCTTCTCTCTTGCTTTGTCTTTCAGGAAAAGAGTGAGGAAGTGCCCAAGCTTCGAGATGAATTGGCGGGACCCCTTCGCATCATGCAGGAAACGGCGCGCAAGATTGCAAAAGTCTCACAAGAGAGTAAGCTTGCCATTGTGGAAGACGAGTATGTCCAGAGCTTCAAGCCGGCACTCATGGATGTTGTCTTTGCGTGGTCCCAGGGCAAGTCATTTGCGCACATCTGCAAAATGACAGACGTGTATGAGGGCTCTCTGATTCGTGCTTTTAGGAGACTCGAGGAGCTGCTACGGCAGATGGTCTCTGCCTACGATGCCATTGGCAATGAAGAAATGAGCAAAAAGATGGAAGCTGCCATCAAGACGCTGACACGAGACATCATCTTTGCAAACTCCCTGTACCTATGAGCTGTATGTAGCGAGCATCTGTAGCGAACTGTAGCATTTACCATTTCGTCTATTTGACGATGTCTGGTTGTCCGTGGCAACGCGAATTAGCCGACGTGCAAGACGCGCCAAAAGTACACAAAGCTCGATACTACCAGGGAAGCCATTGCTGAAGAGCCTCGTCCTGCTATTATGCTCGCTCCATAGATCTGCTTGCCTTACTCCTGCTTCATGAACTACTCTGCTGCCTCGCCGGCTAATTCGCTGCTGCGCACACCTGTGACACAGCCTGCCTACCTGGATGCACAGTCATTCATGTCGACCTTGACAATCAGTCCTGTACCGACGCAAGGAGGCTATAGACAGCTCTTCACCCAAAAGCGGCCACTCAATGCTCCAGACAGCATACATTCTGCGTCTCCAGAATTGAGTACAAGCACAGGGGATGCATTTCCCGAGCGCATTCAGCAATTGAGGCTTTGGCGACACGATGCTATTGTTCAGCACCACGACACAACTGCTGCATACATTGGTGAAAAGGTACTGGCTCTGACATCTGACCCGAATGATGCCTTTTGGCTCGCACAAGCGTACTACAACGCGAGATACTATGCACGAGCACATAATGTTCTGCTTCAGCGCAATCTGACGGGTATCAGTGTCGCGTGTCGTTATCTGGCAGCACAATGCCTGGTAGCGATGCAGCGCTGGCAAGATGCGCTGCAGCTTCTTGGGGAAGAAAATCCATTCAGGGTTCGCAATATGTTTCAAGGTGGCTTCTCAGCCTTCACATATACTTGCTAATTCTAGATCAACCATTGACCATCAAAGATTCCGATGGTGGCATTAGGCTGGAGGCGTCCATGTGCCATCTTCGTGGTCTGATATATGCTAATCTCAACAATCTCGACAAGGCCAAGAAGGCATACCAAGAAGCGCTTCAAGTGGACATCAAGTGTTATGATGCCTTTGACCAGCTCATTACGAACAGTCTCATGACACCCGATGAAGGTTTGTCAGTCCTTCCTGGATCTCCGCTGACGATAGAATGGGCTTTTCTGGACAGTCTTGACTTCTCTAGTCTGGACGACGAAAATCAGTCATTTATCAAGATGCTCTATGGCCTCCGCGTCAGTAAATACAATACAAGAGCAGGACCTCTTATCGCAGACACCGAAACCAAGCTGTTGGCTGCTGGCTTGAAGGAGAATGCCGACGTGCTTCTCGCCAAGGCAGACTTGCTCTTCACACAATGCAGATTCCCCGAATGTTTGACAACCACGACACGCATCCTCGAGCTTGATGCATACAAATTCAATGCCATGCCTTTACATCTCACATGTCTCCATGAGCTTGGTTTCAAGAATGATTTGTTTCTGCTGTCACATGACATGGTCGAACGGCATCCGGAAGAACCCGTCTCGTGGCTCGCTGTAGGTATCTACTACATGTCTATTGGCAAGATTGCAGAAGCACGTCGATACTTCAGCAAAGCATCCGTCATGAATCCGCGATTTGGATCTGCGTGGATTGGCTTTGCCCATTCCTTTGCTATCGAGGGTGAGCATGATCAAGCTATTTCAGCATACACCACTGCTGCAAGGCTGTTTCAAGGCACTCATTTGCCCTCGCTCTTCCTTGGTATGCAGCACTTGCATCTCAACAATTTCGTCTTGGCGGATGAGTACCTCGGCACAGCATACAAAATGTGCCAGACGGATCCACTGCTTCTCAATGAGCTTGGTGTTGTTTGTTTCCACAAACAGCAGTTGGTGCCAGCAATTGAGTGGTTCAAGAGGACCATCGAAGTAGCCGCCGAAACGGGTGGCAAGGACAAAACTTGGGTCGCGACACATGCAAATCTCGGACATGCCTATCGCAAGCTCAGGTATGTGACAAGCGTTTTCAAATAAATGCTAATGACAGGCAATGGGATTCTGCGTTTGCTGAATTTGCAATCGTCAAGAGGCTTGCGCCGCATGACGCCGCACCGTACTCGGCCTGTGGTCTGATGTTTATGCACCTCGGTCAACTCGATGAGGCCATCTCAAACTTACATGAGGTATGTAAGTCGTGCTACGTGTGATGCTGACATGCAGGCACTCGCCCTGTCACCTTCTGAGCCTCTTGCTACTGACTTATTGACGAAAGCACTCGAAGAAGCTGCAAGTCAGGCGTTTTTGCCACACGGCATGGATGACCACCAAGTAGATTCTGAAGTTGATCATTTACTCATGCAAACGCGACAACCAAGTCAGGCTGTTGCAGATCGTCGTCATGAGCAGCATCAGCAGTGGCGCGGAGAGGGGAATCGAGGGGATACTCAAGCTGGGTCAGATGAAGAGGACATGTCCTACTCTGATTAGGCAATGCGCGCAAGGGCAATTTCCTTGAGGATCGCCTTTCCTTCATCTAATTCGGCAATAGGCAAAGCAAGCATTCTAGTGGTTAGTGTCGCCTGAAGGAGAAGAAAAAACTGACTCAGCCTCGGCCATTCGACCACTGGCGTGTAAATACCGTGCAAGCCAAAGGCGCGCCCTGACAATGGCCGGGTCGCCCTCAATGTTGTGCTCATCGGCCAAATTGACGCAGGCGTTGAAGAAGGACGCAGCGGAGGACTGATCGCCAACTTGCTCATGTAGGTCTCCAAGTTTCGCTAGGTAGCTCGGATCAGTCGCTTCTTCGCCTGTTGTTAGTGTGTGTGACGAGCATGGAATTGTATACCGCCGAGGAGCGCCCTTTTGAATGCCTTGATGGCTTCAGGTACCCGTCCAAGTTTCTCATAGCAACCGCCAACAGCAGTCCACATTCGAACATCGTACGGTCTGACGTTAGCAGGTGTAGCAGATGTACAGACGTACTTGAGGGCCGCTGCGCGTTGAAAATAGTGAAGCGCGTAGTGATGCATTTCGAGCATCTCATAAGTCTGCCCAAGACCATACCAAGCGCGATAGTCTTTGCGGTTGACATCTAATGTTAGCACAACGCCAGCACGCCAAATGTGCTTACCGACAGCTCTGCGATACGATTCAATCGCGGCATGTGTATTCTTGAGCTCAACGTATTCATGTCCCATAAGGGTCCATGCCGGTAGATAGTTGCGATTCAACTTGAGCGCTTTGCGGAAGGACAAGACTGCCTTTTCGTGCTCGCCACTCAGACTGTGGTAGTTGCCGACCACACAGCAAGTCTCCGGGCGGAAACGGTCTGTGGCCGTCATGCGCTTGGCCAAGTCAACCAACTTGGCGCGTCGCTCAAGCACAAACAACACATTGGAGTAAATATCCATGCCCTCGAGTTGATGTGGGTCGGCTTTGTGGAGTGCATCAAATAAGAGCTCTGCTTGTTCATAGTCTTGAGCATTGTATGCATGGATTGCACGTAAGCGCTGTATGTAGCCACTGCCGGGAAGTAAGCTAGCAAGCTCATCAAGAAGACTGCTGAGCTCTGGCCCACTCTTGTGTAGGTCGAGTTGTGCGACTGCATTGAAGAGCTGCGTCATTGGATGAGTAGGGAGCAGGGAGCAGGTTTTCGCAAGCTTCAATTAGCGGGGCATAGCGAAAGAGGTTCTTACGATGCTCGGACTCGTCATACAAAGCATGAGCTCTTGCCAGGCAGAGTGATTGTAGATATTCTGGGTTAATGCTTGAACAAGAGACTGGACGGCTTCTTCATGTCGGTTCAGATGGCGTTGCAGCATGCCAAGCAAGTAGAGCAGGAAGTGATCCGAGATGCCTTGATGGACCACGGCGAGCAGCTCTTCGAGTAGCTTCGGCAGCTCCTTGTTCGCTTGGTTGTCTCGTGGACCTTGTGTCAGTCTTTGTAGAGCATGCGACTACTTACCCATGAGGATCTCCCCTTCCTCTTGGCGGTCCTTCTCGGATGCCTATTGTCAGCGTGCGCATACGAATTGGAGGCAATACCAAGAATCGTGCGTAAAAGTGCAGAAAGTAGCTTTTTGCAGTGGACATGCCAGCTTGCTTGAGCATGGAAGCACAACGTAAATGCTCTCTGCAATCAAACGACGCTTTAGCAATGGCATATGCAACAGAATCTTTTGACATTTCCGCAGAAAGAGCAGCAGCAGGTTGTGATGATGATGGCAGAGCATCAGCTAGTTCAAAGAGCCTTCAGTCAGCATAGGCTTCAGTCGAGCGATGGGCTACCATTTCGCGCTTTGGTAGAGTCCTCGATCAGCGGCATTATGCGCAGCCTGCAGCAAGTCATGAGCATCCACCGTAGCCATATTACAAGAGTCTATAGCAGTCGTTACAGCGTTCAATCAGCCATTTCCAAGCTCATGCAGGCCCACTCGAGGATGTGTTATTTCTTGCGAGTCTCGTCGCGTCTCATCCCCGTGTGAAATTCCAAATTCCGGCACGTCGCTCGTCTTGTTCGGACCAGTTCGGTAGCTTCCAGGTAACAGGAGCGGTCTTTCATAGATAACAGCTTAAGGTCAAATGGCGAGCAAAGACAAGTTCATCGAGAGCTTCAAGCCCCTCGTGGCGGAGCTTGTAGCGTATCTCGAGTCGGTCAATATGCCCACCGAGGCAGTGGCCTGGTACAAGCAGAATTTGGAGCACAATTGTGTCGGCGGCAAGCTGAACCGTGGCCTGTCCGTCATTGACACGCTGCGGGTGCTGAAAGGTGTGGATGAGCTTGATGAAGAAACGTACCGCAAGGCGAGTATTCTTGGTTGGTCTGTTGAGCTATTGCAGGCCTTCTTTTTGGTTGCGGATGATATGATGGATGACTCCAAGACACGGCGTGGACAGCCGTGCTGGTACTTGATGCCTGGTGTTGGGAATATTGCCATCAATGATGCCTTCATGCTCGAATCGGCCATATTCTTCTTGCTCAAGAAGCACTTCAGGCAAGACAAGCACTACGTCGACTTGCTGGAACTCTTCCACGAAGTCACCTTCCAGACTGAACTGGGACAAATGCTGGATCTATTGACTGCACCGGAGGACAAGGTGGACTTGTCCAAGTTCTCGCTCGAGAAGCATTCCTTCATTGTCATCTACAAGACTGCCTTCTACTCCTTCTACCTGCCAGTTGCTCTTGCCATGTACATGGCGGACAAGGCAGCGCCGCAAGACTTGAAGCAAGCAGAAGACATTCTTGTGCCGCTTGGTGAGTACTTCCAGGTGCAGGACGATTACCTCGACTGCTATGGCGACCCCAACGTGACTGGCAAGATTGGGACGGATATTCTGGACAACAAGTGCGGTTGGCTCATCAACAAGGCGCTACAGCTAGCTTCCAAGGAGCAGCGTCAAGTACTGGATGACAACTATGGCCAGAAGAACGATGTGTGTGAGGCTCGGGTGAAGCAGGTCTTCAAGGACCTCAATGTTGCACAAGCATACCTCGACTATGAGGAACAAACAGTCGGTAAGATTCGAGAACGCATTGCGCAAGTGGATGAATCGCGCGGCGTCAAGAAGGAAGTCTTTGAGGTCTTCCTCAAGAAGATTTACAAGCGGCAAAAGTAAGCTTATTTGTGAAACCTGTTTTGATAGATTAGAACAAAGCACTATCTCAGTCTAGCAATAAAAAGTTTGTCTCTGCCAATCCTCCCATTTGTCCCCATACGCCCTAGTTTCCATCTTTGCACTTCCTTGTGTGTTCCTTGTTGTGTGTTCCTTGTTATCGCACCCATCGCTCCATTTCCTCCACCGTATCAAACCTAGCATAATCCTGCTGCTGTGCACCACGCTGAGCGCTGCACTTCAAGCATGCAATGTTGCGCGCAAAATTGTGGAATGCACACAAACCACAATGCCAGTCGCCAGCACGAAAGACTGGAGATGTAGGCGTTACCACTGTAGATGAGGGCAGCGACAAGCCGGGCGAGAGCAGGCCATAGTTTTGCATAGGTGGAGAGGTGTACCCATTGTAGTGTGTCTGCTGGAAGTAGCCCGTTGCGGCTGCTGCTGCTGCTGCTGCTGCCACAGGCATGCCAGCACTCTGCACCATATTCCCGCGTGCGGCCGAGTCACGCACCATGGTCGCTGGGCAGGCACAGCGAAAGCAGGCTTGCCTTCGCTGAAAGTTGCTAAAGCCGCATAACCCACATAGCCAGTCACCCGGGCGCGGACGATTCTTGGATGCCGGAAAGGACGTGAGCAGACTGGCTGCTGTGTCCAACAACATAGGACTGCTGGGAGAGACTTTGATGATCTTATCACCCAGTGCTCGACCATTCAAACTCAATCCGTGCGTCGCTTCATCGTGTGTGGCAAAGATGGCGAACCCAACACCCGGAGGAGGCTGTAGATCTGGTGCACGCAAGGTCCAAAAGGCAACTGGTCGGGTACCATGCTGTGTTGACCAACTCTCAAGCTCAGACTGCGTAGTCTCCGCTGGCAAATTCGTTAGGAACAGCACGCGAGAATTTTCTTCCTCGAAAGTGACATAGTCAGCAAGTCCATCGATCGGCTGGCTGAAGGGAAACTTGGTCTGCCAAATAGGTTGAGAAAGGCGGAGGAGGGAACGCAGAATGCTAAACATGTTGTGGCATTCGTCCATGGCCCTGCGTGGCTTTGAGCCAGGTTGCATCGTTTGAGGGGAGACGGCGGGCGTTCCAGGCATGCGATCAGCAAGCCTGCTGATGACTTGTAGACCAAGTGACGTGCATAGATTGCTGCTGGATTTCTGCATCCCTGCAGCGGGAGCTGGTGCGAGACCTTCCTTGTGCAAGAAGAAGAAGGCCTCTGCCAATTCATATACACGAGCATGTTCTAGCCAATATGGCAGAACAACGGCTTTGTCGCGTGCCTCTCGAGGCAGTTGAATAGTGAGATCCCACGCGTCCATAGAGACAAAGCTAAAAGCGGTTCGTTCGAGATCAGCAAGCTCCGTGATGGCGCTCTGCAGTTTTTGAATAGCACGGGCGAATGATCCGGCATCCTGGACATCTTCGTACTGGAGGCTTGTGATATTGGTACAGAGGTCTGTGATGGGTGTTGAGACCGGCCTAACGAGACACGAGCCTTGGTTCATTACCCTCAGGGTGGAGGCTTCGAGCAGCAGCCAAGCAATCTCGATTGTTTCTGACACATCCTTGGACACGCACACGCCATACTCGTCGCCAGTGGTCAAGACGTGTAGGACCACGAGCATCGACTCTGCAAAGGGATACCGAAGAGACATGATTGATTTCGACTGTATTCCTAGTTCAGGCCACCTGAACGTCGAACTGCGGCTGGTCCAGTAGACGAATGCGTAAAGAAGGTTGGATGCGGAATTCTGCTCGGCCCTCGAAAAGTAACAACGTTTTCAGCAGTGTCTCCCTGCAATGTCCTTGTTTTCTAGATGGTCAAAGGTGACTGGTGCTCAAACAGAACGACGTAGCACTTGGCCGCGTGTGCAATACTCACGAATCAGGGGCTTGTGTGTTTTTGGCACGCGTATTGCCGTCTAGAATAGGCCTCCGACCTCACGAGCACCGCGGTCCCGTCGGAAAACGTCTCTCGCCAGGGACGATGTGTGTGCGATGTGCAATGTAAGCCTTTCCGCACGCGACAGCGACACTGCAGAGATCAGAACTTCGGGCCGTCGTCGACTCGGCGATCAAAGCCCTTGTGCGTGGCAGTTGAGGTAGCAATGTTCAGGGTCTCCCGTCCTGGCTGAGAATAGACGGGCTTCCCAGCTACGACAATGACAAGAGAGAGAGCGAGCCCACAACAGGGAGTGGTTGCCTTTGGAGCCTTTTTGCACATTTGAGCCCTTAGCCAGAATCTATGGAATGACTCCACGGGTATATCGTGCCAGATTGGCTGTTCACATGTCAGAGACACCTTTGCCAGCAGTGGACCAGTCGTCTTGTCGCGATCCTGCGTGGGGCCTCCGTCATCGTCTCCAGCTGCCAGCCAGCGAGCGACTCGTATTCGACCGCATTCTGGTTAGGCCGTGCGACCGAAACGACACCACAACGACCAAGAACTGCTGCTGCTGGCTGTTTACGTAGGGCATATTTGCTGATAAGTAGCTCGTAAAGATGCTCCTGAGAACTATAGCTCGTCGGGGTTACGCCTCTGTAACTGCTAAATATGCTTCCCCCATCCAAGGCTTCGTGGGTGCTATTGGAAATACCCCACTCATCAGAATTAAGGGTCTTTCTGAGGAGACTGGCTGCAATATTCTTGCCAAAGCAGAGTTCATGAACCCAGGCGGCTCAGTCAAAGACCGTGCTGCTCTTTTTGTCGTCAAGGATGCTGAAGAAAAGGGACTCATCAAACCCGGTGGTACCGTTGTTGAAGGCACAGCTGGTAACACGGGCATCGGCTTGGCACATGTCTGCCGTGCAAAAGGCTACAAGTGTGTCATCTACATGCCCAATACGCAGTCGCAAGAAAAGATCGACTTGCTCAAGATGCTCGGTGCAGAAGTCCATCCTGTACCTGCTGTTGCTTTTGACAACCCACAAAACTACAACCACCAAGCCAAGCGACACGCCGAGTCGCTTCAGAATGCCGTATGGACTAACCAGTTCGACAACGTCGCCAACCGTCAAGCACATATTGAGACAACAGGACCTGAGATCTGGGAACAGACAGGAGGCAAGATTGATGGATTCACTTGTGCCACAGGTACAGGCGGTACCTGGGCTGGCGTTGCTCGTGTCCTTAAGGAAAAGTCTGGTGGTAAAGTCAAGACATTCCTGGCTGATCCTCCAGGCTCTGTCCTCTACAGCTACATCAAGTCTGGCGGTAAGCTGACTGATCGCTCAGGTTCCAGTATCACGGAGGGCATCGGCCAGGGACGTGTCACGGACAATATGAAGGATGACATTCACCTTGCCGATGACGCGCTGAGTATTGCGGATGAGAAGAGCATCAAAATGGTGTACAGGCTATTGGACGAAGAAGGTCTGTATGTTGGCGCATCCACCGCACTGAATGTAGTGGCGGCCTATGAAATGGCACAGCAGCTTGGCAAGGGCAGCACGGTGGCGACTATTCTTTGTGATGGTGCATACCGCTACCAGCAGCGGCTATTCAGACGTTCGTGGCTCGAATCCAAGGGCCTTGTGGGCGCAATCCCAGAGCACCTTCAAAAGTACATTGTGCTAGAATAAGAAGAATCTAGTAGCATATTTATTGGTCACAGAACGCTCTGGCGTTCCTAAACATCTGAAGCCATGGACCATGTTCGCCCCACATCTCGCCTTGCTCTGCCGGATACCAACTACTTGCTTCCCGCAGGATGGTACGCTCGGGATGTGGCATGAGTGCCAGTATACGACCATCAGCATTGCGGACAGCTGTGATGCCGTCGGGCGATCCATTCGGATTTTGCGGGTACTGCGTGGTGGGTCGCTTGTCTGCTCCCAGGAAACGCATGTTGACAAGACCTTGTTGACTGAGGGAGGCCTGCTGCTGAGCATCTGTGAATTGAGCTCGTCCCTCGCCATGAGCCACCACAACTGGCAACTTCCAACCTTGCATACCGGCAAAGAAGACGGATGGCGCGCTCGCATTGTCCGTCACCTCGACCTGCACGAAGCGTGCTTCGTACTGCTCAGATGCATTGCGCTCAAACGTAGGCCAGGCCTCTGCACCAGGAATCAGCTCCTTGAGTTGTGTCAAAAATTGACAACCATTGCACACTCCCAAGGCAAATGCATCTTTACGATGAAAGAATGTTTGGAAGGCAGCACGGGTCTTGTCGTGCAGCAAGACCGATTTCGCCCAACCGGCTCCGGCACCCAGCACATCACCGTAGGAGAAACCGCCACACGCTGCGAGACCTCGGAAACTAGCAAGATCGACTGTCCCTTGAATGAGCTCGCTCATGTGAACATCCACGGCGTCAAAGCCAGCGAGATGGAAAGCAAACGCCATCTCAGAGTGACCATTGACACCTTGTTCACGGAGGATCGCAACACGAGGACACGGACCTTGTGGCGACGGGCTTGGTGTGTAGGTAATGTTGTAGGTAAGACCTGGATCGGTGTCGTCCCTGATGCTTTCAAACTCTTGGTCTGCACAAGCTGGGTTGTCACGAAGCTTTTGCATGGCATGGGAAGTCTTGGTCCAAGATTGCTGTAAGTGGGCACGATCTTGCTCAAAGACGACTTGGTCGCCTTGCTTGATGACGAGCTTGGCATCTCGAGACTGGTTGGGAACAGCCACGACTTGGACAGACTCTTTCGGCACGCCTGCGCTCGTCAGGATTTCGGTGAATTGTGTAAGATCAGCTTTGCGAACTTGGAAGACGGCACCAAGTTCTTCTGAGAACAAATCCCCGACGAGTTGATCGAATGTAGTAGCAGACGACTGCACGTCCAGGCCCACGCGGCCAGCAAAGCACATTTCTGCCAAAGTCGCAAAGAGACCGCCATCGGAGATGTCGTGGTACGCCAAGACAACACCGGCCTTGTGAAGCTCGACTGACGCATCGACAAAACTGCGCAGAACCTTCACATCTGCCAAGTCTGGGCATACATCGCGCAAGTCGCCACAGACTTGAGCTAATGCTGATGCGCCTAGTCTCCGCTGCTGACCAGCAAGGTCGACTTTGACAATAACAGAGTCCTGCCCAGGCTGCAATTGTGGCGTCCACGTCTTGTGCACATCCTGCACGGTCGAAAAAGCAGTAATGATAAGCGACACGGGCGACGTGACGGACTTGTCTGTGCCGTCCTGCTTCCATTTCATCTTCATTGACATGGAGTCCTTGCCAACGGGCACACTGATGCCCAGTGCTGGACAAACCTCGAGACCGACAGCTTGCACTGCTTCATAGAGACCTGCTCCATCCCCAGGGTGATCTGCGGCAGCCATCCAATTTGCAGAGAGCCGCACATGCTCAATACCACTGATATTCGCAGCGACCAAATTGAGCAATGCCTCAGCAATACACATACGTGCTGAGGCTGCTGGTGAAGTGAGGGCGTGAAGTGGCTTCTCACCAATGGCCATGGCCTCGCCGTGGCGGCCACCTGCAAGGGCAGAGTAGGTGACGCCGACATCAGCAACGGGAACCTGCCAGGGACCGACCATTTGGTCGCGAGCAATCAGGCCGGAAACAGAACGGTCGCCAATGGTGATTAAGAAGGATTTCGAACCGACGCTGGGTAGTTGAAGGGTCCGATGAATGGCTTCACTGAGACGAGTATTTTCAGAGGTAGATGAGAGGTATCGTTGCAATGAAGCATCGAACGCTGTTGTTTCCACCTTGACAGAGTGTGTCGTACGTGACATCTTCGGTGCTTTCCCAAACAAGATGGACATGGGCAAGTCGATGGGTCGGTTGTTGAACTTGGCATCCTCCAGAACAAGTCGCTCTTCTTGTGTTGCGCGTCCAACAACAGCATACGGACAGCGTTCGCGCTTTGCCATCTCATCAAACTCTGCAAGACGTTCCTCAGGCACAGCCATGACATACCGTTCCTGCGCTTCGCAGCACCAGATTTGCAGAGGCGACATGCCTTGGTCGTCGCAGGGGACGTCGCGAAGTTGAAAGACTGCACCGAGTCCTGCATCATGCACGAGTTCTGGCAGTGCATTGGAGAGACCGCCTGCACCAACATCGTGAATCGACTGAATCGGATTCTTGTTGCCGAGTGCAGTGCATGCGTCAATGACCATTTGTGCCCGTCGTTGCATTTCAGGATTGCCGCGTTGTACAGAGGCAAAGTCGAGAGACTCTGTTGTCTCGCCGGATGCCATGCTAGAAGCTGCACCACCGCCAAGACCAACAAGCATAGAAGGTCCACCCAAGACAATAATGGCTGCCCCGGGCGTGATTTTCCCTTTGAATGAATGACCTGGCTGGACGGAACCCAAGCCACCAGCGAGCATGATGGGTTTATGGAAGCCACGAAGATGGTCTTTGCTGTTTGTTGGGGCAGACAACGTACGGAAGTATCCCGTGATGATGGGTCTGCCGAATTCATTGTTGAATGCAGCACTGCCGATGGGTCCTTCAAGCATGATATCCAAGGCGGATGCAACATGTCCCGGTTTGCCGATTTGCAGTTCCCATGGCTGTGGCAGTGTTGGAATGTGCAAGTCTGAGACGGAAAATCCTGCGAGTCCCGCTTTTGGTTTTGAGCCAACACCCACGGCGCCTTCATCGCGAATTTCGCCGCCTGAGCCCGTTGCTGCTCCTGGGAAGGGTGATACTGCCGTTGGGTGGTTGTGTGTTTCAACTTTTGCAAGGTAGTGGAGGGGTTGCGGTGTCGCTTGCCAGAGGTGTTGTGTGTCTGGTGCAAAGACGCTGGATTGCTGTCCCTCAAGCACGGCGGCATTATCAGAGTACGCGGAGACGGTGTAGTCAGGGTGTGTCTTGTGCGTATGCCGAATCATGCCAAATAACGCATGAGGCTGCTTCTCTCCATCAATCGTCCAGTCGGCATTGAAGATCTTGTGGCGACAATGCTCTGAGTTGACTTGAGCAAACATGAAGAGCTCGACATCTGTGGGTGCGCGTGCCTGTAATGCTTCGAAGGCACCAGAAAAGGCTTCAACGAGGTACTGCACTTCATCGTCTGCAATCGCCAGACCCAGTTCTTTGTTGGAATGTTGCAACTTTGAGATGGCTTCTGCTTTGTCGCCATTGCCTAGATCAATGGATGTGTAGCCCTGCGGTGTGCTTTCACCAAAGAGCTGGTCAAAGGATGGTGGTTGACTTGCACAGGTCTGTGTCATACGGTCATGCAGTGCGCCTAGCAGCTTGGGCGACTGCAAGTCACTTGTACCTTTGACCAAGATGGCCATACCACGCTCGATTCTCGCGACTTGTCCACTCAAGCCACAGACATCAGCGATATTGGTGGCCTTAGAGGACCATGGCGATAGAGTGCCAGGCCTGGGCGAGACGTAGATGACGTTGCGATGTTCCTTGCCACTCTTGACGGCATCGACAAGGGTCTTGTAGTCTTCATCAATTGCATCATACGCTGTATCGTACTTGAGCAGGATCTCTAGCGCCTGTGCATGGCGCACGTCAAGCATCTCCACCTTTCGCTTGACGTAGTGGACATAAACGGCACAGAGATGGGTGACGCCACACTCTGCCGGGATTGTCTTGAGCAGGCCCTGCACCCTAAATGGCGCAAGGGCCGCTGACTTGCTCGGCAGGATGTCCATGGCTGACTGTTCCTATCTTGTGTCGTTGATGTCTGTCAAATAAATTTACGCAACTTCCCACGACTTGACAACATATACATATATAGCAGTAGGGATGTTCAAGCAGAGGGCCGCGAAGGTAGGAGTCATACGGAAGCGGAAGGAGGTGGTGGAGAGTCGGGGAAATGAGTCAAGCAGTCCCGAAGACAGCAGTGACGACGATGCAGTCAAGCGCATCGACAAAGGTGGCAAAGAGGTCTTGCGTGCGCGCCAGGTTGCTGGCGGTGTCGCGGTGCAGACAGGGGTGAAGCGTCAAAAGATGGAGGATAAGGATCTTCATGTTGTGTATGAAGGCGATCGGACGGCCGCGAATGTTCACATCAACGATGCAACTCGCGAGGCTGCGAATGTCGATGGATATGATGAGGCGGCGTTGCTTGGCAAGAAGAAGCAAACAGCAGGCACAGACACTTCTGTTGACAAGGCAACTTCTGCGCAGCGTGCGCGTCAAGGTCCCGTCAAAGCAGCCGCCAATATTCGCAGCATCACAGTCATGGACTACCAACCAGATGTTTGTAAGGACTACAAAAAGACTGGCTTCTGTGGATTTGGCGATACCTGCAAGTTTCTGCATGATCGAGGTGATTACAAGCAAGGCTGGCAACTTGATCGAGATTGGGAAAAGGCTGCAAAGGCGACACCAACCCCAGCAGCTGACGCATCCAAAGTGGAGGAACTGCCTTTTGCTTGCATCTTGTGCAAGAAGGAGTACAAGACCCCAATCGTCACGCGTTGCGGACACTTCTTTTGTGAGGCTTGCGCATTGACACGGTACAAGAAGGATCCAAGTTGTGGACTGTGCGGACAAAGCACTGGTGGGATTTTCAATGGAGCCAAACGCTTACTCGAAGCGAAACGGGCGAATATCCGTGCAGCGCTTGCTTCTTCGCCAACTTGAAGAGAGTTAATCACTGTCGTCACTGCCAAAGTCCACTTCAAAGTCAGGACCCCCGAGGTCGGCAGATTCGAAGGCTTGGTTGAGTTGTGTGGCGATGCGCGCATCGAGTGCTGCATCTTGCGCTTCATCCTCCGCCTCGGAACCTTCTTCCTCTTCAGCCTCAGCTTCAGTAGGTAGTTGCGCGACTGCTTCAATCGCGTCAGCGTCATCTGCATGAATCAGAATATCTCGAAACTCGGCGTCGCTTGGAATTTGGCCCTCAGACAGCTTGACTGCCTTCTCCTTCAGGACATGGCGGACTGCATTGATGGTGGCGTGTCGGAACCATCCATCTTTTGGCTGAGTTGTTAGTGTCGACGCATTCTGGATGGCTGCTCACATCGCATTCTGTTCTGACTGTGGCTCTTTGGATGATTTGAACAATCACAGGATCGGAAATGTCGCACAATGCAAACGTCCTCGCAGCGAGGTGCGGCGTCACTCCATCAAAGATGTGCGTTTCGCTGTTATTAGCTCCATTGAAATATAGCACACCTTACTTCTTCTCATGCTGTGGACCATCTGCCTTGGGTTTGTGCAAAAAATAGACTGACTGATATTTCCTCAATGCAGGATCCGTGCGTGGATCAACGCCAAACTTGCAGTAGGAATCCCGCCACGGTCCTGCACGCCATACAAAGGCGACATGTGCGAGTGCATACTTGAGGGTGGTATTTTCTCTTGCGAACCCTAATATATTACACATCTTGCGTCTCGTCCACATGGGTTCTTGCTCAAACAAGGCCTGTAATTTCGTCTTGACGGCAAGGATCTCCTCCGTGGTAAAAATGTGTTCAGAGGGACAAGTGGGAACAGGGCCATCAAAGAATGAATGAGCGAGTAGGAATTGTCGAGGCGGCAAGACTCCAGTACCCTGTTGCCTGCCGGCCTGTGTTTGCGTTGCTCTTTGACGTGCTGCGTAGTTTTGTTGGTAGTAGTAGGTGAATGGGAGTGTTTGAGTAGACATGATGGGTGCAGGCGGCATGTCAATCCGTACATCCTCCTCTGGTTCTTCGTCATCTTGCGGTGTGTAATTGGCCATGACGCGAGCTGCAAGTTAGTATGACTGTGCAAACATCCATTGACTGACCGTCATTTGTCTGGATGGCTGCTTCAAATCGCTTGACAGCAGGCGAGCCATGTGTCGATAGGACAAAATCTGCCATACCGCGAAACCGCACTGTATGCTTGACCATCGCCATTGGACGTTGCAAAATTGTGGTCTTGCCAGTCTTGTATGTTAGACTCTTGGACACACATAGCCAGCAATAGACGCACCTCCTGATCCACACGCTTCCTGCAGCGTATAATCATATTATTCGTCTTGACCGTCGTAGACAATTTTGGATGCTCATAACGATCCCCTGGCCTGAATTTGAGCCCCAAAACAGTCTTTTCAGGCTCATCAGCCAGTTTACGAAGCGCAACAGGACCACCAATAGACGAGACAGCTTTAGCAGTATTCTTGACCTTGGCTGGGTGTTCTACGAGCAAGACTGTATGTGTTGGGCAGGGGTAGATGTCCCTTGAGCTTGTCTCTGCCATTTTGTGCGTGGCGAGTGCGAGCGTGTGCCTGGTGGGTATAGCAGCACAGGAGTCTATGAAGAGAGCAACGACAAGAGCAGGAACCGAGCAGCAACGACCAGCAGAGGAGGGAGGCAGCGCGAGAGGGAGGAGGAGGACACGAGCAGGCGACGACAAGAGGTGGGTGGGTGGGCCAGCCAATCAGCGCGCAGGAACTGCATGCAACAACACAGAAGCAGCAGCAGCAGCAGCAGCAGCAGAGAGAGACGACACAGGACACGAAGCAGCAGGAGCAGGCACTGAGCAAGGGCCAAGGAGGATAGCAAGAGGATACATACATCTACAAAGGACACGCAGCAGCACCCACTTGCTGACAGTCGGCTGGCTCCGACACCATGAAGGGCTTCAAGAACCGCGTCGTATGCCTACCTCACAATCATGGACGGGTGCTAACTTTGTCTAGCTCTCGCGCACAAAGAGCAGCGGCAGCGATACATCAAGCAAGAGCAAGAAGAAGGACAAGGACGATAAATCAAGCAAGTCGCAGGAGAAGCCCAAGATTGAACGGACAGGCAGCGGGAATAGCCTTGACGGCGGCCTTGCTGTACAATCACCACAAGCATCAGGCGGCAGTCCTATTGCTACACAACAACAAGTCACAGGCGCATCACAGACAGGACATGCACCGCTCACACCCACCGGTGCACAAAAACCGCGGCCGATTGCGCCGCAGCTGGTCGTGAGCCCGAGTGCTTCCCAGTCGCCTGCCTTCCCCGGCAGCACAGAGACCATGCCTGCTGACCTGATTACACCGCGGCATGCATCTAAGTCGCCTTCCTTTGATCGCCTGCAAGCAACGGCCAAGGCAGATTTAGCGGAGGGAATTCGCTCTCCTCGTCGGCAGCACTCCTCGCGCTTCCACATCTCAGACAACCGGGAACTCGAAAAGCTCCCGGCGTTTCACGATGTACCCACCTCGAACCGGCAAGACTTGTTTATGCAAAAGCTCGAGCAGTGCAATGTCATTTTTGACTTTAATGATGCGTCGCAGGATATGAAGAGCAAAGAGGTCAAGCGCGAGGCATTGCATGAGTTGTTGGATTATGTTGCCAACAACCGCAATGTCATTACTGAACCGCTTTATCCAAAAGTCATCAAAATGTTCTCAAAGAACTTGTTTCGGCAAATTCCACCGCCCATCAATAGCTACGGCGAGGCCTTCGATCCGGAAGAAGACGAGCCCGTGTTTGAAGTCGCATGGCCGCATCTCCAGGTCGTGTACGAATTCTTCCTGCGCTTTATCGAATCGCCAGACTTCAACACGAATATCGCGAAAGGCTACATTGACCATCAATTTGTGCTCAACCTGCTAGAACTCTTTGACAGCGAAGACCCACGGGAACGCGACTTTCTCAAAACGACGCTGCACAGGATATACGGTAAATTTCTCAACCTCCGCTCCTTCATCCGGCGATCCATCAACAATGTGTTCTTCCAATTCATTTATGAGACTGAACGGTTCAATGGCATTGCAGAGTTGTTGGAGATTCTTGGTAGCATCATTAATGGCTTTGCGCTGCCACTTAAAGAGGAGCACAAGATGTTTTTGACACGCGTATTGATTCCCCTGCACAAGGTCCGCTCGCTCCAGACCTACCACCCACAACTCGCATACTGCATTGTGCAGTTCTTGGAGAAAGATCCTTCCTTGACGGAAGAAGTGGTGGTCGGTCTCCTCCGGTACTGGCCTAAAGTCAACTCACCCAAGGAAGTCATGTACTTGAATGAGATTGAGGACATCTTTGAAGTGATGGAACCCTCGGAATTCGTCAAGATTCAGGTGCCCTTGTTTCAGCAACTCGCCAAGAGCATCTCGAGCCAACACTTCCAAGTCGCTGAACGGGCGCTGTACTTTTGGAATAATGAGTACTTTTGCACCCTTGTCAGCGAGAATGTCAATGTCGTTCTTCCCATCATGTTTGCTGCATTGCATGAGAATGCCAAAACGCACTGGAATAGAACCATCCATGGCATGGTCTACAATGCCATGCGGATGTTTATGGAAATCAACCCGATGCTCTTTGATGCCTGTCTCGCGGAGTACAAAGTCACACAATCTGAGCAAGAACAACGGAGTGCTGAACGCGATAGTATGTGGAAGCGTCTTGAGGAAATGCGCCTCGGTGACCCACAAGCGTTTTCAACTGACGAAGGAACCACGGCAGACGTACAGCCACTAGCTCCTGCCGTTGAAAGGATGACGGGTATGCCAGAGGAGCCGGTGCTAGAAGCGGCCGAGGACACGATGCATCCTTAGAGCAATTATTAAATAGTCAACCAGTACAGTAAACAACCAGGAGGTCATGCTTATCCTATGATAGCAAATCGACGTTATTCGGGAGTTCGTCAATTTGACAACTGTAGTACAGCTCAATGTCTCGCAATATACGCACATCGTCGTTTGTCACAAAGTTGATGGCCACACCCTTCCTGCCAAACCTGCCACTCCGTCCGATCCTGTGGATGTAATTTTCTCTGTTGAGGGGTAAGTCGTAGTTGATCACGAGCGAGACTTGCTGCACATCTATCCCACGCGCCCAGATATCCGTTGTGATGAGCACACGCGAGTTGCCCTGTCGGAAATCCTGCATGATGCCCTCTCGCTGCTTCTGCGGCATCTCACCATGCATACTCGCTACCGTGAAATTCGCCTCCCGCATCTTCTCCGTGAGCCAGTCGACCTTCCGCCGTGTATTGCAAAAGATGACAGCTTGCGTGATGGTGAGTGTATCGTACAAGTCGCAGAGTGTATCAAACTTCCAGTCTTCTTGCTCAACAGCGATAAAGTACTGTTTGAGTCCTTCAAGCGTCAACTCGTCACGCTTCACAAGGATACGCACGGGGTCTGTTGTGAATTTGCTCGTCATGTCCAGCACATCGTAGGGCAGTGTAGCAGAGACAACCACGACTTGCGTACCAGGAGGCAAGTAACGATACATGTCGTAGATTTGTTCCTTGAAGCCCTGATTCAACAACTCATCCGCCTCATCCAGCACAAGCATCTTGATGTGTCGAGTCCTCAAATTCCGCCGCCGAATCATATCCGCAACACGGCCCGGTGTCCCAGACACAACATGCTGGCCATAATCCAACTTTTTGATGTCCTCGCCAATCGAGGTGCCGCCGATACAAGCATGACACTGTACACTCATATAATCGCCCAGCGCCAAGATCACACTCTGAATCTGCGTCGCTAGTTCTCTGGTAGGCGACAAGACCAGCGCCTGGGTCTCGCGCTCGGCCGTATTGATGGTTTGCAGAATAGCGACTGAAAAGGTTGCCGTTTTGCCAGTGCCTGACTGTGCTTGCGTGATGCAGTCGCGGCCTTTGCATATTTGCGTGATGGCCCGACTCTGTACTGCACTGGGCTTCTCATAGCCATAGCTGTAGATGCCGCGCAATAGTTCCTCCTTCAATCCCATCGCCTCGACTATTTGTTAGCGCCTTTGTTGGTGTGTCACTGGCGTACATGAAGCGGAGCTGTGATGTTAGTAAGCGTGTACTTGATACGCGATGTACATACACTGCGACATTGTCTGATGTCTCTATATCTGCCATCTGTAAGCTCTCAATCAAGCTTGTGCTGGATGCAAGTTTGAAATTGAAATTTGTCGTCGCTGCGAAAGGAAAAAGATGAGACGCTACTGCTATGACTGGCGAGTACAAGGACTCAGGGTGCAGGAACCGTACCACTCTCATCACCGCCCATGGACATGGACCGCGTTCTGCCCCGCCGCAGCTGGTTATCCTCATCCTCCCGTGCATTCAGCTTTTCAGAGGGCAGCAAGATGGCACGGTCGAGCTTCAGGGGCAAGCCACGATGCCGTCCACGAATCTGCAGGGCAATAATCACCAGCTTGCTCAGCGACGCAAGCTTACCACTCAAGCTGTAGTCCACGCCTGGAAACCCAAGACTCAGACCGACTGTCCCATAGGCTGAGATGATCTCAAACAAAATGTTGAAGATACTCACGCCATCCTCCTCCGTTGTCCCGAGTTTCGGGTTCTCAATGATGCAAATGATGAAGAGCGCAAGGAAGATGTACCATAAATCAAATCCAAGCTGTCGCCTGACATGTGTGCCAATGAAGGATGGATCCGCCGTATCATCTTCATGCGAGTAGATGCCAAGACTGCGCTCCTCATACACATTCGTCCGGCGAATACTGATGGCAACAGGGAAGACAGAGACGTACATCATAATCATGTACGAGACAATGACAGCTGCATGGAGTGAGCTGATGTTGACCACATTAAAACCAGCGGTTCGTGTGCAAAACGCTTGGAAGAGGCCGTCCACCAAACGGTAGCCGACGGGAATGGCTGTGATTTCGGGATTGTTGAGGTCGAGTACCATGAAGAGCAGCAAGTCAATGCCATTGAATGCAACGAGTATCGAAACAAGCCACCAGGTTGCTTTTGAGGGAAAGAGCAGCGTAAAGCAACGCCTCGGATGATCGAGTAGAAAGGCAAACTCCTCGCGCCTCGGTGAATCCCGTGGCCAGATTTTGTAGGTCACCCAAATGACGAATCGCAACATACACGGGAAGCCAGTGTTGCCAATGACAATCAATGCAGAGGCAACCAGAAGCAGAAAAGAGGCATTCTGAAAGGAAACAAACGAGTCCGGGTTGAGTGTCAGACCCAAGTCATTCATGGCTGAGGCGGACGTAAAGACCGACCACCAGCCGCGCGAGACGGCATCGTTCTGCACAACAGGGATGTACTGCTGTGCCGTGTAAATAAAGGCAATAAAGCAAATGAAGCCAATAAGGTGGAAGCCGACGTAGAAGACAACGAGTACCACACACAGCGTCTTTGTAGCGCGATACTCAATGCCGCCTAGCTCGCGTCGCTGCTCTGAAGTCAGTTCAACAAAGGCAGAGTTGCGGCCGATGGTCGGTTGAAAGGATATGTACGGCAGTGTCATAGTCTGTCGTGATCTTCTTGATGTACTCGCAGGACTACTATCCCTTCTCCGACGAAATGCACTCGAGACTGCTTGGTCCAGAGTACTGACGCGCGGTAGCCGTGTACCGGACTGAGCACGGCGTCGGACAACACGATTAGTGCTCGGTCCATCCATTGTCATGGTCCGTTGACCGAAATTCAAAATGGTTGCTGTGAGAGAGGAGCGACCTGGATCCGCTGTCCGGCTACGACGCAAATCGCCACCATTCGCATCGTTATTCTCATCTGCCATGGCTGTGCGCGTCCTTGGCATAGGTAGATCTGCAAAACGAATGTCTTGGTTCGTTGTGCGAGCATCTGCTACTTCTGCGTCCGCATCCGCCTCGCTCTCTGGTTCTTTTGCATGTGTTGGATAGCTTGACCTTGAAGAACCGCTATTGCTGCCTTTAATGGAGTCCAGCTTTTCCATACGCTGCTCGTGGCTCTTGCGTACGCCCAGCGTCACAATAGGCTCTTCCGCATCCTCTACGGCGACAGAGTTCTTGCGAGGCAGGATATTACTGAGAGAGATGCGCTCTGCTATCGAAGAGCGTCGTCTGCGATGGGACCGGTCAGGCATGGTGCCTTCATCATTGGCAGAATCAGGAGGAGGTCCAAAGGAAGGCCGAATGGTGCGATCAAACAGCACGCGAATCTCTCGACCACCGACACCGCGCTCTTCATGGTCGATGGAAACAGCACGAGACCGTGTGCGTCGCATACTCAGCTGCATGCGTGTTTCCTTGACAATGTGGTCGAACCGTCGCTGAAACCAGTGGAGACGAATAAAGGCAGTTGCAGAATGGATCACGATGGGATTCGTCAAGTGAGCGAGGAGGTAGATGACCACCTGCTGCCATGTTGTGAGTGTATTGATGTTGCGTGTCGTCAAGCCTGCCTGTGTGCATGAACTACTCGCGATGAAGAGGGCGTCAATGTATCGGATGCCTCCGCTGGCGCTCATCTATAGTCAGCAGGGAACAACAAGCGCAGAATGAGTCCATACCAGGCCGCTGCCAATCAAGACCATGCCAATGAGGTAGAGATAGTGCCATGCGATAAAGTCAAGGTGTCGCAATGCTGATGGATGCTGCCATACATTGGCGCTCCATCCTCTGAGCTGCTCAAACATACTGCACGGCGTCTACGCTTGCAGTCAGAGGAAAATAGGGAAAGGCGACAGAATACAAGCGTCCGATGCCAAGTGGCGCGACAGATGCGCTTGAAAAGCAGAATGTGAATGAAGAAAGGTGTACAGCCTGCGGCCGGGGAAGGTAGAGCCCGCCGCGAGCAGATGAAGCGCTCTGGAGCTGTTCTGTGTTGCTGCTGTTGAGTGTCTCTTGCGAGGTGTCTGGATCCGCCCGTCAAAATTGAAAAATTGAGATCTGGATCTGGACTCTGGAGAAGACCTGCTGGCCTGTAGCTACAAGAGAGAATATATGCTATTGCGCCATCTATGACAGCTGCCAACGAGGATCATACTGGAACATAAAGGTTGTCTAGCCCGATTGCTGCATCGAAGCAGACATAATCACTTTCTGTGAGTCTTGATGCACAGCTCGAATAGTATTACCGTCAAGCAGTACGCTGTAGGGTTGTCTCGCGTAGACCGGGCTCTGTGCTCGATAGTGCATTCCCGTCAGCTCAGTCGACGTTTTCGAATGATGCCGGAAGGCATTAGCCAGAAGCAGTACATTCAATGGCGCGTGAACCACCACCTCTGGATGCCCCTCCTTGTGTATCGTATGCTCCTTGTCGTAGTGTATGCGATGCGCGTTGAAGGTCAATGCAGAGAATCGAAACAAGAGCACTTCAGAAGCAGTCAACTCGCCAATAGGTACTCCCGCCGCTGCCTCCTTGATGCTCGGCTTGGCTGGCGATGCAGAGTTTGACAATTCTGATGCTTCTCGAAAGAGCCATTGCCGTCGTTCAGTCAGAGCGAGGCCTGATTCATTGTGATATTCCTTCTTGGCCGTGACCACAATCATGGGTTGCCCAGACTTGGTGATTTTTGCCGTAGCAGAGTCAAGGCCTGGCGTTAGCCAAGTTGTCCAGTAAAGAAGACACACTTGTAATCTCAGTGACAGTTTGTCCAAAACGCAGAGGATTGTTGACTTCCCAATCGAAGCGTCCACCTGCCCACATGCGTCTTGTGAAGCTGCCGCCAGCATTGAATGTTGGATCACCGCCATCGCTCGATAGCTGGTCTTCAGTGAGACGCGGTAAAAAGTACAAGAAGTGATACACAGGCGGAATGAGGCTGCCTGCCTCTAGCTCAGGTGTAGGAAACAGCTTCAGATGCTGGAGCGAGATTTGTAGTTGGTTTGCAGGCTTTACATGCAGGGATTCAGTGCGCTTGACTGAGCTTGAAGACAAGCGTGTTTTGAGAGCTTCAACAGTGAGATACGGACTTAGGCTTTTCAAAGGCTTTGTGCCTCTCATGATCAGTGTGGGTAGATGGCGTGGTCTTGGTCGTTGCGTCGTCCATCTCGTCGCTTCTCTTCATGAGCAAGACTCTGCCTCGACAGTCGACATCTCCTGGCACCTGCTAAGCTGACATGTCTCTGTCAAGGTTCCTGCAAAGTTGTAGAACCAGTCTTGCTCAATCTTCTGCTCAGCTGCCAAAGCTCGCCTATGTGGTGGGCAACGAGTCGGCCGACCTCGATTCTTGCATCTCGGCCTTGAGCTATGCCTTCTTACAGGGTCAGCTCAGACCTGACACACGTTTTGCTCAATGCATCCCTGTTGTCAATGTGCCTCGTGCAGATATTCGGCTACGTGCTGAACTGCTGCATCTCTGCAAAAGTGTTGGTCTCGATACCAATGACCTTATCTGCAGAGATGAGATTAGCCCTTCTTCTGCAAAGGACTGGATGTATGATTGCCCTTCCATGGTCGCAGCTGACAGGCAGCATCCTGGATCACAATCATTTCAAAGTTGAGGGTATCGATGCTAGTGAAATCAAGGTGCTAGGCGTTGTTGATCACCATGTCGACGAACACCTCTACCTCGATGCGAAGCCACGCATCGTACAGCAGTGCGGCAGCTGTGTAAGACACTTTCGCATTGATCTGACTAATTCTAGTGCTCTCTTGTGGTTCAATACTTTCAGTCAAGCTGGGCAGAGCAAGGTTTTGATGGTGAAGCAGAGCTCATTCCACTATTGCTCAGTGCCATCTTGACAGACACTGCTAATCTGACGCAACAAATGACAGACATTGATGTCGATATGGTCAAGTTTCTTCGGTCACGCATCATGGCGAGTGCAGTCACTGGTACTTGGAACGAAGCCGCGATGCTTCGTGCGCTGCGTGATGCGAAGCGCGACAATGCAGGCCTTACGACTGCAGAGGTGTGTTGATCAACACGAAGGAATGAAACTGACGATAGATGTTTCGACGTGACTATAAAGAATGGGACCTGGGCGATGCCGGCAAATGGGGCGTATCAAGTGTGACGACGTCCATGGATGACCTTGCAAAAGAGGCGGACTGGCTACAAACGAGTTCTCGACATGCGAAAGCACGTTCTTTGGACATTCACCTCGTCATGACAAAGCATGGACCCAAGGAACTCATGTGCCATGTCGCCAATCCTGCCAAGTCAAGCTGGATGGACAAGTTTTTGAAGCTAGCGACACCTGAATTGCAGCTTGAGTCTTGGGCCAAGGAGCCGCACTCTGGGCCAGAATTTTACACGTTCCAACAGCTTAATACTGTCTATACGCGTAAGAAGGTGGCGATCTTGTGCCAGGAGATGCTCAGGACTGGTTGAGCTAGCATACAGACACACACAAACATATGTAGAATTAGAGCAAAACCCAAATTTCAAAGTTGTGCAACCGTAACGACAAACCAAGACTGAATCACCCGACGCGCTTGTTTGTTTGGTAGCCTCAGCCGTGTTGCCTGAATAGCTCATGAGATGCAGTTCAAGATGAGGCGATCGTCAAAGTCCTCGAGCGATAAGCATACCCGCGATCGGCCGCCGCCCAGCTCCCTCCTCACACGGACAAAGCGAAAGCATGTCATTCGCATTGCACTCGTTATTGGCATGTTGACGCTCTTCTTTCTGCTACGCAGTCAAAGGCAGCTTCATACGCGCGCGCCAGTGCCTGTTTCTGATGCCAATGAGGCGGTGGATGAGCCGAGGCCTATTGAACGTCTACCGCGAGCGATACAGGAGCCGCTGGCCAAGCCGCCCAAGACATCAAAACGAGCGAATGCAGCCATTGTTATGCTTGTTCGGTATGTGCTACGCTTGCTATTGAATGTATCAGACTAATCTAGCAGCAACTCTGAACTCGAAAATGCCATCAGCAGCATCAAAGACCATGAACGCACATTCAACAGCAAGTTTGAGTACCCATGGATCTTCTTCAATGACGAGCCTTTCACTGAAGAGTTCAAAAAGAGCACGTCTGCCTTGACAAAATCGAAAACGAGCTATGAACTCATCCCCAAGGAGCATTGGGATGTACCCGAGTGGATTGATCGCGAAGTGCTGGCAGAATCCTTTGCGAAGCTCGAACACGACGACGTCAAGTACCATCACCTGCTGAGCTATCGACAAATGTGTCGTTGGAACTCTGGCTTCTTCTTCAAGCACCCGGCCCTTGAACATATCAAGTGGTACTGGCGTGTTGAGCCGGAGGTGCACTTCTTTTGTGATATTGACTATGATGTCTTTCAATTCATGGAGATGCATGAGAAGACGTACGGTTTTGTGATTTCGCTGTATGACTCGCCAAAGTCCATCCGGACGCTTTGGCCAACAGTGGAGAAGTTTATGTCGAAGCATCCAGAGTACCTGCATGCCAACAACTCTCTCCATTGGCTACAAGACGATGCGCGGCAACATCATCATCGGATTGCAAACGGCTACAGTACGTGTCACTTCTGGACCAACTTTGAGATTGCCAATATGGAGTTTTGGCGAAGCAAACCGTACCAAGACTTTTTCGCTGCATTGGATGCGTCTGGTGGTTTCATGTATGAGCGTTGGGGCGATGCACCGGTGCACAGTATTGCCATGGGATTGATGGAGGATAAGCACAAGATTCACTTCTTTGATGATATCGGGTATCAGCACATCCCCTTCTTTTCCTGCCCAACAGATCGGCAGTGCAGCGGGTGTGATTATCAGTTGACGGATGCGCCTGGTACGGGCCTGGATAATGAGGACTGTAAGCCCGTCTGGTTTGATAATGTGGAGCGCCCGTCAAAGAAGTCGTTCACGTAAATTTGTAGCATGAATCTGACTGCATTGTCAGCACTCACACGATGCTGCCATTGATTCTAGGCGCTGCGATCCTCTTTACCGTGCTGCGCTCAATCTTGCCTCGTCTTGCTCTGCGCTATGCTCAATTCACGTCAGATCTTTCTGCTAAGCTCAATGCGCTCTCTAACAAGCAGGACGCCAACGCAGGCCAGTGAGGCACAAAGGACAGCTGCGGCCAGTGTTCGCGCTCGGCAGCTGAATGCACAAATCACAACTGTTTTATGGATCGCAGAAGCAGCTTTACAGTATTCCTTCACCTTCTTCAAGCGGAATACCCAGGTTCTTCAATTTCAGGAAGGCACGATCCCTGGCGTGTTGGGGTACGTGCTCTCACTGAACCAAGTGTATGCCTTATTCTATGCATCTGGCATCACAGTGAAGCAAGTTCAAGCACTACTAGTCTAATGAGTCTTTTTGTAAGGGTCCGAACGAGCATCTACTTATAAAGAGCGACTTGAATCTTTGCCTTCTTACTCCTGTCCGATGTGCACCGCCTTCCTTTTTATATGCTCACGCCTTGCGCGAACGAGTCCTGCCGGTAGCACCGATACCCGTTGATTTACCCTTTGGCGAGTCCTCCAAGGATGCTTGCACGGCATCACTAAATTTCGGGTCAATGGCAATATCCCCCGACGACACCGCTTTACGTGCTGCTTTGGGGCTTTGCTTGGTGTAGACGCGGATGTAGAAGCTGATGAAGAGAAGGAGGTACGAACTGAGGATCCCCAATCCCATGAGTGCTGCATACTCCTCACCCGTACAATCTCCCATGGTGGGTGCCCAGGGGAAGTACTTGATGGCAAAGTGCGTGTAGGAGGCAAAGTAAACGAATCCGAGGTCCAGCACGAATTGAATGATTTGAATGCGTGTGACCCATTCCTTCCACCAAACACGGATACCGCGTGCTGAGAGGAAGTAGTAAAAGTACATGACCACATGCACGGTTAAGTTGAGGAGGATGGGCACCCAGGACTCATGTTAGTAATCTTTTGGCAACAAGAAAGAGGTCGTACGACAGAGGTGTGACCCAAGAGTTGCGTCCAGCACAAGGCTGCCGTTGCACCGTGGTGGTACGTGTGCAAAAAAGCAAGAGGCTTCTTCTTGAGGAAGAGGAACATGGTGTCGATGAGTTCAATGTACTTGGTGATGTAGTTGAGCTGCGTGTTAGTATTGTTTGTATAGAAAGACGCGACGCACGTAGTAGATGAAGACGAGAGGCTGTGTCCACGCGCCAACATTGCAGATGGAGTAGAAAACACCACGACGAACGACGATTGGGAAGATTTGCTCAAAGAGCAAGGCCCAGAGGAAGCCAGAGACCAGAGTCAGGAAGATGTTGTGGAGTTGGAACCAGGCATTGAGCCTGAAGGCTGGCCTGTTCTTCATAAACTCGCGACCGGAGAAGATGACGACATAGTAGGCAATGATGATGGCGACGACCTCTTGCCAGGTGGAGAGGGGTGTCTTGCCGGGGACGAAGCGGAAGGCACTTGCTTTGAAGCCTGTGAAAGTATAGAGGGTGGAGTCAAAGGTGGACCAGAGGTCGAAGCCGAATGGCCTGTCGATGGTTGGGAAATGCAGCGAGGTCATTTGTTGAGTGGAGGCCTTGATGTAGAGGTCAGGTGGGAAGGGCTAGGTGCGTGTTGACGCGACTGTGGGTGATGTTGTTTTGATTCGTTTTTTGCTCTTCTGTTTGGGTGTGGATTTGCCTGTTGATATGGTGCGTGTGGCTCCTGACTGGACCTGACAAGTCTTCCCTTGCTGTGCCGTCTGTGGTGCTTTGGCAGTAGCGAGAGAGCAGAGTATGTTGGTGCTCGTGGTTGTGCAGTTTCCTTTCTCCTTTTGGGTTCGAGTTTACTTCTCAGCCATCTCTACTGCGTCTACTGTCTACTGGCACTGCACACTTTCTACTGGCACTCTGGCACTCATCCACTGCAATTATTACATGTGAGCTGCACGTGACTGAAGCAAGCAAGTCAGCCAACGAGCAAACAGGCAACAGGCAACAGCAGCATCAGGCTACTAGCACCAGCCCAGCACCAGCACAGGCAACCCCATCCACCATGCTCCGTACCGCACTACGTAACGCAGCTCCCCTTGCCTACCGTACATCCCCACTCCGCACCGCCATCCTCTCAAAGCGGGCGTACTCCGCACACGCAGAGGAAGAATCCTTCGAGTCCTTCTCCCAGAGGTACACACTTGCTCAAGACACACTCCCCTGTTAACACAATGCCAGGTACGAAAAGTTCTTTGCCGGCGTGGAAGATCTCTTTGAACTCCAGCGCGGTCTCAACAACTGCTTCGCCTATGATCTCGTACCCTCACCCGGTGTGATTGAGCAGGCATTGCGCGCATCCAGGCGAGTCAATGACTTTGCTACCTCTGTCCGCATCTTCGAGGTATTTTTCTTTTCGTTATGTCCTGACGCTAATATCCAGGGCATCAAGCAAAAGGTTGAAAACAAGGGACAGTACGCACAGTACCTAGAAGAACTCAAGCCACTCCGTGAGGAGCTCGGCATCTCCCTCAAGGAGGATCTCATCAAGTAACAAGCTGCAACAGTCCACTGTAGATCAATGCCATCACCTGCTTCACTCTTGCTTCTCTATCTGCTCGTCATCACGTATACTCTCTGGTATTGGTGAGACATTCGCAGCTGCATCCCCAAATTCCATGACCACAGTTTCTGATGGAGCAGCAACACCCTCCTCCGATAAATCCTCCGGCACTCCCAGCGTCTGCCCCAATGGCGCCTGTAGCATCTCCAAAAGACCAGGCAACGCGCCAATCTTGCTCAGATAGTACGCCTTATCCACGGCAATGACCTGTGCAGCTTTCGCCGAACCGCCCTCCATCTTGCCCTTGATTACTGCTGCAAGATGCATCTCAGCAAATGCAACGACATCCGACATGATGCGCTGCAGCGACGCACTGTCCAGAAACTTGCTGAGCACTTTAAACAAGATGGTCGTATCCTTGACCAAGGTCACCATGTACTCATTTGCAGCATCGCCTGAACCTGACTCGAGATCTAATCCCGTCAGGACCGTGGACAGTGCCCGTGTTCGATCATTCATAATGGTAATCAGCTTCTCGAGCAATTCCTCACGGTGCCCAGCATACACACCTTCCAGCTCTCTCAATGACTTGACCGCCAAACCAGACGGACCAAGGACACCCTCTGCAAAGACCCGCAGCCGTGACACGACACCACTGACCAAGGAAATGGCTTGCGAGGCAATCGCAAGGTGTTTTGCAGTAATGCGTTCAAGACCCGCTGTCTTTGTAGCACCGGCACCGAGAATCAATAGCCAGGTCTGGTCGTTGTACAACCGTACATGAGCAGCAAGACTCGCGAGCGCATCGTTGCGAATGACAGGCATACGCAAGAGTAGAAGAATATGCAAGCGTACATCGAGCAAGAGCGTCACGGTACTCGCTGGAACCATGTAGCGTTGATCAGCGAGCATGACGTGTTTGCTCACCGATGCTGCTTCGTCTCCCGTCAACGCCAATTGCAGCCATTGCGCTTTACTGCCAGGATACACTTCTTGTAGCAAATCAACGCATTGCTGTGCTGATAGAGGGACACTCCCAGGCTGCCAATTGTCCGTTTCAAGCGCCGCTGTCAATATCGCAACCTGCTGCCTGCTCACTTCCCCGAACCAGTCCCGTGCTTGTGATTGAAGCAACTCACTGTGGTTCGTTCGAGAGGTCGCCGCATACGTCTCGCACTCTGCTGCAAAGAGGTAATTGAGCTCATAGTACCGCACAAAATCCAGTAACGATGCACGCAGCGTTTCTGCCGTTCTCACTTGCAACACCTTGACAATACGGCGCTGTGAGAGATCTGCCAAGGAGGGCGCCAAATCTTGCATAAATAAGCGTGATTGCACCACTGCATCCAGATCAGCAGAAGCAACAAAGTCAATGAGTACTTTTTGCTGCTCAACCACACTCCTCAGAAATCTTGAAGTCTCGAGAAAGACATTGCATAGCAACAGGTTGAATTCTTCCGTTGTCATGGATCGTAGTGCTTTGGCAAGACTCGCCGATTTGTCTGCAGTAGATCGCCTTGCAGTGCGACTACTCGCAAGCGACTCTGTGTCATCGCCACTAGGCAAGTGTCGTTTCGCCAACGATTTGACTTGCTTGTTGAGTGCTTCACGATACCCGGCAAATACAGGCTCAAGCAAGGACATGGACTGTAAGTCTTGCAGTCTGCTCATGAGACGCGTTCGCGTATCTGGTCTTGACTCCGTTGCGGCAACAGCATCACCACGGATCCCTTGCCATCGCGGCAAATGCTTGCGCGAAAGTTCCCTTTCGAGTGTTTCAAGGTTGTAAGCTTGGATGCTCTCCCCAAGTATATCCAGCAGCGCAGCAGTACCCGACTGAGCGTGGCGTTCAGAGGCACGTTCTCGCTGCACAACCAGGGCAGCCTTCATGGTTTTTACCACGGCCGTTTGTGCTAATGCAGGATTCGCAGCGCAGCACGCGTCAAACTCCTTCATTGTATCTAGTGCAGCGGAAAGATGGCTCGATTCACTCATGGCTGCAGCGTAGTGCTGCGACATGATGGAGAGCGTTTGCGTTGCTTGTCTGAGGGATTGCACATTTTGGTGTTCCGTCTTCATCTTGGCAAGTTGAATGGCTGCATCTGTATTATCATGGCCGAGTCCTTGGAATTCAGCTCGCAAGTCATCGAGGTGCTCGGTGCATCGTGCAGTTTGTTCAGCAAGCGAGCCGAGGTTCTGGATTGCTTCAAAGATGGCCGGCCCTGTTGCAGCAATCTCTTCAACGAGATCCGTTTCTACCGCATCCATAGCTAACGAGAGCTTTTCTTGCAATCTCGAGCTGCCACTCAGCGATACTTTTGTTGCGCCACCTTCGTGATGGACTTTGACTTGTGCATTGGTACAAACGAGATCAAATGTACGAGGATTTTTCAGTTCAAACTCGGGGTCAAAGAAGATTTGCGAGAGTGCAGGCTGTTCGTCTATGCTGAATCCACTCTTTTCGCTTGTGGGAGAGCCAGAGAGCACAGACCCTCGATCATCCATAGAGGTGCGCGAGGATTCATAGGCCATAGACTTTGGAATTTGATGAGCGACATTGGCTTCGAGGAGTTCAGTGCCTGTCGCCAGCGAACTGGTCCTTGGCCTTCTGAGGGAGCGATTCTCATGTGCGAGATGCTGCTTGAGACCCGCTTGTTTAGCCAAGGTAAAATCTTCATACTCACGCGCAATCTGCTGTATGTAGTGCTGAAAGTCTGCACTTGTAGCTTGAGGAACTGGTGAGAGTGTCACGGGCGGAATGTCTCTCAGCCCTGGCCTCACTGCATTGGCAGAGGCATTCGGGTGGTTTATAAGAGCAGAGATGGACAAGCTTGAAGGCTTGACTTTTTCCTCTCCATTCATGATGAGAGCTTGAGCTTACTTGGCATTCAGATTAGCATTCTAGCAACATTCAGCAGTAGCAGCAGTAGCAGCAGTAGCAGCAGTAGCAGTAGTAGCAGTGCAGCAACAGCCCACGTGATATAATTCGCGACGCGCCCAAACTTGACTTCAACGCGACTCAATTCATCTACACAGCGACCAGACATCATGTTCGACAGGCAGGGACTGTGTATAGACGAACCACGCTAACATCAGATCGAGCGTATACACCGCAAGTGTCTTCAATCAAGAGCGCGCAGAGAGCTCAGCTACGGCCACAGAGGCAACGCTTGTTCAGTTCATCCAAGAGTTCCAACTAGATCGCGCCTTCATCTACAGGCAACAGCTCCGTGAGAACTGCCTTGTGGGACAGCCGCGTCTCAATGTCGATATCGGTCATGTTATTTCTTATGACGAAGAACTCGCCCATCGGCTTGCTGCAGAGCCAACAGAAATCATTCCACTCGTACGCGACCGACACACTTTCTATGGACTTGCTAACCCGCAGTTTGAACGCGCAGCCCTGAAAGTTGCGCGCCAAATGCTCTACTCAGCCAGTGGTGACGTTTCTGCCATCTCAGACTGCCAAGTAACCCTCTCCTCCACTGAGAATCTTCTCTCCATTCGTGACCTCAACGCGTCCTATGTCTCAAAATTGGTGCGCGTGCCGGGTATTGTCATTGGCGCGGGTGTTCTCTTCTCCAAGGCAACACGCCTACAAATCATGTGTAAGTCCTGTCGCCACGTCAAAACACTGCCCGTCTCTGGGGGCTTTGCTGGCGTACAGCTGCCACGACGTTGCGACAATGAGGGCGCCGCTGGAGAAACATTGGACTGCCCACTCGATCCGTTCGTCATTGTACACGACAAGTGTAGTTTTGTCGACCAGCAGAAGCTAAAACTTCAAGAGGCACCTGATATGGTGCCTGTGGGAGAACTCCCAAGACACATTGAGCTGAGTGCAGACCGATTCCTTACAAACAAAGTCACGCCCGGCAGCAGGTGCACCGTGATAGGCATCTACTCTATTTACCAAAGCAGCAAGAAGCCCAAAGCTGCTGGTGCCATTGCAATCAGGAATGCCTATGTACGCGTTCTTGGTATTGAAGTCATGTCAGACAACGGCATCAAGGGTCTCGCCAACTTTGATGCACAGGAAGAAGAGACCTTCCTGGAAATGTCGCGCAACCCAAACTTGCCGGATGTCTTTGCCCATTCTATTGCTCCAAGTATCTTTGGAAATCTCGACATCAAAAAGGCCATTGCTTGTTTGCTGATTGGTGGTTCCAAAAAGATATTGCCTGATGGTATGAAACTGCGAGGCGACATCAACGTCTTGCTTCTTGGCGACCCAGGTACAGCCAAATCGCAACTCCTCAAATTTGTGGAAAAAGTGGCACCCATCGCCGTTTACACCTCTGGCAAGGGATCGAGTGCAGCTGGTCTCACTGCATCTGTGCAACGCGATGCCACTACACGAGAATTCTTCTTGGAAGGCGGCGCCATGGTCTTGGCAGATGGTGGCGTTGTGTGTATCGACGAATTCGACAAGATGCGGGACGAAGATCGTGTGGCTATCCACGAGGCCATGGAGCAACAGACCATCTCCATCGCAAAAGCCGGTATCACGACCATTCTCAACTCGCGTACATCTGTACTGGCTGCAGCGAATCCCATCTTTGGTCGCTACGACGACATGAAAAGCCCAGGCGAAAACATTGACTTCCAAACAACCATTCTCTCTCGTTTCGATATGATCTTCATTGTCAAGGACGACCACAACGATGCTCGTGACAGGGTAAGTTACTATCGCTATACGCTTCCACTAACTTGGTAGAGTATTGCCCAGCACGTCATGAATATTCACATGAATAGGCAGACGCAAGAAGCAGCTGCTGAGGGTGAGATCCCCATCGACCTGATGCGTCGCTACGTCAGCTACTGCAAGACGTAAGAATCTCTTTTTCTTGTCATTCGCTAACAACAGTCGTTGTGCTCCACGCCTATCGAGTGAAGCAGCAGAGAAGCTCTCAAGTCACTTTGTTTCCATTCGCAAGCAAGTACAGCAAGTTGAACAGGACAGCAATGAGCGTTCGAGTATCCCAATCACGATTCGTCAACTTGAAGCGATTGTGCGCATCACCGAGTCGCTTGCCAAGTTGACACTGAGCCCGATTGCCACTGAGAGCCATGTGGATGAGGCGATTCGTCTATTCCGGGCATCCACTATGCAAGCAGTGGGCGAAGGCGCTACGACCCGACAGGAGCTGGTGGATGAGGTGAATCGCATTGAGGAAGAGTTGCGTCGCCGGTTACCGATCGGATGGAGCACATCCTATGCAACACTCATGAAAGAATTTGTCAATGGCAAGGGTTACACAGTCTCGGCACTCACACGCGCTCTGCACATCATGGAGCGACGGGAAACCATTCAGATGCGCAATCAAGGCGCGCAAGTCTTTAGATCTGGCGTGTGAAGTGTCATTTCGTCAAACGTGTATTTTCTGTAGGAAGCGTTCAGCAATGTCTATTCATCACCAATGTCAAAGTTGTCGCGATCTGACAAGGGCGCTGGTGTCGCCTTCTTTTGCGGCTCAATCTTCTCCCACTTGCTCGCCGATTGTGCTCGTGCCTTCGCAGCCTCCTGACTATTGGCTGAGGTGGGCTTTGTTGGCTTCGATGGCTTGACTGTGGTAGCGTCGTGTAGTTCGAGCTCATTGAAGTCTTCATCCAAAACAGCCACTGCATCTGGATCCGCTTCGTAGGCCATGCTGGCACGCGGACGATCAGGCTCGCCCCTGCTTTGCCTATCGAAGGAAGCGCGCGGTGCTGCACTCGTGGATGGCGGCGCCTCTTGGAACTGCGTCGCGTACTGCTCCTTCAAATTCGCCAGGAAACCAGACACCTTTGTCTTTGTCTCATTGAAGCCCTGGATGATGGTCTCCTTGATGACTGGCAGCTCATCATCTAGGAAACTACGCTCTGGCTCATGGTTCGCGTTCGCCTCGCCCTGCTGTCGCTGCCGCTGCGTCTTGGCGAACTTCCTGTAGGCGCGATCCTCAATACCAATCTGACGCGCCAGCTCTTCATCTGCTTCAATCTGTTGCTGCTGCTCAGCAGACAATGTCGGTGCAGGCGCAGGCATGTCTGGCTTGTGATTCGGGTCAGACATCCCTAGCAACGCGTCGAAACTGCGCTCGAGATTCTGCCCTGACGCCATAAGCACTGCACTGATGACAGCTGCATCAATATCTGGGAAGGCCGCCTGTAGCGTTTCGACATTCGGGTCAGCTGGCGCCTTCTTTGGTGGTGCCACTGGTGTCGTCGGGAATGTTGCTGCCGCCTCTTTGGCCGGTGAAGTGGACATGATGCGCTAGATACTCTGCTCGTCACGAAACTATACCTCTATCAGGCCGCTATCAGGCAGGGAATGGGCCTTGTTGTGTTGACGCTGCAGGTTGATGGCGATAGCAGTAGTTCTAGCTGCACTCGACACTTGCGGAGGTCGCTTGCACGTGCATCTGAAGACTACACCCAAAAGATCGAGCTGATGCGCCTACTTCTGGTGACACGTCTGCTACTACTGGCCAGATCTATGCCTCGGCCTGCTCATCTGTCCTTCGATCGGATATAGCTTTCATCTCAACCCTCATTTCATCGCTGCAAATTACAGACCGTCGAGCTGATCACGGCACGGCTACCAATTATATATGTCAGCAAACAGCAATGCTATAGGTACAAAGACCGCTACAGATGATCGCTATGCAGTGCCCACTGCTGCTGCTCTCGCCTCTCTTGCTTCGACCACATGCGGCCATCCAATTGACTCTGTCAAATCGCGCATGCAGACATTTCGCTACAATGGTATCGCAGACTGTGTCGTTCGTACCTACAAAGCAGAGAAATTAGGAGGCTTCTTCCGTGGGCTGGCGGCACCTCTTGTCACAACAACTTTTGCGCGGACCATCTCATTCTCCATCTACTCTAGGATGCGCGAAGCTGGCATTCATCCATTCTTTAGCGGTAATGTGGCAGGTCTCACCGTTGCCTTGCTTGCTGCTCCCTTTGAATTCACCAAAATCTCGAGTCAGCTCTCCGTGCTCATACGGGCTTCATCACATGCCATACCAACACAAGGTGCCGTCACTGCTAGACAAACAACCACCTGGCACGAAGCCAAGCAAATCTACCGGCGTTTCGGCTTACCAGGCTTCTGGACTGGAATCCACTGGCAGCTCATTCGCGATGGCATTGGCACGGGCGTCTTCTTCTCGAGCTATGTCCTTGTAAAACGAGCCCTTCAGAAACATCCTGAAGTGCCCAATTCTGCAACGTCCATCGCTATCGCCGGTGGAAGCTGCGGCATTGTCGCTTGGGTTTGCGTATATCCACTCGATACGCTCAAGGCACGGCATCAGCGGAACGTGCTGCAAGGTCGCCAAGAGGCAAAAGTCATGCCACTCAATTTTCGCAAGCTCTATCGCGGCTGCAGCGTGAGTATCATTCGCACGGGTGTCATCAATTCCATCAATTTCAGTCTGTTTGAAGCCATCCTTGCACATTTGAGACAAGACGGCACAAGTGCGGATGCGCAAATTGCGGCCTGATTATGAAGCAAGCGGTACGCGTACTTCTTGCGCTTCGACGCGATTGGCAATGTTGTGCGAGGGTGCCTCTGGCATCTGTATCCGATTCGGCGCTGTTGGCATGTCTGGCAGTGGGTTCTGTGCATTAGCGACCGCCCGGAAAGAGACCCTCTCACCATCTGCGCTTGCAGTTGCTCGTACTCTGCTAGTACCTCCTCCTCTTCTGCATTGGATATCCGCTGCGATAGAAGCTCGGATATTTCCTGTTCCATTAGTCTCGATAGCATAAGCCATGTAGAGTAAGACGCACTTGTTGATATGCCACTGCATCGGCCGTCTCGTCCATCAGCTTTTCAACTCGCTCGATCGACATTTCTTTGTTGATGGCTCGCAAGACCTGATTGCCTTGCTGCAGGCCATACAGAACATCCTTCTCCACTAGCGCAAATTCAATAGAGGATGTCTAAGCAATGAGTGATGCGCTGAGTAACACAGATGCATACCAATTGTTCAAGCGTTGCTAGCTGCTGATCCGTCTTTTCGAGGAGGCCTTCTTGGTACTTTCGCTGCCGTAGCGCCAACATTGCTTTTTCCTTCTGACCCTTGGCCAGACAAGTTTTTGCGATAGCCAATTCACGGTCCAGCACGGTCTGTATCCGCCGTTGGTACTGACGCAGCTTGTCGCGCTGGACTTTCATGTCTAGTATTGCACGATCTTGGCTCGTGACTGCTCGACTAGATGACTGGCCCATTGACTCTTGTCTATGACCTACAAAGAGCAATGGAGCGTCCCCAGTGCTCCGTGACCTGGATCTGTCGCCAGGTGTGGCTGAATTTCGCCTTTTTCTGATAAGTTGTGACAACCACTCGAGCTAAAACGCCTTAGGGAGAGACCTAGGAGAGGCCCAGAGGACTAGAAGGCTCAAGGTCGGCTTGTTGAGCATCGTGCACCAATGGCTACGCTGGAATTACAGCTGAGACGAGAAGTGGAGCGGCATGTGCGCGAATACAAGGCGCAGGCGACAACCGATGAACCTCTAAGTCGCATACGCGTGTACAACTATGTGATTGCCAGAGACAGAGGCCTCGCACGGAAGAAGAAAGCGCTGGTGGAAAAAGCAATTGACGCTGTTTGCCGTGAATTGGAAGCGAGCGACCAAGCGGAAGCCATTACTGTCGATATATCAGATGATGATGACTTTAGTGTTCACGTATGCGCCATCACAACTTGTATCAAGCTGACAGCCAGGATGTCCCGCCAAAGACCTCGGAAGGCACAAATGGCACCAATACGCCGGGTCTTGCTCCTGCTGGCAAGACTGGTAGCAAGCGCAAAGAGCGCGTCAACGGGCGCGAGGTCAGGGTGAAGCGCGCAAAAGGTGAGTGTTCCAACACAGAAATATGTACTGATTGCCAGTGGACGATTCAAGGGATCCTCACTCAGATCGACGTCTTGCAGACCTTGGTGGAGTCGACGATTGCATTGACCAAGTGCTCGAGAATGTTGTCATGCCCTTGACACACCCGGAGGTCTACACGTACACCGGCGTTCCACCACCACGGTATGCTCTTCATCATCAATAATGTCTCTAACGATAGTGGCATCCTTCTACATGGGCCACCAGGCTGCGGCAAAACATTGCTTGCAACAGCCATAGCTGGCGAGGTTGGGCTCCCCTTCATCTCCATCAGCGCACCCTCTCTCGTCTCTGGTATGTCCGGAGAATCAGAAAAGAAGGTTCGAGAGCTCTTTGAAGAGGCCAAGCAGCTGGCGCCATGCCTTGTCTTTATCGATGAAATTGATGCCGTCACCCCAAAGCGAGAGAATGCTCAGCGAGAAATGGAGCGTCGCATTGTTGCACAATTGCTCACCTGCATGGACAGCCTATCACTCGACAAGACTGATGGAAAACCAGTACTCATTATCGGCGCCACCAATCGACCAGATAGTCTGGACCCTGCCTTGCGCCGTGCTGGTAGATTCGACCGCGAGATCTGCATGTCGGTGCCGAGCGAATTATCGAGGGAGCAGATATTGAAAGTCCTGTGTCGGGACCTCAGACTATCTGGCGCTCTAAACCTAAGCAAGCTTGCTAAAATGACCGCTGGCTTTGTCGGCGCAGATTTGAGCGCATTGACTGCAGCGGCCGGTGTAATGGCCATCAAGCGCATTTTCCTGGGCCTACAACAAGGCACCTCAAGTGCCGATCAGCCAAAGGTGTCAGTGACGGTAGCAGCTACCAAAACAGCCGCTATGGACGTCATGGATATGGGCGAGCTCACCATTCAAGAAGACGAGGCACCAATACCCGACACATTAGTAACAGAGGACCGGCCATTGTCTGGCATCGCAAAATTTCTCGCCACACATCAAGAGGCACTGCCGGCAGAACAACTAGAACGTATCTTCATTCAGGAAGAAGATTTTCTCAAGGCATTGCCACAGATACAGCCTTCTTCCAAAAGAGAAGGATTTACCATCGTGCCAGATGTCACTTGGGCTGACATTGGTGCGCTGACAGACATACGAGTTGAACTTCAGATGGCGATTGTGCAACCCATCAAACGGCCAGAACTCTACAAAGCTGTCGGCATTAACGCACCGGCTGGTGTCTTGCTCTGGGGTCCACCAGGTTGTGGTAAGACACTCTTGGCCAAAGCTGTTGCGAATGAGTCGCGCGCCAATTTCATCAGTGTTCGTGGTCCAGAACTACTCAACAAATATGTCGGCGAGTCGGAGCGTGCCGTGCGACAAGTCTTTGTACGGGCAAAGGCGAGTGCGCCATGTGTCATATTCTTTGACGAGCTTGATGCTCTGGTTCCTCGGCGTGATGACTCCTTGGTGAGTACCTCTCCGTCTTGTGCTTCGCTAATTTTCAGTCTGAATCCTCTGCACGAGTCGTCAATACCCTTCTCACTGAATTAGATGGCCTTGGCGATAGAAAAGGAGTCTTCGTCATTGCCGCAACGAATCGGCCAGACATCATTGATCCTGCCATGATGCGGCCTGGCAGATTGGACAAACCGCTCTTCGTCCGCTTGCCGTCTCCAAACGAGCGCGCAGAGATCTTGGCCAAATTGACGGCAAACTCCCCACTTGATGCAGTCATTGACTTACGCACTATCGCCCATGACACGAGATGCGAAAACTTCAGGTATGGCAAACTATCGAGATGACAATGCTAATCTGATTAGTGGTGCCGATCTCGCCTCACTTGCCCGAGAAGCTGCTGTCGCTGCACTGAGGTCCGCAGTATACAAGGACATCAGCGAACGAGAGCCAAATGCTGACGATGTCATACCCAGCATTATGATCACGGGAGCTGATTTTGAAATTGCCTTCAGCAAAGTCAGACCCAGTGTTTCTTCCCAGCAGCGGTCAAAATATGAGCAACTGCAAGGCAAGTATGCAGCATAGCGTCTGCAAGTCTAACTCATGATGCTACGGAAGATGATCATCTATGCAACCTCGGCAATAATCTCTGATGCCTGCGTCAATGATTCCACCATGCGTTGGCACTCTTTGCGGCGTTGTGTTGTGTAATCGCTTTCCCTGAGCAGCTGATCGAGAACGTCACTCTTGTACAGATTCTCGAGCAGCTCTCGCTGCATGTCTTCTTTACATGCCCTAATGTTAGCTTGAGGAATGTAAAGATTAGCACCTACTGCACAAGATTGAGCATGATTCCCTTTGGTACCATGTCGATCATGGTCCGTTTGACAATGTTGAAGTAAGAATTGATCAATAGCTTGATGACTTCGGTCTCGATAGATTCGCGCTCGGATAGGGTCCCAGAAGCCTTAAGCACTGGAGGTGGCGCCTCCATCGCAGCCATGCGTTTCTTGTTCTTCGATGCAAAGAAGCTGCCAAAGAATCCGCCATTCTCCGCTGAAGTGTCCAGGGACTGCGAATTGGGCAACTGTTGCTGACTAGCAGGGACAGGCTTGCCAGTCTTAGGATCGACTTGCACGGGCTTTGAACCATTTCTTTGCTCATTGACCATTGCCATTGCTCGGTGTCCATTGAGGAAGTCTGGATGGCCTGTGTTGATGTAGCATGCTTCCATGGCGACCAAATCGCTAACTAGTTTGTTTGTTGGGTTCATTGCTTTCTTGAAGAAGGCAATAACCACTTGATGGAATTTCTCCTTCAAAGCTGGATATCGCTTGAAAATCTAAAGATTAGCGCGTAATGAGTTGAGAATCAATAAGCTTACAGGTTTCGAGAGAAGTTGCGTCAGAATTCGAACGAGCTCGTCATATACTAAGCTTGCGCATTTGATGCTGGGCTCTTCGAATCGCTTGATTTGTTGTTTGATAATCACTTCAAATGCTGCTGTGCCGACAAATAGGGCCGGCGAAGATCCCGAGGAATTGTAGAGGATGGTTCGAATGTCAACTTCCTTGACAATGTCAAATGGGTCTACTGCTTTGACACCATTGGCGTAGAGTTCATGAAAGACGAATGAGATTCTGGCACCACCGGACAGTTCCATACTGGAGAGATCCTGACTATTGCCGTCAATCACCGTCCGGAACTCGTTGCAAAACTCGGTAATAACGTTGAGTACCATATTTGAACTGTTGCCGAGGATGGAGTCTCCAAGTGAAGATAGCTCAATCTGATACTTGCTGAGCGCTGATCCAATCTTGGCCTTGATTTCTGGCAAAGTGTTGCGAATGTGATGCATCAAGATAGTGTTCAGCTTGCGGGCTAGAAAGGGCGTACCGCAGTACTGTGCTTTGGAACGATAAGAAGCATGATTCTCAAAGAACTCGCGTTCAGCATCTAGTGCAGTCGAAATCTCCTTTTTGTTCTCAATGTCCCGTTGACCGCGATTTACAACAGGCACATAACCGAGTCTCAAGGGAATAACACGACCGGCGAGAATGTCTACCACATCGGTACCTTGGTCCATCAAATCGATTTTTGTCAAGACACCAATGGTTCGTGTTCCCTCTGGATCCACCTCGCGTGCGAGCTTCAATCCGTCAGAGTTGGCCAGATCAGTGTTGCCAGAAGTCACAGCAAGAATGATTGCATTTGGCCGCGTGATGTACTTGAGAATCATATCCCGAATCTGCTTCTCAATGTCCTTGGGTTGATCCCCGACGGGAACTTTGGTCAAGCCTGGCAAGTCAACCAATGTCAGTGTCAGGACATTCGGAGAGTATATGCGCAAGTTGATAGGTACCGGCGAGATGCCGAGCCCTTTGCCAGTTTTGGCATCAGTCTCCCTGACAATCTCATCGCGAATCTCATTGAAATTGTGGAACTTCTTGCCGGGAATGTGTAGGAACTCTCCCCATTCGTCTGCATTGGCATTGGCATCTGAGCCCTTCTTGACTTCGCTTGCATTAGCCGTCGCTGGCGTTGCTGCACGATTGACCAATTGCAGGACCTAGCTTGTGAGCAATTGATCTCTTATATGAGCAGTACTGACCAGCGGGCGCCGTGTGACAATGCCAGTGCCTCTAGGAAGAAAGTCTCGTCCGACAACGTTCTCAAGTACAGAAGATTTGCCGCTGCTTTGAGAGCCGATGACGGTGATTTGAGGCAGGTCCACAGGATTCGTTACGCCGACTGTTGAGAATGCATCTTGAAGACGATTGATCGTCTTGATGAGCGCCGGATCCATGACGCCTGCACCAGACATTGTGATAGATGCGCGCAAGACGACGAGATGTAGAGTGCGCGGATGTGTGAACTTGGCGAAAGTGTTGTTTCGTGTGCGCGTCCGAGCTTGAAACGCAGAACACACATCACAACACACGGCCTATAGGAATAGTGTTTCTGCTGGGATCATTGGCAAATGAGGCTTCTGCTTGCTGGACTATTTAAACTGGCTGCTCGTAAGTGAAGTAAAATGCCTGAAGATCCCAGCCTTCGCTACGAGATACTCGATAAATTGGGCTCTGGATCCTTCGGCACCGTCTGGAAAGCCCGCATCCGCGCATCTGGTCAGCTAGTTGCCATCAAACATATTGATCTTGAGGCAAGCGATGAGGATGTTGTCGAGATCCAACAAGAGATTGCCTTGCTTGGAGATTGCGATCCACGCTACGTGACAAAATACATTGAGAGCTTCGTTCACGGCTACACTTTGTGGATAGTGATGGAATTCATGTCTGGGGGCTCGGCACTAGACATCATAGCGGCGAGCAGACCGTTCTCCGAGGTCGAGGCGGCAGTACTGCTTCGCGAACTATTGCATGGCTTAGCGTATCTGCATGGCCAACACAAAATTCATCGTGATATTAAAGCAGCCAATATTTTGCTTTCTGACACTGGCGTCGTCAAGCTTGCTGACTTTGGTGTTGCCTCTCAACTATCATCCAACAAGTCGCGAAGACATACATTCGTCGGTACGCCTTTCTGGATGGCGCCAGAAGTGATACAGCAGGCAGGGTACGATTCTAAGGCTGACATTTGGTCGCTCGGCATCACGGCAATCGAAATAGTGCTGGGAGAACCACCTCTCTCAGACTATCATCCAATGAGAGCAATATTCCTCATACCAAAACAAGCGTCGCCAACTCTGCCTCGATCGTTTTCCTCGTCATTTCAAGATTTTGTCGACCTATGCCTGCGGAAGACGGTATCGGAACGGCCAAACGCCAGCCAGTTGCTTCAGCATCCATTCATTGGGACAGCAGCCAAGTCTAGGTCTCTCCTGGTAGCTCGTGTCCTCAACCTAGGTGGCAAGAGAAGCACAACACGAGATCAATCCATTGATTCTACGCACAATACGATCGCCGCGCGCACACTCTGTGAAATCCAGTGGGATTTCGCTACCATTCGCCCAAGAGATTGCCAAATTGATCACGACCGGTCGGACAAACCACAACCCGGAGCAAGGGACTGTATATTGGCGTCGCATGAGACAAGATGCGAAGCCGCAAGCTCAACTCTCGAAAGTGTCAGAAGCATAGCTTTTTCGCCACTCTCGGCGAAGCTTGAAATCCTACGAGAACGACTTTTGAACAGCTCAAAGGAGCAGCAGGCGCATGGACGATCGCATTCTGCTGTCACAAAGGTTCTCGATGGACTGGAGGAGCTTTGTAGAGTCAACGAACCTCACGCTAGCATCGTGCTGATGGAGATCAGCCAACTCGGCCAGGATAACGCCAGCCGTGATTCTCATGCCGTTGTACATGAAGCAAGGAGCCCTTTATCACTTCTTCTGTTTCAGCGCTGGGCTGAGCAGCTTGCAAGCCGTCAATGAATGAGGTTTACATGTCGAAACTCCCCCCGAAGGTCTTGCATGGACTCACAACAGTCAGGGCAGATCATGAAGAAAGTTGTTGAAACGGCCACCTCCCGCCAGTGCCTCTGGCAGAACATGCTTCCTGTGAGATCACTCATTGCAAGATCCGCAAAAACAGTACCCTGTTGATCGAACCCTGCTGATCAATGAAACTTTCCATCCTGCTGCTTGGCGAGTATCACCACATTCTGAAACATCCTCGATTTTCGTTACACTGAGTGCCTTGTGAATAACGCATCGGATCGCAAATCTTCAACGTTTGACTTCATGGGCATCGAGCTGAGCGGACTTCAGGCCCGACAATACAACAACAGTCCACCAACAAGGAATGCTATGATCTTGAAATCTGTAATCTGATTATCAGGAGTGCTGCTTCGACGCGACGCACCGTTCATCTAAAGCCCTGTGTGCTCAATATTCGCTCTTGCTGTTCGCATCAGCCGCCCTCTACCAAAACTTGTTTTATTCAGCTGCCTTGCCTTACCTGAAACAACCCCTCGACGCTTCTAGAGTGCATCCTTTGACCTGCGCTGCTACTCAATAGCTACGATTTTATTTGCGAGCTACAAGCTGCAAGCAAAGCTGCGCATTCACGACACGCGGAAGCGATCGAAATGTGCGTTGCAGAGTCGTTCGTAGCAAAAACGAGTTCTGCACAGCTGAAAGTAGGTAGTCTAGGTACTTTAAGGACTCTGGGAATCCGCGCCAGTGGCCAAAAGAGCATGCCTTGTAAGAAGCTAGAAATAGATCTCAAGAGAGAGGAATTGAAGCGCACATGCACACATCGTCGCGCGCCAGCCTCACGATAGAAGTGCGACTTGAGCAAAACATCAGACATCAGCAGGACGGCCTTCAGTGTGCAAAGGCTGATCGGCTTATGTGAACAGTGATAGTGATGGAAGCCTCCTTCAAATCAGCGATGTGGACTGCAAGAATGGTCGACACATGAGGCTTGAATTAGAGATGTATCATACCAGATCCTGAACACGCGTGTGACGGTGTGCCCATCTCGAGGACCGCGCCATTAAACCACGACGCGAAAATCCTGACGCGCTATCCCCCAAGCTCAGGCCACATTCCCAATACCTCAGCAATGGACAGCGAGCAAAAATCGGATTCATTGTCATCCGAAGACTCGGATGACTCGGATGATGCAGAGGACCAGCGCAGACTTCAAATATGTTTGGCCTACACTCAGATGATGAAGCTTCTTGTCCAACGCTATCATGATCGATGGAAAGCCGTCCGTCAGAACGTGGGTATCTGAATGGCGGAACGGCGGCAAACGTCAGCGGCGCCAACGAGGTTGATATTTTTGACGACCATCGGCACAGACCAGAAGTCAGAGACACTATACAACAAAATATACGTTATCTGTCGAAGCACCCGGTTCCGTCGCGCAAAGCCGCACCTAAGAAATTGCGGCCAGACACCACTCCTCTGATGCAGCGCAAATTGACGGCCGTCACCAATCGAGTCAGGCTCATTCAGCGAGTACTCACAACATTCGCTCCATACCACCGAAGAGCAGCGGCGGCAGTCGTCAGCAAAGCCAACGAATTTTGAAACATAACGGCTGCCATCAAGAAGTTGAAGGAGGGGACCACCGGAGACAGTCGATGTGCGTACCTGCTAAGGACACCTGGGAACGCAGCCGAAGTGGCGAAAACTGGGCGAGCCCAGGACTTCTCCACCAGACTCGAAGCACACAGACGAAGAAAACAGGACGAGCAAGACAACAACGCCGAAGTCAGTCAGGGGGAAGCTCCATTACTTGCCGCCCACAGACGTCCAAAGGGTGAAAAGGCTACAAAAGCGGCACTTATTGCCTGGCAAAATTTGTCGTCGTCGTCGTTGGGCGGGACGAGCGGCGTTGGAGTGCTCTGATCACGACTCTCCGGCATGGTTTGCGCAGCATCCTTTTGAGTCCTGATCGAGGTGGTGGCTTTTGGTCCAGAACATCCCTCTGCTGGCAATTGAGCTAGCAATGACTCTTGTGCTCGAAATCCGGCCCCATGAGTCTTGATAAGCAACTCAATATTGGTCACCTGTGCCTCATAAAGTGCAAGGCATTTTCCAGAATTGGCTCTGTCAATTCCTTTCATGCAAGAGAGAAGATTGGCGCCTTGTGCGGTAATGTTAATTTTGGCCAAGCCGATGGCTAGCTTGACATCGGAAATTGCTTGCATTTTGGCGGCGTTGGTCATGACGGCCTTCTAGTTTACACCCTTGTGTGCTGCAGCTTTTGCAGCCTTCTCGCCCTTTGGTCGTTTGTGATCGATCAAAGCAACCTGCCCCTGACTGTCTTCGGCATCGTTGTCTCGCTCAGCCCTTTTCCTTCGTCTCTGCGCTTCGAGACTGGCGGTCAACTCCTTGTCCTCACCCATGCCTCGCCACTTCGGATGCAATCCTAAAATTCTCCAGCAGGTGCGCACATGGATTGTCTCCGAAGATACATTCGTATCGAAGTCCGTGATGGCAGCGGACAAGACATCAGATTCATTGGCGCCGCTGACCTTGGCCGACGCTGCTTTTCGGTAGTATGGCGCGAATCTGGTGAGGACTCGCTGAATGAGTCTGACTCGACTGATGACGGCTGTCAACTTGCGCTGCGCCAGAGGAGTGGTGTCTGGCTGCTGTTCCTTAGGTGCGGCTTTGCGCGCCGGGACCGGGTGCTTTGACAGATAATCAGCATAGATTTTGTTGTACAGCGTCTCTGACTTCTGGTCTGTGCCGATGGTCGGATTGAGACTGTGAGTGACTATAGCCATGCTCAGGGTATGATCTTCCTGGTCCATCCATTGTGGTGCAGACGGCATGTTGCGGTGATGGCACTGTTCAATCGGCTGCTGGAGATAGTCAGGTAGCAGGCAGAGGGCCCTTGTAACTGTTACAATGTAACATTGGCGATGCAAGGCTGTGACTCGCACAAGCATGATAGCCAGGGGGTCGTGGTACAAGGATTTGCGCACAACAGGATTGTCGTCTGGCATTGATTGTCCTGTTGTGCAGCAACTTGTGCTACTTGTGCTGTTGTTGGCACTTGTTGCCCACGCGACGCAACTCGCATTATGGTAGAATTCCCTGATTTTATCTGGCATTCCAAATCTTGTTCGAGCTGTCTGTATGGCTTCGGAATGCTCGAAATTTCTAAATTTCGTCCTGATCAAAAGATGATCGGTCGGGCCCCGCTGGAATTGCGCAATCCTCATACCTCGAGATTGAGCTTGCCGGTGGCATTGCTCTTAGCAGTGTCATCATGGCGAGGACTGCATCATACTCTTGTTCGACTAAAAGACGATTCGACTCACCAGCACCAAAAGCTCTTAAGCGTTCGAATACAGGGTCAGAGTCCATTGCGTATCTTTCCTGCTCACTGTTGGAGGTGATGCTACTCGCGGTCAAGATCTCACGACGTGATCGGCAGTGGCAAATCGCATGTCTATGAACGACCATCATGGAACAACACAGAAAGCAAGAGAAAGCAATAGAACAACCGATGTTCTATTGGCTTCCATGAACACAACAAATGTTCTAGCAGCTTCCATGAGCACAAGTATATAAAGGTGGCAAGGTCTCATAGTAACATAGCAAGGAATCCCAGTATCAGCTGAACGGCGAAACACCTAAACACCCGAAGACTCACAACACCGCCCCTGGTTCTACATCCCTTTTCGCATTGTCATATGTCAATAAGCTTTCGCCCTATTTTTTGAGCTTTACTTCGAGATGTCTTGTCAAACCATGCCTGGAATCCCAAGCATTGACGACGGCAGCATTCTGATCGTCTCACTGGACCCCCATTAGAACTGTAACTCGAGTTGGCTCATGATTTATGAAATTTGTGATCACTCGGGCCGCTGCCCCGAACTTTCGGCGACAAAGACAGTGTGCCAACCTGTGCGCCATTAATTCAAATCAGCATCTAAAGAAACCCTGCCAGCTGATTGCTTGAAGCTGTAAATACGTAAGAATGATTTACTCGCTTCGCTCCCAAATGTTAAGCTCTGTGTTGTGAAGCAGTAGCGATTGCATGGCGAATACCTGATGAACAAGGCCTTAACTGTTGTGCGCAGCCTGCGCACAACATTGACTGCCAAGACATGAACATATTAAGGTGTGCTGTCACTGTTTATACTGCTACGAAATTGCTGTGCTAGCACTTTCTAGTGCACGCGTTGGCGATGTCGCACGCGCAAAATTTTCAGCGCACAACACTTCCACTTGTTCTGTGTCCTATTTGTGTGAGATTTACACGCGGAGCGTTCCAGACGACGACGAAGACTAGATTGGAAGACCTGCGAGATGCGCTATTGCTATGAGTTGACATTGAAATAAGCGATGACGAGACATGACGCTGCAGCGCAGGTGAGATGACAACGTCGTTGAGGAGGATGAGTAATGACTCCTGCACGCGTGTGGCGCATCGTAGACGATATTTTTGTTGGAAGTGATGCTACTCGCGGTCAAGATCTCACGACGTGATCGGCAGTGGCAAATCGCATGTCTATGAACGACCATCATGGAACAACACAGAAAACAAGAGAAAGCAATAGAACAACAGATGTTCTATTGGCTTCCATGGACACAACAAACGTTCCAGCAGCTTCCATGAGCGCAAGTATATAAAGGTGGCAAGGTCTCATAGTAACATAGTAAGGAATCCCAGTATCAGCTGAACACGCGAAACACCTAAACACCCGAAGAATTTTTTCCGAGAAATGGCGATGATACATAAGAGTGCGTAGCGTGCCGTATAGATCTGGTCTGGCAGTGCAAAGATATTTAGAAATAATCGTCCAATTGCAGATCAGGGAACAGAGTTTATCGCATGTAGCTGACATAAAATTGCTGCAGACAACGTGCTTTAAGACATCGCTGGAAGATCCAACACTTCGCCTAGCTTTGACTTCCCGCAACGGCTATCTTGCAATCTCCATTGAGCGGTGTCACTGTGCTTGGAAAGCCTTTGCTAGTTTTCATTTTCTGCCATCAGTACGCGACGCCAGCGCAAGGCTCATAATCTGTCAGCCCTATTCGGAGTTCACATCGCGTTTCCGTTGAGTTTAAAGTGACTTGTCTCTAGAGGACATCGCTGCAGCTCTCTAAATCCCGAATCTAAGGTCATTCCCAGTGTTCATCAAGCGAAACCTCCTTGACCCGACTCTAATCCCCGCAGAATCTCGAATTTCATCTATATCTAACATCTCTCTTGCGGCTTCGCTGGGGCTCTTCACCCAGGAATACTCTTCTGGGCGAGCTCGTGTATGTTGTGCACCTGCGTACAACAGTGTGATCGGATATTCTGTGTGAAATCTTTGATGGTAACTTGCGCACAACCAGGAGGTGCGGTCAGTACCTTTAAAATGTTGTGCGCTGGGGATTCCGAGCTTGCGATACCGCCAATGCGTGCCCTATATAGTGCCAGCAGAGCCATGCATTTGCTACTGTTGTGCGCAGGTGCAATGGTATATGGAGCACTGACCCTGTATTCGAATGCTTAAGAGCTTTTGTGGTGCAGCGGGAAAGTTGTCCCCAGTCCAACAGCTACCGCTTCACAATAAAGTCTTATGTTGTGCGGTGAAGGGCTGGATGTACCATCTGAACATCAAGACCTGCCAGCTGGCAATATATAAAGGCCAGCACATCAGAATCGTAGATAATCATCAAGTTGCAAGCACCCAAATCCGCCTATAGCTCTGCAGGTTATGAGCCTTGCACTCCGATCAGCAACAAAGAAAAGTCAAGCAGCAGAAGCAGAAGCAGCAGCATCCGCATCAAAAGCAGATCCACCAGATTCACCAGAACCAGATTCACCAGACTCACCAGAACCCGATTCACCAGTACAGCCGCAAGCACAGATGAGATCCGCACCACAGTCATCCGAGTGCGAAAGGACTTCGGGTGTTTAGGTGTTTCGCTGTTCAGCTGATACTGGGATTCCTTGCTATGTTACTATGAGACCTTGCCACCTTTATATACTTGCGCTCATGGAAGCTGCTGGAACATTTGTTGTGTCCATGGAAGCCTATAGAACATCTGTTGTTCTATTGCTTTCTCTCGCTTTCTGTGTTGTTCCATGATGGTCGTTCATAGACATGCGATTTGCCACTGCCGATCACGTCGTGAGATCTTGACCGCGAGTAGCATCACCTCCAACACTCCCACTCTGCGAGCGTGGCAAGATGTTGTTGCGTGGCAGGCTTTGTAGTCCTAGACTCGTGCAAAACCTTTCAATCTTGTCCTTAGCCAGCGCCTTTGTGAAGATGTCTGCCAACATCAAGTCCGTCTGCAGGTATTTGACAGTGACGACTTGAAGTTCGATGCATTGTCGCACATAGTGATGCTTCACCTGAATGTGTTTCGTGCGATTGTGGAACTTTGGATTTTCCGCCAATGCCAAACAACTCTGATTGTCACCGTGCACAATTGTTGGACCGTCGTGGTTGAAGCCCAATTCGAATAACAATGTCCTAAGCCATGTTGCTTCGCGACATGCTGCAGAGAGACCCATGTACTCAGCCTCTGTGGTCGACTGAGCAACGGTCTGTTGCTTCTTGCTGCTCCATGAGATTGATCCGCCAGCGAGACTAAAACTGTAGCCACTTGTAGATTTGCCAGTGTCGATACATCCTGCGAAATCCGAGTCAGTGTAGCCAAGTAGTTGTGTCTCTGTGCTCCCACTGAACGATAATGCATAGTCTTTTGTGCCTTGAATGTATCGGAAGATCCGCTTGACAGCCTTCCAGTGTTGTGGTCCTGGATTTGCCATGAACTGACTGACGACTCCCACTGCATATGCCAAGTCTGGTCGAGTGCCTGTCATCAAGTACATGATGCTGCCGATTGCCTTTTGATACATTGTTGCATCTTGTTCGCCGAAATCGTCATCCTGGCCACTTTCATCAGTTGCATGATCTTGCTGAGTTTGGTGCCCGAATCCATTGGCGATGAGACCGATTTGCAAGTAGTCATGTTGAATTTCTCAAGAATGTCGTCAACATATTTGCGCTGCGAAAGCCTGATGCTTCCAGAACTCGTGTCTCGAATGATCTCAATGCCGAGACAGTAGTGTGCCTCGCCTAGATCCTTCATCTTGAATTTGGCCGAGAGATCCCTTTTGACCTCTGATATCTGATTGTTGTCCTTCGAAACGATAAGAAGATCGTCCACATAAACTGCGACGATGACTTGCCCTCTGCCCTTGACGTAAACCGAGAAGTCTGCTTGGCTCCTTGTGAACCCTTGAGACTCAAGCTCTCTGTGCATCTCCATATACCATTCTCGTCCTGACTGTTTCAGACCGTATAGTGTTCGATTCAACTTGCAAACCAAGTCCTGGCCTACCTTGAATCCTTCAGGTTGCACCATGTAGACTTCCTCTTCAAGCTTACCATTCAAAAAGGCTGTGATGGCATCCATTTGATGAATCTCCATGCCGTACATGGCTGCCATAGCGACGATTGCTCTGATAGAATTGAATTTGGCGACAGGGGCGAATGTTTGGTTGTAATCAATTCCCTCCTTCTGCGAGAAGCCTTTAGCAACGAGCCGTGCCTTATATTTCTCAATCGATCCGTCGGCATTGTGTTTAATCTTGAAGACCCATTTGTTGCCGATGGCCTTCCTGCCCTTTGGAAGCTCACATAGCGTCCAAGTATTGTTCTCAATCAGTGATGCATATTCCAAATTGGTAGCAGACTCCCACTGTTCCCTTTGCTCTCCAGCCATCGCTTGCTTATAAGTTTCTGGCTCTGTGATGACCAAATTTGCGCGCACACGAGATGATGCCTGTTGTAGCAAATCAATGTCATCATCCGAATCTTCTTGCGATACTGGCGTGACGGGAGTCAGACGAGCAGAGCGTCGAACTTGACCTGAGCTCGTAGCATTTGTTGGCTTAGCGTGAGCGACTTCCTTTGATTTGGCTGGTAGCGACTCAGTAGGTTTGTCGATAGTAGCCTCACTCGTGTTGTCGTCGTCAGCGTCCTCCTCTCGTGGGACGTACACCACATCGCGTTTGTCTCCTCGGTCTTCCATGAAGATGACGTCGCGCGCCTTTGTAATCTTGTGTGTATCCAAATCCATGAGTCGATATGCTTTGCTGTCCTCGTAATAACCAACCAAAACCAATTTCTTTGACTTCGCATCCAACTTCTGTCGATTGGCGTCCGCAACATGCGCATACGCGTCGCAACCGAATACCCTGAGATGACTCAAGTTTGGTCTGCGAGATGACCATACTTCTTCTGATGTTTTGTCCTTGAGTGCCGTGATTGGAATTCTGTTTTTGATGTAAACAGCGGTGTTGATTGCTTCAGCCCACAGCTCCTTTGGCAAGCCCTTCTCTTCGAGCATACATCGCGCGCTCTCCACGAGAGTGCGATTGAGGCGCTCTGCCACTCCATTTTGCTGTGGTGTGTGTGGTGTTGTCGTCTGATGCCTAATGCCGTGAGACTTGAGATACTTCTCGAAAGCGTTGCCGCAATACTCGCCACCATTGTCTGATCTGAGCGCCTTGATGCGACAGTCAGCTTGGTTCTCCACAAGCGCCTTGAACTCTTGGAACTTCTCAAAGACTTCCGACTTCTGCCGGATGAAGTAGACCCAAGCCCTTCGCGAGTGGTCGTCAATAAATGTGACGAAATACTTGGCACCTCCGTAAGTTGCCACTTGCACTGGCCCGCACACATCCGAGTGTACTAACTCCAGGTTCTTTGTTGTCGTCGTCTCGCTCGATGGAAATGATTGACGCGTGTGCTTGCCATTGACGCACCCAATGCAATGCGAGTTGTCGTACTCGCCGTCCAATGACACACCATCGACCATACCAGGCAGGCGCACCAAGCTATTCTTGCCGATGTGTCCCAGACGTTTGTGCCAAACCTGTATGTCGACCTTCTCAGCAGTCACCAAGGCCGATACTGCGCTATTGAGCGTGACTGAGTAAAGATTGTCGCGTTTGCAAGCTACTGCGACCTCTTTTCCGGTGCTCGTTTTGAGTGAGCAGCTCGTGCTCTTGAAGTCCAAGCGAATGCCGCTCTGAACCAACTTCGCTACTGAAAGCAAGTTGTGCGCTAGGCCCGGGACGTGCAACACATCATTAATCGTCACGACTGTGCCGTCGGATCCAGTGGCTTTGACTGATCCCATGCCGGTGGCCTCGCAATACGTGTCATCACCAAGATACACCTTCCTTGGCGAGATTGTCTCATAAGAAACGAACCAGTTTCTCAGCGGAGTCAGGTGCTGGCTAGCACCAGAGTCGATGATCCAGTCCTGTGTCTGATCATCACTCGTTCTTTGGGCGTGGAGAAAGGCAATCTCTGCATCGTTTTCAGACACCTTTGCTCTGTTTGCCGCCGCATCGCCGGCCGAACCGCGACGCTCATCTGCTATTTTCTTGCGGCAGTCCGCTGCCCAGTGCCCATCTCTCTTGCAGTAGTGGCACCGGCCCTTTTTCTTTGGCGATGGACCCTTTCGGCCCTTCTGGTTCCCCGAATGGAAGAACGCTGCGTCTCCTGTGGGTGGAACTGTACTTCCTCTCCTTTGGAGCTCTTCATTGAGCAACAGCGCTTCGATGGAAGCCTGCTTCAATGTACTCAGTGGCCCTTGCACGCTGAGCATCGTCCTCAAGTGTGCGTAACTTGGTGGCAACGAATTGAGGAGCACCATGACCTTGTCCGCCTCACTTTGGGGACAATCCACGGCGTCTAGCTGCAACGCCAATGCGTTCAGCTTGCCAATGTGCTCAAGCATCGAGTCGCCTTCTTCCATCCTCAAAGCGAGGAAGCTCTGACGAAGGAAAAGCTGATTCGTGGCTGACTGTGCTGCATGTATCTCATGCAACTTCGACCATATCTCTCGAGCTGTCTTGCAGGTTTGTACTAAGACCAGCTGAGAATCCTTGATGGACAAGGCGAGGGTAGAGAATGCTTTCCTCTCTGCCTTGGCATCAACAGCCGGTGCTTCTTTATCTTTCTCAAGTGCGGGTGCACTTTTGTCCTTCTCCAGTGCTGATTCAGAGAGCTCGGGCTCGACCACATGCCACACCTCTTGTGACAGGAGCACCGCTTTCATCTTCCACTTCCACAGGTTGAAATTTGTACCATCGAACTTGTCCACGGGGGCAAAGTCCTTGTGCGACAGAGAAGACATCTTTGGTTGAAAGGCGGTTGAGCGTACTGATCTTTGGAGTGTTCTGTAAGTATGCTGAACTAAACAAGGCTCATAACCTCTTCGGGTATTTAGGTGTTTCGCGTGTTCAGCTGATACTGGGATTCCTTACTATGTTACTATGAGACCTTGCCACCTTTATATACTTGCGCTCATGGAAGCTGCTAGAACATTTGTTGTGTTCATGGAAGCCAATAGAACATCGGTTGTTCTATTGCTTTCTCTTGCTTTCTGTGTTGTTCCATGATGGTCGTTCATAGACATGCGATTTGCCACTGCCGATCACGTCGTGAGATCTTGACCGCGAGTAGCATCACCTCCAACAGGAACAACACAGAAAGCAAGAGAAAGCAATAGAACAACAGATGTTCTATCGGCTTCCATGAACACAACAAATGTTCCAGCAGCTTCCATGAGCGCAAGTATATATGTTGTGCGCTGGAAATTCCGTGCGACACCGCCAATGCGTGCCCTATAAAGTGCCAGCACAGCAACTCCGTAGCAATAACAACAACAACAACAACATCCTTCAATACGTTCATGTCTTAGCAGTTCAAGCCCTTTTCATCAGGCATTCGCCATACATTCGCTACCGCTTCACAATATAAAGGTGGAAAGGTCTCATAATAACATAGTAAGGAATCCCAGTATTAGCTGAACAGCGAAACACCTAAACACCCGAAGAGATCCGTCGGAGCACGAGAGCATACAAGTGCCATAATTTCCGTGAGTGACACAACAGTGATCCGATATGAGACAACGAAAGATCAATCCTGGCACGCAAACGGCGGATTTGTTGTGCTTTGTAAAACGCAAGTGCAATGGTATATGGAGCACTGACCCTGTATTCGAATGCTAAAGAGCTTTTGTGGTGCAGCGGGAAAGTTGTCCCCAGTCCAACACAGTCTTGTGGAAATAAGCCGTGGCTTTCTCGAAAGCCGCCGTCGAGAAAGGCCCCGTGTGAATTTTTTGGCCAGTTGGCAGAGTGAAGATTTTGTATGAAATATCTGACGAGTCGTGCATATCAGCAGATGTGCGGCCGACCGTAGAATTCTCCTGCCAGTAGATGAGCTCTGTTTTGTAGTCGGCAATGCGCGGCCGGTCAAGAAGCTCATGCCAAGCTTCCAAGTAGACCGCCAGCGTGGTTGTTGTACTGCCATTGCGTCTCCGCACAGCGTTGTGAAGGATCCACAAGGCGATATCAAAGTGAAGTGCCATTGCCACATACATGATCTTCTACCAGGGTCGAACAGTCCGCCAACGTATACGGCGCGGTTGCGACCAGACGCAGGTAGCCATAGTCATGTGCGAGCTGCCCTGTGATGCTGGTTAGACCAGGAGTCGATTAGGAGCCTGCCGACGACAATTGGCGCGTACTGCCTGTAATTGAAGAACAGCTGGAACAAGCCAAACCCGCCAAGGTCTGTTGGAGTGTAGAGTTGATCCAACTTGACCTTGACAGAGCGCCTTTTTTTTATGTATCTGCATTCAGAGCTATCAGAGTAGCTACGTGTATAGAATGAAACGGTAGGATGAAATGAATGACTTCACGAACGTCTGTGAAAAGGAAGAACAAACGAACAGTGCGGAATTCTCCTACAGGCCTTGAAGCAGCGTGCTGCTCCTTTCCTGCGGCATACCCGCTAAAACACCCTTTGAGATTCTCCACAAGTTCCTGGCAGGTGGAGTGAATTGGTCGCGGTGCAAGGAGACTGCGACTTGACAAGATAATGCAGGCCTGGGCTTCGGACTTTGGTTACTTTGACGTTGACTGTGCCCGCGGCTCTCTGCTGCAGGTTGCGTAGGGAGTCGTGGTAGACTGCCATGGGTGGTAGCCGAAATCATCGTAGTTTCATAAACTAAAACCTGACAACGCCCTAGTAGAAGCACAGCATAGCACAGACAGGCTGTGACACAGCAAGTTAGCAACGCAATAGTCCATCTTCAATCGTTAACCGTCAACCGTCAACCGTCAACCGTTAACCGTCAATCGTTAGTAGATTCGTTACTCGTCAGACATGCCGTCTCAGGCCTGATCCTCTGATGCGGAAAGAACGCAACCCACGGACACTCTTACCGCGGCCGAGAAGGGCAAACGCAGTGAGAGCCTCATGCGTATCGTCCCAGATGTCAAATTCGACGGCAAAGCTGAGTCATGGTCACACTTCAAGTCCATGTTTACCCTCGCTGTCAACACGTACCTGCTGACATCTGGGACAATACGCATGAGGCTCTCACTGCGTTTGCCCTTCTCGGCCGCGGTAAGAGTGTCCGTGGGTTGCGTGCTTTCCACATCAGAGGTTCGGGTCTGAGACGGCATGTTCGACAATTGACGGTTAACAGTTGACGATGGACTATTGCGTTGCTGTGCTGTGCTGTGCTGTGCTGCTACTAAGGCGTTGATGGTAGCGCAAACAAGGTGATACACCTGTAGTGCGATGGCGGATCCTAGTAGCGGCAACACGATTCCTTGTCAAATATGTGATGTGCTGGCCTTTTAAGGCTGGCAGTGTTAACCCATCATTACAATCAGGGGTAAGGCAGCCGTATCTCACGCTTAAGACTCGCCTGTGCACAACAACTTTTGGCACGAGTGCCGAATGCCGCTCCTTGATCGCCTCGAGAATCAAAGGGCGCTCGAGGAGAGCCAGTAAGAGATAGAACATAGCTCAGCACTCTGAGTAATGCAAAGACTGAACAGTGCGCGCTCCCACATTGTCTCGCCAAGTCCGTGATTTTTGGAGCTGGCGAGTGGCATGCCAACGAAGGCTCTGCCTCGAATAAACTTTACCATTGTGTTGTAGACAGCAGACCCAGCCGCCATGTCTGTAGACAGCGTGAAGTGATCCAGTCGCTCAAGAATACAGCAGCAATGCCGGGGGTCGCCTTCGGTGACGGGGTGACGAAGCTGGAAGCCAGTCGCAGCGAGCGGCACAGCCAAAGTCAACGACCAAGTCACGGCCTCGAACAGCCTCTACGTCTCCGACTGCATTCTTCATAGTCACTCGCGACAAGGCCAAAAGCTGTGGCAATAGTGCCTCGCTCACATTCACATGTCCCACACGGTGTCGACAGAGAAGTGTAGTAAGATATAAAAATTTCTCTCCATTCCTTGCGATGCGGGCAATTTGCCAGTGATCTTTTGCGCTTGGCCATACGTAGCAAGTCACTGGATGATGCTGATGTGCAGAGGCTCATGCCTGATCAAACTGCAAGGGGCACTGCAAATGGCGGGGTGACATGTCGAAAAAATAAGAATAAATAGAGCGACAGCGCCATCGTCAGTTTGATCGCAAAAGAAGATCCACCTCAATCTGACAGATATGAGCCTTATCCGTTCGGGCGCAAGTGCGCCAGAACCTCAGCTTAAGGCATACCTTGTTGAGGCTTTCAGCGGTGTTCAATTCGTCCAGTACAATGGAAATCCTACAACATGGCGAGTCTTCAAGGAGAAATTTGAGACAGCTGCATACTTGTCTGGCGTACTGGACTATTTCCAGAAGCCACGGGAGGAGATTTCAGATTGGTCTGAGGACGGAGACAAAGTGGCACGCAGGGCAATCATCATAGCCTTCGCTGACGAGTTATTCCAACCAATCACTGCGTCACTGATCACAACACCAGTGAACGAGTTATACACGGCCTTGTGCCAGAGCTGCGGATTCCACACTCCGCAGCGTATCAAGGAGAGCGAACGCCAGAGCACATCGCAGTAGAAGCTAATCTGACATCTTATTTCTTGTAGCGCTTGTGTTGAGAAGACAAAGCAGACTTCATCTGCTCATAATCTTTTTGAAAGCACTTTCCCTGGAGCGAAGTCAATCAAGCCAGCCACGTCATGACGATGCATCACGTCTCGTTGCCATCATATGCAAGCTTTCAGGCAATCACACACTTCGTACAATTTCGATGAGCTCGCGGGCTCGGAGGTCTATCGTAACTGACAAGGACTGTATATGGGCATATTATGACGACCACATTGACTATATATTTGTTTCGTACCTCTACAAGAATGAGCTCCAGAGCTGGTCCATTTGAACCAAGTTTTTCGGGTTGACAGACTGAGAGATCAGATCAATAATTGTCTGATTCGCAGGCAGGTTGCCTTGAGCGACTTGACTCAGCGACGAGGCTCGACGAACGATGAGGTCAACATTGGAAGAGACTTTCTCCCGGAGGTGCGTTTCGTGCGTAACAGGACGATGCTGCTGCGTGAACCAGGTGATCAGCTCATCTCGGACAAAGATACTTAGATGTTGATCGAGTTCAAACTCAGGTTCTGTCAGGCAGCGAGCGATAGCCATTGTCGCACAAGAGAATATTCCTTCAATACCGATCGGGCCCATGAGATTCTGTAGAGCGGGCGTCAATCTGAATGGCACTGCTTCACCATTGTGGAAGACAGGATTGTTTGGTGCCATGCCAGGAAGAATTTCTGTGCCCCAGACTTGCCCGGTCTTCCGGGAGATAAAGAGCTTGTACGGGAACCTGTTATTGATATTCATCACATACGTCATGAAAGTCAAGGATGCGTATTGCAAGCTGAATTGCTTCCGGAAGCGCCAAAATTCAGAGAATGTCGGAAATGTCTGCTTGAAGAAATCGTAGACAATTGATTCGGGTACCAGGTCGCGCCGAATGGAAGCGAGAATATCAACCTTGAGGTCGATGAGCTCGCTCTTCTTGTTTTGCAGCTCCGGGTACTTCTGTAGCCGTTCTGTTGCAAGTTGTAGTGGATCATCCTTGTGCTGGCCATGACGATTGCAATAATCCTCGTAGATTCCTTGTAGCGATATGTAGGATGCGTCATCTTGGACAATGCGAATGTGAGGCGCCAAGGGAATGGCAGCTGGCAGATGGAAGCTGAGACAACGCTTGCGGCTCTCCTTGCGCCTTGCGAGCACACCAGACAAGATGCGGAAGAGCTGAATGATGCGTTCCTCTCTTCGACAATGCCGCGCCGCCGGATATTGAATTGCGAACTGATGCAGACTTCCGTCTTGACCGCGCATGGTGATTCGTCGGTAGCAGATACCATGACCTCGAACAACGTCTAATTGGGGCATGAAGCGATCAATTCGAACAAAGTCGTTGTTATTGTCGCGGTGCTGCAGGTATTGACCGGGTACCTCGACATCCTCGAACTTTTGATACTGAAACTCGCTGAGGTACGCGCTGACCTGCTCGAGCTGCTGAGTTGGTTTACGTCGATCGAGAATAATTTCAAATTTGTCGCGCCAACGGCGGAGTTTTGCAACATATTGCTGAAGGTTTGGCTTCTCGACAACGAACTCCTGCTCAAAGGCTGATTTGATGTTCTTCGGTAACACGCTCTCCGCAAAGCGCGTAATGTTCGCTTGCGTGGCTGGAGGTAGTCTCGTATCCTCAGTGACTGTTCCGAGTCGACCAATGTATTGCACACCATCATTCAAGAGCGCAACAATCAACCTGTAAGCATCTTCGTCAGCTTGACACTTGAATCGCTGTTGGATCTGGTCCACCATGGTTTCCATGGATAAAGCAAGCAATGGAAACGCAGTCTTAAGTATGGCCATGATCTCGTCGACATGTTCCCATGGTTGTCTCGTCGCCGTTGTAGATTGTGCCGAAGCACCGGGCTCAGGCGACTCTGCCTTAGCTGTAGCTGCCGACCCCTTGCTGTCAGACTGTGCGGATGTGTCGCTTGCGGTAGTCTTCGTCTTGAGCTCTGTTGCGTCTGCTGACGCCTTGGCTGCTGATGCACTCTGCGCAGCTGCAACAGCTTGCTTCTTTATGATGGCATAGTCTTCTTTGGTAGTGCGCAGCTGAAAATGGAGCGCTTGTGGAAAGGCCTTGGCAATCTTGATGAGTACTTGCCGTGCGTGTCGTGCTTCCTTGTGCGACAAAGAGGTTAAAAGCTGCGGGATGAAGCTGATCCAGTACCACGTTGGAACCTCGCCTTTGTATGAATCAAAGGCGCTTGAAATTGTGCCTTGTGCATCGTCAAGACTAAGAAGCCACAACACCCGGCTCAGCATTTTACGAGCCCGTCCATTTTTGAAGAGACCCGCTGCTTGCAGATAGCAGCTGACTGCATTGCCCGCCTTCGTTACGTCTGCTGCGTCTTCTTGAAACAGGCGATCGCTGTATTGCCCCCACTCAGCCCAAGCTTTAGGAAGAGTGAGGTCAATCTGAATAGCGGTTGCAAATGCCTGATTAGCCTCCTCATTGAGCTTCAGCTTCGCGAGGAACATTCCCTTCAAAGTGAAAAATTCTGCCTTTTGCTGCGTGCCGAAGTACATCAAGTTGGTATTGCTGATGACTTCAAGACCCATGCCCAACTCATTAGGATTCTGATAATGGCATTTGGCCTGTTCTCTCAACTTGAGAAACGCTTCTTGAATCTCAATATTCGGCAATGTGTAAATTTTGGTCAATTGACTGATACACACGTCTGGCAGCTGATGCTTTCGTGCAACATGTGCAAACCTGTTGATGATCCAAGCCGTCTCGTGGTAGCCACGATAAGCAAAAGAAGTTGCACTGCTGTTGCCTGAGGCCCCTGCAGGCTGCTGCAGGCCCGGAACTAGTGGCAAGAACACGCGATTGATGGAGGAAAACACCAGTTGCCTCCAGGCAACTAGATCACTCCAGCTGTTGATGTCATCATAAAAGTTTGGCAGACGCTCCCTCCAGGTCTGCAAAATATGCTTAAGCTCATGCGACTTTGCCTCCAAATTTTGAGCATGTGTCGTCGCCAAACTTGCATAGATCGAACTGGCCTCTTGTAATTCGACATATTGCTGAAACGATTGGAGAAGTGGGACATGCGTACTCGAGACCACAACAGGAAGTTGCGACCATTTTCGGAGCGATAATTGCATGCCTTCATCACAAACCCTTTGGAATTCTTGAATTGTGTCAAGCTTGGCTTGTGTCTTTTGAAGAGCCATGAAGGCTTCAAACGTATACCTCCGGGAGGTTGGCACTTCCATTAGGGACTTAATGGAGGCTTCAAGGGGTTCTCGATCAGTCGTCCAATCAGAGATGCGCCATGCACACTCTAGCAATAAATCAGAGTATCCTTCTTGCTTCGCCAAGTCTGTGAGCACGTCCCACTGCTGCATTTTCTGAGCGCAAAGTATCCAATGGTCTTCCCACAACGTGTACTCTGATTCTGAGAACGGCAAAATGCCTGTTCTCGCCTTTACTTGAGCAGCTTCGTACAATTGTTGAGCCTTGTCCCACATACCATTTTGTTCGTACGAAATAGCGAGATTTGTCTCGAGATAACGACAGCGACGTCGCCATAGGCCATAGAACATGTCATCCTCTCCAAGTGCAGCATAAAGCTCAGTAAGGGCATCAAGACGGCTTTCCGTTAAAGCTGAGCCACTTTGAACCTGATCAGTAGCGTCTGCTGAACGTTCCAATAGTTCTATAGCCACATACCAAGCACTGAACGATTTACCCAGGTATTTTATCAGGTGAGGCGGTAAAGTTATTGATGGTTCAATACGGGCCAGGGCTTTGAGATGTGAAGAGATGACATTCGGCCTCTTATCTGCTTGTCGCAAGTGGTATTCTTTAGACAGATGAATCGCCAAAAGCTTGGTTAGTTCATCTTGGTCCTTGGAGCAGACCGACATCCACGCAGTCGATAAGAGTTGTATCCAGAGCATTTCTCCAGTCGAATTGCTTAGATGTTGCAGATAGCCAAGCGGTTCGAAGACCTGCTCACTTTTGACAACAGAAATGTTTGCAAGGAAGCTTTTGTGTTCGTCCGAAGCCTTGGTCAGCTCGTCGTCCACAATCACATCCGCAACAAGATCTCCAGGACCAACGAGTGGTCTAAGCAAACAAGTTGACTTATCTAAGCGCACAATTCGACTGCTTGCAAGCGCTCCCAGAAGTAGATGATTGGCTTGCGCGACCCAGTAGTGCGAAGAAAGGCTTTCCCAATTTTGTACCACGAAAATGTAATTCAAGCGCGTGAAGAGAATTTTTGACATACTGCTGTTAAAGATTTCCATAAACTCGGCTCGTACAGCCACATTGCGAGCTCGGGTTCCTATCAGGAAAGCTTGTTCGAGACGCACGGTAAGCTCAGTCCGTGCGATGCTGGGATCTTTGTAAATGGCCACCACCAATCGTAGAAAGCCATTCGCAAGCTCGTCGTTGCCTCGATTATCGAATGAAGTCATTTTAAGCAGCAAGGAGACCTTCTCCTTGACGGTTGGAAATGGATCTTTCTTGACCAAGACCATAGCGCTGGTGAGCTTCAGGATGTGCATACAAATGGAGATGTCGGGCGACTTCTCGATGAGTTGGGCCACAGCGGCAAGGTAGAGACGACGCTGATCGCCAAGATGCAGCATCCGAAGGCTCATAAGATCCATGAGAGCGATGATTGAAGCCGCCTGTATCTCCGGATCAGCAAGAGTGGATGGCGCTTCAGGGGCTCCCGCGACAGCTGTCTGGGTAGTACTCCGCACATTGAGGTGCTCTTTGATCAGATTGTTGAAGAGCTTCATCATGGCGGGCAATAAAGTATCGAGTGTAGTTGGGCTTTGCGCAGCAAGAGTTCCAAGCAGCAGGATTGTGCCTTGCAGATTGGCGTTTGTCTGCAGATTCTCGTTTAGCGACGCCACCAAGAGGCCTTTGAATTGGGTGGCAACATCATCCTCGTCGTCATCAGGACCAGCTTCAGGGAGCGACTGCAGAAACATGCGCAATACGGGCTGCAGATTTGTTTGCAAAGCAGCAGACTCCGATTTGAGCAGCTTTTCAAGCCATACATGAGTTTCCGGAACATACGCATACAGCTTTTCTTTTGTACGAGTCGACAGAACGATGTGCAATGCTTCAAGAGCGTGCACAGCGGCGCCTTGTGTTTTTTCGTCAGCCTTTAGTACAGCAGCTTCAACAGATGTCAGGTCTATCTGCATTGCGGACCATACATGCGAGGAAAGCAGAGCTCTCATGACTGCGAGCAGCCGTTGAGGTGATTGACTTTTGGTCGAGTCGCCAGGCAGGCATGCGGCTTTGACCAAGAACTTCAAAACATCAGTACATGCCTCGACCGACATCTGATAACCTGCGTTACCGTCTTCCGAGGTGTCCATGGAACTGTCTTGGCGTTGATGCCATTCAAGGATGGTCTCGCAAATCTCTACGCTCAGAAGACGGGAGTCGGAATTAGAATTCTGCGGAAATCCAAGTTTGGGGAGCGCAGAGACGAGCAGGTCGATGAATTGCTCTCGACAGTCATAAAACATATTGGACTGGCGGACGATGAATTGATACACTGGGATGAGTTGCATGGTGTTGTTTTCTTCGGAAAGAACCTTGCGAGGGTACTTTGCCCATTTATGTCCAAATTTCTCCTCCTGAGCAGTTGATGGGATACGCTGAGAAAGTACTGGTGCCAACACGTCCAAAGCCTGACGAACTAGCGTTCGGGCCTCGGGCTGGAACGCCTTCAGCAAAGCGACGTAGATTTGGGCAGTGATTTTGGCAGGAGTGTCGTAGGCAGCAATAAAGAAGGAGATGAAGACGTATGCAGCGTGCTTTGTCGTCAGGTCTTCTAGCTTGATATAGTTCCAAGCAAAGAAAAGTATGTCCTTTCGCACTCTCGATAGCAAGCTTGAGTATTTCTGAATCAAGAGCGTTGACATCTGAAGAAGCTCAATTCGGAGGACATCCGTTGCGCAAATCTTATCCTCGCCAAAGTCTGACAGGGCAACCTTCCAGACGTTTGTGTGAATCGTTTCGACGAGGCTGCGGTCTACCAATCCCGATTTTCCTTGGGCCTCGTGATCTCTTGCAAGCATTGGATTGACGATCCGTCGGAACACGCCAATTTTGAATGTTGATGAATGATCACCAGAAAATATCAGAAGAGACTGCGAGAGATATCTTCTTCTCAAGTCAAGACTTTCTTGCTCGACTACGGCGGTTTGAATAGTCCGTTCAAGCGCAAGGGAAGCGTCTAACTTGCCGTCGGCTTCTGCTGCCATCAAAAGAAATAGAGGTTGCAGGTCGTTTGTGTTACTTTTCAAGAATCTGACAAAAGTCGTGACTAGACCCTCGGCAATAACGCGAATGTCGACCAGATGTTGACGGTCAGGCCCGGACTGCACAGCTTCAGTCAGGGTAGAGAATAACTTGAGCAGATGCTCCAGATCCTCGATCTCAGAAAATGCATCATCTTGATGCCGGCTCAAGACGTTCGAGAGGCGCAAGACATTCATCTTTGCCACTGAAGACGATTCTTCAGCAGTGGGCGACTCCTGCCGAACCATTTCCAAAATGTGGCTATGCGCAATATCTCTCAATGGCTTGCTGGTCTCGTCGTCCATGAGCTGAATCAGGAAAGTGGAGATTGCTGCAGAGTCAAACTTACTGATCAAGTAGTCCCACGTTTCTTGGGGATACCGGTTGATAAACTTCAAGAATGATGGACGCAGAGGGCTGTCTGTCGTCCTTCTCAACAAGACCTCGAGTTCCAGAATAACGGACACCAACTCGTCCAAGAACATGTGGGCCGAAGGCGGAAGGAGATGGAAGATATTCAGAATCGCTGCAATGATTTTGATGCTTTGTTGGTCCTTGAGCGGTTTGCTGGCAATTTGTTGTAGAGTCAGCGGGTCGGCCCAAGCACGCAGATGATCCAAAAGCTTCTTGCCAATTTCCACTTTGAAGTAGTTCGTCAAAAGCTCCAAGAGCCTTGCCAGGCCTTCAAGTCCAGGTACAGTGAGTCGCTTGTGGTCCGAAAGATTCATCAAAATGGGGCGCAAGCCGGCTTGCAACAGGTCCTTTGGGAGCTTGTGATTTTGGCTCAATACCTGCTTGAGACCCTTGTTGGCAACATCGACTACTTCGGATGACTTTGAATACAGCGACTTGAAGAACACAGCAATGATTTTGCTTCGGCTTTGAGCATGTGTAGGGTTCGAAAACTCTGAGGACGAAACTGCAATGGTCAAAAGCCGAATACATACCGTTCGAAGTGTGATCAAAGCCGCAGAGCTTTTGTACGACGAAATCTTGTGGCCGTTACCAAGGGCTTCGTCGTCAGCGTCAGTGAGCACAAGAGCTTCATGGAGCAGCCTGATGAGGGCATCGTTGAATTCCAAGAATGATGGCTCAAGGGACAAGCAGAAGGTGATTGCATCAATGTGCCCGATTTGCATCGCGTAAGGTAACGCGCGCAACGGCTTTGTAAATATCGGCATCAGAAGGCGATCTTGCACGGGCTTGATGATGTTCTGTAGTGGCGTTTTGGTCAGTTCAGCAAGCGCCTTGAAAAGATCTTGGACAATTTCTCGTACTTTCCCATTCGGATTGAGCAAGTCGGAGATCAAAGCTGTCGCAATGGCCGTCGTGTCCTTCTCTCCTTCACTATCGCCTTCATGGCATGTAGCAACGACTCTTTTGAGCAATCGACAAGCGTCTTCCACACAAGAGGCCGGAGCTTCAGGTGGAACATCTTTGACAACGTAGATGAGCGCCTTGATCATCTCAAGCTCATGCAAACGAGTCCATACAGTCCCGAGATTCAGCTTCTCCAGAAGGACAGCTAAACCGCTTGTGCCACCGGCCTTGACATACCATTGTGCTTGGTAGCAGCAGTGACAGAATTTGCCTAGCATTGTAGCGAACAGTGGAATTTGGGCCAAGGACCCGACCTCCGAGACAATGACTTGCAAGGTGTCGACAAACACAGTGATGAGTTCTTCTCCTAGATCACGCACAGCTTCATTCTCGCTAGTGATGATGAGCACCAATACATCTAGAGCGATTTCGCTGTCCAGGTGTAGGTCTGTTTTGGGTTCATCCAGAGAGAATATCTTCTGTCCCTGCATGAGTTGCTCTTCGGCATCTAACAACAGCAGCATGGAAAAGTGACGGAAAAGGCCCGAAAGGAACTGCTTTGCCTCATCTGCGAGGGTAGGAACTGACACTGCGTAACAGAGCCCTTCCAGTATACGTTCGTACAATTGACCATGTATTCGACTTGCCTTGTTTGCCCGTAAAATAGCTTGCGAAGGCTTGACAACTGCTTCGGATTTACTCGACTGCTCAACAAGAGTGTTTGCCGCCGTTCGAAGTCGGCCGGCCAAATCAGTGGTCGAGTCAAAAGGCTGTACATACAAGGATGCGACTGCTTTCAAAAAGGCAAATGAATGAGTCTTGTATTCGATAGATGCTTTGAGATCCTTCAGCGTATCTGCAGCCGGTAGCACAAACTTGCTCCACATGAAACGATGCTCTTCTTGAATGCCCTCAAATGCGATTGGAATGGAGGGAAGATAGTGCTCGGCCATAGTCGCATCAAATGCGTGGTCAGCATCGATGAAACGACGGTTTCTGCCTCCCATCTTTCCGAGAACACGCAATGCAGCATGACTGTGTTGATGCGTATAAGGTAATGGCTTAAGATGAGACCACAAGGCCTTCATGAGCTTCTCCAGAACAGGAGCTAGGATTGGGTCCAAGAATTCTTGAGTCAGGTTGTCGATGCAAAGCTCCAGAGTGCGCAGCCCTTGAGTGACAAGATCTGGACCCGCCTCAAGTGCGATGACGAGGGGGTTCATGAGGTAAGAGAGATAGGGTAAGAGAACGCTAAGGCGAACTGGCACCGTCAGGCAAAGCTCAACGTACAGCTCCCTTTCTTGCGCCTTCCTAGCTGATTGAAGGAGAGAGTTCAGGCACTCTAGAAGAACTTGCAAGAGCGGAAGAACTTCCTTGTAAAGCAGCTCGAATCGACCACCGCCAATGCTGCGAAAGAGAGCACGAAGCAGGATGTAGTAGTTGATTGGATTCTTGGCTGACGCAGACAACTTCATCGACTGAATGATGATCTCGGCCAAGTGTGGTTGGAGAATGACCTCGTTCAAGTCGGGGAACATTGTAACAGCCATAAAACACATCTTGAAGAGGCGCAGCAGGACCGTGCTTCTAAGAGAATCAGTGGAACCTAGCTCAGGAAGCTTTTCAATGAGGAACTCTAGCAGTAAGCCTGCAAAATTGGACGAGGTGCTGTCGTTCGTCAGAAAAAATTGCGGGACATGTAGTAAGATGTTGTTGCCCATGGCCAGTTCGTAGAAGGCCGGCAGTGACTTTTCGAGAATCTCCTGAAAAGAAACAGGATCAATGTGAATGAAGACTGTGGCAAAAGTCTCCAGCACATCCTTTTCCTCCCGAGAACCAGGACTTGTGAGCTGAACAGGATTTTCGAGCGAGTTTCTTTCCGTGGCATTGGTCTTGTCGGCAAGGATTTCTTGCTTGTAGTATGAGAAGCCCTTGGCGCCTTCCAAGAAGAGCGTGGTGAAAATTTGAAGGTCTGCGTTGCCTAATCCTCGAACGGCTTCCGCCCAATGCTGATTGCTGATGGACATGTTGGGAGGTAGAGGCGGATTGCAGCCTTTCAAGCCAAATAAAACAGTTTTGAGACCAACCATCAAGTTCTTGAATAAGTGCTTGCCTTCCTTCATTACCTCTGGTTCACCTTCTGCGGGTAGAGAACCGACATGAATACCAAATGTTCGCACTTCGCGCGAAGGCTCTTGCAAAGCCTTTTCATTGCGCTCGTAGCTTTGATTGAGATTCGCAATCTTTTTGGTGAAGCTGAGGAGAATCAGCACAAGCAGCCGTCTCCCTTCTGGCTGTTCGGGCAATTTCATAATGCGATCAATGAGATTAAGAAGCAATTTGGCCGACATGGTTTGAATGCTCGTCGTTAGAGAAGTGTCGCCAAGGTTCTTGGAGTAGATGGATATTGTCTTTTCAATCTGCAAAGGTGAGAGCTCTGCGCGCACGTGGTGAATCAGATCGGCGAGCATGCTGAATGCTAAAGGCCTAACGTTAGCGAAGTTCTTCACGGGGTTTGCCTACTTTAATGTCTCTCGAGATGTTACTCCTGAACCAATAAGCACATCCTCGTTCAGCAGCTGTTCAATTTTGCCAATGAAGGCGTTTCGGAAATCAGTCGAAAGGATATGTCTCGTTGCGACCAAAAGTTCCTGAGATGTTAGAATCTTGAATAATTGAAGTGAGACATACCTTGCGCGCTGCAGACATTTCTGGTGGGCAGTCCTGAAGCAGGCGAACAACAAATCCAGGGATAACCGGGGCATACTTTCGCATGAATGTGGTAAAGCCGCGCAAGACATATGCCAGAAAAGATAGTGTTTTGATCTGTGCTAGAATGAACTCGCCATAAGCCGAGCGTAGGCGCAGCGACGGTGCTAGTTGCACACACTGGTCCTTCGAAGCATCAGCAAGTTCGTGTTGCTTGGCTTGGGGTTGGGCTTGAAGCGAAAGCATCTCAATGATGACCGGGGTGAACAAGAGCAGGTTGGGCTGAACACTTTGTCTGTAGGTCGAAAACAACAAGACAATGATGATGGGGCATTCTGTCAACACTTTGAAGCTGTGCAGACTGTCGTGAAGCGGCTTGGCAACTTGATCCGCGCCATCTACATTACCCGGTGGAGATAGTGGTACAGACGGCGCAGGACTTGCACGACGTGTTCGAGTGGAAATGGTAGAAGAATCTTTCGCGGTTGCACTTGATGCGCTCTCGTCGAACGTTGTTCTGACCGTCTCGGCCATGTTTTTGTACATCTGCAGAACCAGGTCGAGGAACGGCTGCACAAAGTCCTCTATGCTCGCCTTGTAAGACTTGTGTAGATCAATAAAGGCCTTGAGACAGACGCAGGCTGTTTCCTCATTGTCGCGGCTGAGCATCAACAAAAGACACTGCATGAGTCGTTTGACATGCGGCTTGAAGTCATCATCATAGGGCATCCGTTCAATTACCTCCATTGCAGCCAGCTTCACTCGCTAGAACGTCAGTAGAGGCCTAGTGAATGAGAGGCATGTTACCTGTTCGAGGGCATCACTCATGAATACGGGCTTTGTGTCTTCGAGGATCTGGAGCACGTCAGGCACAAGCTCAAGATGCGCCCTGGCTTTCTCGATCGCATTCTCGCTTGTGTCTATAATGGTTTTGAGGTCAGACAAGCCGGTAAGTTTGACGTCTAGTGTATCTGAGCGTAGGGCATCGCGTATCTCCATGTGGGCCGGCCAGATATGGCTTGTAGGCCACGGGACTATTCCTCCTTGATGTGATGGAGCAGTATGAGCAGATTTGTGGTGATGCGACTGGCCTAGGGCCTTCAGCAGAGCATAAAGCGGGTGCGTGTTATTGAGTTTGTGTGTGAGTTCCTGTCGCATCTTTCTGTCGAGCGAACGCAGCTCAGAATTCAGTCGAGCATGCACGTGATATGCCCATCTGAACAGTGCCGGCGTCTTCCATCGCAGTTTGTCGCATCCAAAACAAAGAGAGCACCGCGTAGACAGCTGGTGTACATGCAGCAAGCAGGAATCAGGATCTCCTGCACCGATTCACAGCTGCGTTTTACGCGAAGAACATTGCAGACAACGATAGCTGGAACAATGACCGCTTAGGCTACTCCTCGTCACCAACATGGCCAACACGCCCAAACGACAGCGGCCCATGTCGCCCGTAAGGCCGGAGTACATGGAAGACTCTGCAGACCGTGATGTATGATACTTCCTAATCATGGCTTATTCTCACCTCAGATACTGCTCGAGCTGGCGCGCAAAGAACGGCGCGTCGCCGAACTCAAAGAGCAACTCGCGACGGCAGAGTCAGAGCTCAGCGTGCTGCAACAACAAGTTATGCGCTCCTCTTCCATCAAGGAAATCAATACAACGCAGCGTCTCTTTGATGACATGGCTGCGCCTCCACTCGATACATCCCTCGTCCTCAATCGCTTGGCAGAAGGATCAAAATCTATCTTCAGCGCTGTCTTCAATGACCTCAAGGAACTAGGTGCAGCGACCATAGCCGATCATTCGAGAAGTCAGGCCTATCCAACTGAATCAGAGGTCTTTGGGCTATCCATCAGGCCCTCGACTGCGGCCTCCGCCTCGAGCAGTTCACGCGAAAGAAGAAAATAACACACGGATGCACTGCCCTCAACGCATTTATACAATCATTTACAGCATGCTATTCCAGCACAACAGGTTCCTCTTCCACCGCTGTTGCTGGCGTCGCTTCAGCCTCAGCACCTTCCTCCTTGATAACCTTGTCAATAGCAACATTGTAACTCAGGCAATTATCACACTTGTGGCCAAGGAAGTGATAGGGAACAGTCGATCGCGATTGACAGTCATTACACAGAATCTTCGCCTTCCATAGGCAGTACGGCGAAGGCATTCTATTGTCAGCACAGTGAAACAAAGCGCATCAGCATACCTCTGTTGAGCAATCTGGTGGTCGAGCATCCGGAAGCTAGAGTCCATGTTGCGCAAACTTTTCGAGCAGGTGGGACACCGGTAATTGGTCTTGATGTGCTTATGATAGCAGGCCTGATGGATACTGTGGCCACAGTTCATGAAAACCACGGTCTGTGTGCTCGAGAACATGTACTCGCCACAGATTGGACAATCGCACTCGGTGGAGTGCTCAATACAGCGATGCGAGTCTTGACGGTTGATTGCCATGCACACGTTGCACTTGTCGCAGTGAAAGAAGTCTTTGCCAATGCCTGGTGATTAGTTTGCATCACGAAGATGCCGGGTTAAGCTTACCGCGTCCGACTCGGCAGATCTTGCACTTGGCGCAGTGGTAGATGGGCTTCTCAGGGTCGTCATCCCACAGCTTGCACTTGTCGCAGTAGTATAGCGCCATGCATTGTGAGCAATTTTTACAGTATTGCGCCGCATCTTGCAGTGTGGAACAGAGCATGCATAACATAGTCTTGGTTTCCGTTCGCACGAGCGTATGATCTGCCTGCTCATCGTGGCAGAACCGACACGGCCAAATCGTATGACACGTCGAGCACTCCAACTTACAGTTGCGTCTGTAGTGTTGGCAGCCTAGCTGATTTCCAGCCTCGTTGTGGTACGTCTTGGCAAGATCCAGCGCCGTCAGCGGCTGGCCTATTTCGCGTCTTATTGCAGAATCGCGCCTGTGTGAGAGAGAAACATAGCGCTGCGTCATGAGTGTCTGCATATGGATGGCCTTCATCTTTTCCGACATGTCAGACTGCTGTATTTTGATCAGCTCACGTCGCAGCTTTGCTTGCGCATCCAAATCTGGCTCTTCCATGGGCGCCGGCAGTGCTGCAGGCGCAGTTGACGCGTCTTCATCCGTAGACTCATGAGAATGTTCCTCCTCGCTCTCAAAGACAGTCTCGCTGCCCAGAGGCCCTTGGTCATTTGCTGTGGTTGCATCCGTTTGCGAGAATAGCGGACGTCGTATCCAGTCGAAGGAAAAGCTCATCTCTGCGGACAAATGATACGCGAAGAAGATGACGCCCAGGCGCTTGCTCCTGGCCTAGTCACTGGCTAGGTGCTGATATTTGCGATGGCTCAGGCGTGTGCGAGAGGAGCGTGGCGTTGTTGGTCTTGTTGTGCGAGGATGCTGCAGGAGCGAATTGTGACCATGCGCAAAGACGCGAAGGGCCAGCACCTTGTCTAGACTTTTAGTACGAACTACATTGATTGCGATATGAGACGCATTCTTCGCTCGAATAGTTCAATGCTGCTCACCTTTCTTGTCTTCTATTGACCAATTGATGGAAGCCTCAATGCTCAGTGCCATCTACACCCTGGTCGCTTGCCAAAAAGCCGATTTCCTTCTGTTCGGACAGGTACTTGGCGGTGTAGGCTGATTTCTCAATGTTCACCACTGAACACCTCCTCAGGTACTTGGCGATGTAGGCTGATTTCTCAATGTTCACCACTGAACACCTCCTCTAACTGCACTTCGCTTGACTCGACCCTGGAGGACGGTATACTCAATCACCCACGGTATATCATTTGGCATGATTCGCCCAAGCCAAAGAGTTTCGACTGTGCCTGTATCTGTCTTGCGGTATACAAGTACGTTGCCAGCATAGCGATGGCCACCGATATGGCTCACTGTTGTGACGAGTACTTTGCCGTCCTCAGAGCCTTCGTCCTTGTCATAAAACATGTCTCGTTCCCGTAGTCCTTCTTCCAACGCCTCGAGCAAGATGGGGGCTGTCTTGCCACAACGAGCATCACGACGCATGTGCGAGCAAACCAAAACGACGGCTCGAAAACCCATGGGCGTTGCAGTATAGCTCGCAGGCTTCACCGGCTTTGAAAGAGCATACTGCAAAAGTACATGCTCTGCATCTTCCTTTTGAACATTCTCAAGCTTGCACCAGGCATTATACAAGATGTAAACTTCATAGCCAGTATACGCATTCGTCCGATTCGGTAGTGGTAGGGAGACATTGCTCAAAACTACTCTGTCAATCTTTTGTAGTTCACTCAACATGGCTAGCCCTGCTTTGCCAATCGCTTGAGCCAGGGAGCCTTCCTCGTCCTCAATCGTATGAGGCCAGTCATGACGCTCAGTAGCAATACAGATGTGCACAGACAAGGGCTTGACACTCCCTCGCATGGTTGTCTCATCAAGATCAATTGTTTTCATGATACCAGGCTCATAGGCGTCTGGCAGCTCTGAGCATCCGTCGCAAGCTTGACATTGCTCAGTCGTGAGCTCCGGAAAATCCGGCACAGGAGCAGGTACATAGTCTGGCATGATATGCCTCGAAAAGCCGAGCGGATGTCGAGGAGGTCGAAATCGTCGTCACTACTCAAATTTTAGAGTTACACATTGATAATAGTACACAGGGATGATTCTCTCTACAGCCTACGCTAGAGTCTGAGCTTCAGCAAAGAACGTACATCATACAGCATCCGCAGACTATTGAGCAGTGGCAGGAGGTAGAGGAGATCGTTGTCTGTTGGATCATTAATCCAACCTTCGATGGGTATTGCATTCTCCTCATTCAACCGGTAGGAAAGGGGCGAATTGTCGATAATGACGGCTTTTCCCAGGTCTTCTTCTGCAACGCTCAGGTCCTTCATATACGCCCCGAAGCGATAGGTGCAGTGCTGGCGGTAGTATCTCGCCTTGAAGTACTTCCGGTCCCGTTCGAGCCAGTCAATAACGGGGTCCGCATACTCCTGTACACTCGCCGTGAAGATGACCAGGTCATACCACAAGGATACTTTTTGGAGGAACAAGTCACAGTGCGGCCGTTTGTGTACATAGTAGAGAATAGCATGTGAACCGAGCTTGACTTCCACCATATGCCCACTAGACATGGTGCTGCCTTTGGACAGGGAATGTATCAGAGTCTCGTCAAGATCTAGTATGAGCGTCTTTCGTGCTGGACGCACAGGCAGCAGTGATTTTGATTGTTGCGCTCTGTACCGCGCTCTTCTCGCAACAGTAGGTGGCACTGCCGCCGACGTGGGTGATTTGATTGTATCGGCATTATGCTTTGTCCGAATGCGAATGGATCTTCTCGGGCTCGATGCACCATCATCATCGTCTGAGGACTCTGGCGCGCGTGTCACGAGCATATCGGCGAGCTCCCTGTCAGACAGGTGAAGCTTTTCTGCTGCCTGCAAGGCATCCGCAGCGAGCGGCGGAGAAGACTTTGACTCAATATGTACTGCCTGCGCTTGCTCAGGTATAGCAGACTGTTTCAGTCTAGAGGGCCGTGATCCCTGCAGCCAAAGGAGAGCAAAGTAGATCCATCTCACCGGATAGATGAAGAAGGCTAATGCTTTATCAAGATAGGTCGGCACAGATGCTGGTTGCGATGACGGCTCTGATGGCAGCGCTTCAAAAGCAGAGACAGCTGCCTCGACTGCATTCATGCCGGCAAAGTGCGCTCGCTCCTAAGACAACGGTCGTTGCGGGGTGGTCAATCAGGAGGACGGATGACTGCTGCACAACGGACGACGTGGGCTCTAGTTGCTGCACGCACAAGGCATAGTCCACACGCGGGTACTGCTGCAAGACCTGATGTCGACGACTGCCAATTGAGCGTCTGAAGGTATCTAAGAGAGACGGTAGCTCTTGTTGGTCCTGGTCCTCGATTTGTTTTCATGACGCGCAACTTGGCGAGCGCTCTTTCTTTCTTTTCTTCAAGACATATCCCAGCTGGCACTCTGCTCTACTCAGGGCCTATGAAGAGGCCGCGGCAGGCATCTCTAGAGTCATCGCCGTCGCAGCAGGCTTCTAATCTGGCGGCTGATAGCCCGCAGGAGCAGTCAACGGCAGCAAGCACGCCGCCCGCAACAACCCTCTCTCCGGCAGAGTCTAGTGCCGCGCTCATCAAAGACCGCATCCTCAGTACACACAGGATCTTGGCAGCGTATACCACCCTCCAGCAACGCTGCAAAGCCCTTGAGGCTGATCTGGCAAAACACAGCCAGACGAGCGACTTGTTGCTGAAGCAAAAACTACAGCAGGAGCGATTGCAAAACAGGGTTCAAGGAGTGCGTATCAATCAACTTGAGGACGAAGTCAGCAAGTTGAGGCAAGCGTCGACTATCTTTGCAACAAATGGACAGGGTCGATGTTCTCGGCCTCAATGTCGGACGCTGGAAGAGACGTTGCAAGACAAGGACACGCAGATTGCACTAATGGAGGGGCAGCTGAAGGTGATGCGTGACTACCAAGAACAGATCAGCTTGGCACAGTCGGACAGCGTCTTTGACATCTACAACATGGAGCTGGGCCCTGAATTTGACCAAGAGGCTGCTGCGTGTGCAACCAGCGGCCTGAGTCTTGGCGATATGCACGCCGCAGACCAGCCGGTTTCTGAAGTACCCGAAGCAGCAATCGATCCTGACTTGCAAGCAGAAGAACAAGACAAGCGAAAGAAGCCAAGAATCAAGGCATTATCAACATTCTAGGGAGGCAGAGAGAAAAGACTTTTACAAGAAGGACGACTGTGCAGCATACTGAGCCAGCGTTACTGAAGCGAAGCGTAGCATAGCATAACACGCGATATAAATAAAGATTGAATGACTTTCTGAGGATGCCTTCGCTGATCTAGATGACTCGCTGAAAAAGAGAAAGAGTTGGAGAAATGCAGTGCTTTTGACATGCTGGTGTTTAGGCGGATGCAGGGCTCTGAGGTCGCGGAGTGAAACGCTCAAGGACGCTCTCGAAGCCAGCACGACCGCGAGCAGCGTTTTGTTTGAAACGGTCGATGGTGAAATCTTCCATCATATTGTTGGCGAACCGACTGAGTGCACCGTATGCCGTGATCTTGGCATCTTGTCGGAAGAGTGTCTCTGACTCTGGGTTTTTGGCGTCTGGCACATACCGGACAGTCTCCTGCACAGACATGATGTTTGAAAAGGTCAGATTGACTGACTTGAGGACGAGAGATCTGTCCTTGAGGTTGATTTCGCTCACCTCACGCACGTACGACTCCTCTGTTGCGCCAACGAGCTTGACAATCCATCGCGGAGCACCCTGCCGACAGGTAATCAAGCGTTCGATGCGCAAAATGCCCTTCTCTGCATCAAACTCGCGCTTAAGTGTGTCTACGGCGACAACATGATCTGCCTTTTCGTTGGGATACTTTCGCCAATGCGCGGCAGAGACTTGAGCCCATGGATAAGAGAAGCGGCATTCATTCTCAAAGATCTTCATGGTGCAAAAGGCTTGGTTGGCTTGGTGTTTGGAGGAAGTATGTGGGCCGGTGTCGTGTGCCTAATCAATGATGAAGCGTTGGTTGTTGGGACCAAGTGGTCTGGGAGTGATGGAAGATGAGATGTCGTTTCACCAAGTGCCCGTCTCTTGTCTGCCTGTCTTCTCTCTGTGTTCTGTAGATGTAGCCCTGGTCGTGTGTGTATGTACAAAGAAATGTTTCCTGCTGCTTCACTTCAAAATCCTGGCGCCGGAGGGGAGCGGAGCAGCGAATCTAGGCCCAAGCGGTGCACCTAACCACGACCTGCCCATGGACAAACATCGGCTCAGTGGTGGGACTGGGTCAAGCTATGTGACATCGATGTAATATGTTTGCAGATGAGCACGACGTGGCATGTTACTTTGGATGCCGTCGTAGCCATGTGGTAGTCCACAGACTAATGCCTACACCCCAGCTTCATGGATCGTGGTTGACGGATAGTCTGGCTCGAGGCCACTCTTCTGAGCATGCAAGGCTTGTAATCGGTGAGATATGTATGCCACAATATGCTGCTCTTTAAAACCATGTCTTCATCCAAGAAGAGCTACTAACATCGCTCTTATCTACCAAAATGCGATGCCAGTAGTTCTCCTCAGCTTCTGCTCGTCATTCAATGAAGCTTAGTGAACCTAGGCTATATCACACCAACTATCTGCCGCAGTCATTCGGCTACGTTCTTCTGCTCATCAGACATCCTCTTTTGTCACACTGCAACGAATCCTTGGTGGCAACATTTGAATGCATCCCGGCACTTTCGGGCACAAAAGTATAAAATGGCATCGTCTGCGTTCGCTAGTACGCTACTTGGTCAAGTGATGCACTTTTCGATGGCATGCATGAAAGCACTAGCAGGCAGAGCTTCACCGCTCTGGCCAACCTTTTGCCGCATTGAAGTGTTCCTCTAGCCTTGCAATGCCAGGAAAACGAGTGAAGGCAGCGGGGCATGGAATTGGCATGCTGGATCGGTGCTCCTGCTCGAAAGAACCACCGGTTTACACAACAGCCACTGCCAACCAAAGCGTACCACCTTCTGCTATTGAATGGCGTGAATTGGCTCAGATTCTGCATAACAAGTGGAAGAACTGCGCAAGCTTGCTGAGATTATGGTAGACAGGTAGTGGATTTTGCGCATTATTATCTCTGCATTGTTACTTTCAGCACTTGATTGCGGAGGTGAGCGAAATGCATACTCGATGACGAGAACGAAAGCTTGCGGTGCAACCTGGCCCTGAGCTCGATTGTCCATGACTGTGGCAATTGAAAAGCTGACCATGACAAGTAGTCTCCGCCACTGAGCGATGACAGCGATTTGAGTTCAAGGATCTGCAATCATGTACAGCTCTTGGCAGTTTATATAGCCAGCACTGATGCGTTCTCTAGCAAAATGCCCGGGACCTGCAACAAGGAGTTTATCGAGAACGCCTAGAGATGCAGCTCGAACGCGTTGTAACAGACAGAGAATAGTCATATAGTCGATGAAGCGGGAAATGGCCTGTGTATACAGGCTGTAGATTGCGTTGCTCAATCTGCGCCGTAGAAGCTGCGCAGGTAAATATTCTGTCAAGTGTATTCTCGGTTCTTGCCATGAACAACCACGTCCTGGACCAAAAGCTGCCACAAACTGATAGCTATGTATGCTATGTTTAGACATACAATCACCTCGCTGCATAGCTCATATGGTGGTCTGAGTCGATGTGCTTCACATGCCCCAGCTATTAAAGGCTCCCAAGTGCTGTACATGCGCACAGCTGCCACAGTGCCGCTCCGAGCTGCGAGAAAGCTACCTGAGCCAGCCTCACACAAGCGGCGACTAGCAGGCTACACTCTGCTTGCTTCAGCTCTTGGTATATCCATCGTCATTGCATTCAATCATCAAAAGTCAAGCTCAGGCATTTGTCACTCCACTTACGTATGCAGCAACCATCGCTGATCACCACTAATGAGCAGTGGGCAGTCAGAAGAGATCCAATTGCAAAAGAGCTGCTTGGCGGACACATCACCTATCGAGACTATTGGCCCTGGGTCGCTGGAGAAATCAATCAAATCAAGGGCAACATCCAGTTCTCTTACGCTATCAAAGGTGACAAGCAAGCTGGCAGAGTGCATTTTCACTGCATACGACGGACTCGCAATTCTCAAGACTGGCAAATACTAGATTGGCGTCTCGTTGCAGATGATGGCACGGAAGTGGCCTTGACGCCTGATGAAGTAGAACCAGCTGCCGACAATACCTAATGGCATATTCAAGAAATACAGTCGTAAAGAAATCTATGTTTCGATGCCGTGCAGGAACGAACAGACACCATCAAGGAAAATTCCGTCCGCACCGTGAGCAGCTTGGGTATCGACATTTTGACGAAGCTCATTCGCTGAACCATGCGTAATAAGCACAAGACCCGACTCCTTGATTGTTGTTATCAGTGCAGGGGCATGGAGAGCAATGTCTGCATCGATAATCATGCCGAGCAAGTTGTTGGTTCGCGAGAATTTGACTGCCTCTTTGATAGACGTAGCTTCTTCGCCACGTCTGCTCAATGACAAGCCATGCGGACTGATGTACGTGCCACTCGCGTCTGCGACAGTGGGCGAGGAGAGTCCGGCATGCGATGCCAAGAAGACGGGATCTGTTTGTTAGTCTTATGCACTCTTGATAATGGACATTGCTTACAATTTGGCTGTTTCCAATTCATGGCCGTGCAGATTGTGGCATTGCATGATGAGAAAAATAGAGATCTTGGTTGCATGTTTGGGTTCGCCGCTTTCCGACGATCTGAGACGCTGAAGACGGTAGAGAGAACAGAGTCGACAGCAACGTTTATGTCGAGCGAAAACTTGAGGCCAAGGTGCGAACGCTCCTCAGCACTTGGGAACATGATCTGAATCTGCAAATTGATGTCGGGATGAATGTTTTCAAGAAAATCCCCAAGCTTAACAATGGCTGAAGACAAGATCGACCGTAGCTCTGCGGGTGTCCGGGCAGACCGAAGCTTCTCCACCAAGCCACTCTGCTGAGGCTTGCAAATCCTGGATAATTGATCAGAAGTTACGTCCATGACACCCAGAGTGACATTCTCGACTGGTATATACCACTCCGATGAGATGAATGCAACGTGATCATTCGTAATCTGTACAGGGACCCAAAGGTACTCGCCAGATAGAGACGACTCTGTGACGAGGTGCTGCGACGCTGTTCTGCTGCTGCTGTCCAGAGTTTGTGTGCTTTTCCAATAAGTTTCGATGCGAGAGTGGATGTCGAAATGTACACCGGCAAAAGGTCGAATGATTGTGAACTCAAAAGAAACGTGGCCAATGGGCTGCAGCCGTGGGTCAAAGAGCGGAACGAGGCATTGTCGCCCGTCTATCCGAGAGCTAGAGGCATCTTTGAACATGTTTGGCAATGCGACGCCTTTTGCAATCACCTTGGATCCAAAGGTTGGGTAAATTTCGAATTCGAGGAAGATAGTGTCCACTTCGTCAATTTGAAATGTAAAGGACTCTGCATCATCCATGATAGGCAGAGAAATTGTATGCGGAATGAGCTCGGTAATGGCTCTCCGTTGAGCAGACTTGAGCGAGACTGTTAGTTTCGAGGAGGAAAACAGCGACTCGTCCAAGTACCATTGCACCGGAGACCTAACACTCTTGCTTGGACTACTGAGGACAATCTGAACGAATGTGGATTTGTCCAAGTAATTGTGGCCATATGACCGGACTGGCAGAATGGGTGGCGGCAGAGTGAGCGATGGGATACCATCGTCCACGAATTCTTCTTCGACTTGTGCAGCGACCGGCGCTGCAGGTCTGCGCAGTGTACTCTCTGTATTGCCAAACGCTCCGCCAGCGGAAACGAGCGCCTGAAGAGCAGCCTTGTGTCCTTCCCATGCCGCGTAGTACATGGGTGAATGATGATCCTCATCTCGAGTGTCTGTCAAGGCGCCGCATGCGATCAGTTCCTTCAAAATTCCAACGTGTCCCTCGCTCGCTGCGAAAAAGAGTGGCGTCCATCCACTGAATTTATCCCTAGCTTCCAGGTCAGATCCATTCTCAAGCAAGAGGCCAATGAAGCCAGTATGACCAGCCCGAGCGACAATATGTATAGGCTGAAGCCCTTCGGCGTTGTACAGAATCTTTGCGCCATTGTCGAGCAAGAGTTTTGCAATGTCCAGATGACCACGGGCACATGCCATGGACAGAGGAATATAATCACTCTCATTCTTGGGATTGACCTCAGCCTTGTGCTGTAATAACAAGCTCACGGTACTGAACCGGCAGTGGATGATGCTGTAGTGTAGTGGAGTCGAGATGTTGTGGTCTAGCGCGTTGAGAGGTGCCTTGTGCTCCAGCAACAGGCTGACAATCTTGTCATCGACAGCATTTGAAAGACATGCATAATGGAGCGGTGTTCGTCCGTATACGTCGATTTTGGTAACGTCGGACTGGTTCGAAAGGCAGAGTTGAACAGCAAAGAGACGCGAGGAGAGGACAGCTTCGTGGAGGCAAGTGCGACCACTTATTTCGTCCTCGTAGCTGAAGTCCACAAGTGATGTTTCTACCAAGGCAGTAAGCGCTTCGTCGGTAGCTTCGCGCATGGCTTGCATGAGTACTCGTGTCAGACGCGCCTCAGCATTCGGTAGGGACTTGGTGGTCAGCTTGGTAAGAAACTCGCGGAAAATGTCTGAAGAGTCCGAGAGCACGGCTTTGAGCATATCAGAGTCGAAATCACTTTCCGCGTTCTGGACGGGCTGGCGAGTGTCGCTCGGGTGCATCATGAGGGCATCCTCGTCGTTTGCAAAACCTTCGAGGTCTAATAGAGCCATGGTCGCAGTATCAACCAAATCAGAGAGCACTTCGCGATTGAACACAGGCTGGATTTCGACACGCCTCGATAGATAGAGCTCCCTGGTGTGCGATTTACTGCGCTTGTCCCACTTCTTGAGTGCTTTATAGAAGCCTGTCGCATTCAATTCAACATACTGTTGCAGCTTGTTCAAGTCCCGCTCAAATTGCTGGAAGCCTTCTTGAAGGACGACAAAGCTGGCCGAACTGCGCACGTCATCAGAAGCGCTGGAACGTATGAGCTTCTTCTTTTCAATCAATGTCTGCAGTCTGTTCCTCAATTCAGCTTCTTTTTGGAGGTAAAATGCATTCACTTTGTCCAACTCGCGTTCCTGGTTGTTAGTCGTCTGGGTTCAGAGCCTGATACGTACGAGCTTGAAGAAGAACGTCGCCTTGTTCTCTTGTAATCTAGTTTGTGCCTTTCCGTTGACATCTACCAAAGTCTCATTCTCTGAACCTGCAGCAAGCGACTTGATGACCTTCTTGAGAGCCTTGTAATTGATATACTGCGCACTGTACTCTGGCAGCTGCTGCGAGAGGATTGTTTTACCGAACTACCGTCAGAGGAGAGCAAGAAGGAACAATGCCATACCTTCATGGCGAAGACTCGCCCAAACACGCAGACTGTATCTTATTGAAGCCAGTCGCAAGGTCGGTGGCCGGCTACGCGATGCGTCTGGTAGTCGAAGCAGAGACTGAAGCGCTTGCTAGATGAACGCGGACTTCAATCTTCGCCTTGCGCGACACCACTGACCTTCTAGCTGCGGCCTGCTCTAGACCTCTGGCACGAATCCCAACCCTCTAGCAAACTCAGCTTCAAGCAGTAGCAGTAGCAATAGCAATAGCAATAGCAGTAGCAGTCTCCGTCCGTCCTGTCGCCCAGATTGCCCACGTGCACTTCAGGCTCCGCAACGGCAGCAGAGGAGCTCCTCCCGCAGTCAACCACGACTCAAGAAAGCGACTCAAGAGCTCAAGGGAGACAGGGAGACGGCGACATCGTCCTGCAGCTCGGCCTCAATAGACGCAGGGGATCGTCGCGTCGTCCATCCTATCATGTTCAAGCCGAGCACCCGCATTGTCGGCGAGCTCAAGAAAGTCGACGTGTGGTCTCTCATCAATGAAGCTGCAGCAGCATGCTCAATCCCTGTCATTAACCTCGGCCAGGGCTTCATGAACTTCATCCCGCCAGCCTACATACGCCAAGCAGCAAAAGATGCCCTTGATCAGATTCCAACAAATCAATACTCGCCTACACGGGGCAGGCCAAGGCTCAAGACTGCTATTGCCAAGGCATACTCGCCATTGTTGGGCCGCACGCTTAACCCAGACACAGAGGTTCTCATCACAGCTGGTGCGAATGAAGGCTTCTATTCCGCTTTTGCTGGACTGCTTGATCAGGGGGATGAGGTGATCGTCATGGAACCTTACTTTGACCAGTACATCAGCAATATTGAATTCAACGGTGGCGTGTGCAAGTATGTGGCCATCCATCCGCCTACAGAAGGTACAACCAAAACGGTCGGGGCCGGTAAATGGACCCTCGACATGAAGGAACTCGAGGCTGCCATCACCTCGCGCACAAAGATGATCATCTGCAACTCGCCACACAATCCAATCGGCAAAATCTTCAACAACGACGAGCTCAAAGCTATTGGCGAGCTATGTGTAAAGCACAATCTCATCATCATCAGTGATGAAGTGTACGACCGACTAGATGCCTATCACTCGCTGAGTCAGATACGCATTGCCTCACTGTCGAAAGACCTCGCTAGTCGCACCATCACCGTCGGCAGTGCTGGCAAGACTTTTGGCTGTACAGGCTGGCGCGTCGGCTGGTTGATTGCTTGTCCAGAGCTCATCAATTACTGTGCTGCAGCCCATACGCGTATTTGCTTCGTGGCGAATTCGCCATTGCAAGAGGCAACTGCTGTCGCCTTTGAGCGTGCCGATGAGCACAAGTACTATGAGACCACTAGAAAGGAGTATCTCGAGCGAATGGATGTTTTGACGGGCATCTTTGATGAGATTGGGCTGCCTTACACTGTGCCGGATGGCAGCTACTTTTTGCTTGTCAACTTTAGCAAAGTCAAGATTCCACCACAAGAACTGGCGCAGGTCCCTGAGCACGTCAGAGAACGAGGCAAGGACTTTGGTGCATGCTACTGGCTGCTATCCAATATTGGCGTTGTCTCTGTGCCACCAACAGAGTTTTACACCAAAGCGCATGCTCATGAGGCTGAAGACTACCTGCGTTTTGCCTTTTGCAAGGACGTGGACACACTCAAGGAAGCTGGCAAGAAGTTGATGAAGCTCAAGAAATACATACAATAGAGAGAAGAGAAGGCTATCGCTATCAGTGTTTGCGCGTGTTTGTTTGTCGTCAACCGTGACTATTCGTCGTCATCGTCATCCGAGTCGCAAATGATCCGGCGTCGAGGTCTTTGAGGAATGACCGCTGGTGCATCAAGTTGTGCGAGGTCGTCTTCGTCCATCATGTCCAAGTCGTCCTGTCCATAGTCAGACTCGATGTCAATAGGGTGATCATGACCGCCATCGCGGTCGTCAGTGCCATCAGAGGAGACTTCATCTGGGAAGCCATCGAACTCGTCAAGGAACTCGCCATTCTCTGCCTCATCCCCATTCTGACGATCTTGGTCCATGTCATATGGGTTGTCCTCATCGTCCCTGTCATGATCACGCATTTGGTCAAATGGCCGGATATGTGGCATATCAAGGGGGTAAACATCCTCCTCGTCGAACGGAAGCCCATTGGACGAGCCAAAGGATTCTGTTTGACTCTCGTCGTCATCGTCATCCAGCAAAGAGTCATCTTGCGTTGCAACGCGAAGCTGGGAACTAGGTCCATTGTCAATGAAAGAGTCTTCGTGGTCATACTCGTTTGGTTCTTCATCATCAAGATTCGCAAAGGCATCTGCGTCATCATCATAGCCAAGGGATTCGTTGTCTGTATAGTCTTCGCCAGAGTCACCACTACCGTAGTCTTGGCCACAGCCAGCACAGACGGTGCCGTCAATCTCCCAGTGACAATTGATGCAGCGCATAACGCGATCTTCATGGTCGACGAGCCTGCCGCCGTGTTTTGGTATATCTGGAAAGAGGCCTGGGTAGGAATCGTCTCGATGACTGGCCACTACAAGTCGTTGCTCTTCTTGATGCTGCCTGAGCACTGCACCTTCATCAAGTGGTGATTGTAGCTCGATACGATTGACAAACACATCGACAAGCTCTCGAATAAGGTAGATAGGCGTTGGCTTGGTTCTGACTTTGGCACGACAAGTAGGACACGTCTTGTGGGTCTTGAGCCAGTCGTAGGAACAGCCGTAGCAAAATGTATGCCCGCATTCTGTCAAGACCATGGGCTCAAACATGAGCTCTGTGCAGATGTGGCAGTTGAGCTGTTTGCGCAGCTTCGTGAAATCGTCTTCGAGCGCCTGCAAGCGCTCGATCGTGTCCATTGCCTATTATTGCTTGTTGAGATGCTTTAGAGCGATTGCTCAGCGAAGGCCTGCAGTCCAGGAGTGTGCCGTCGCGGTGGGTGCAGGCTGTCGTAGGTTGGAAGTCGCTGCAGATTGTCAGATGGGAAAGCATATCCACTGTTATCCAGCAATACTGCAATAGTACAATCATGGTAGAGGGCAGGAAAACGGCCAGAGAGAGTGCAAGGCAAGGTACAACTACGAAGAGGAAGAGCACTATACGAAGGAAGTGGTGGCATTAAAAACACACAGCCTAGAAGTTCTCCGCATACGAGTACCGACGGTCAGGCTCCGATGCGTTGTTATGGACAATGGCAGGCGTCCGTTGGTTGTTGCTCGATTGCAGCGGCGGCAAGAAGGCGCTCATTCGGCCTGTACCCGACTGTAGCGTCGAAGATGGTTCAGTGATCGGGTAAGGCGCGCGATCTGCTGCACGGCCTGGGAGAGGACCTGGTGCAGCGCCATATTGACTGCGGCCCGGTGCATAGCGCTCATCCGGGAACTCCTGACGACGTGGACCAGAAGGCATGGTTGCAGCAGCTCCGCCAGCACCTGCAGCGGCTGCACCAGCGGACATGAGCGGCAGATTATCCTGAGCATGAGCAGACCCACTGTGTTCTGGCATGCCAAGGTCCTGGCTTCCATTGTCGAGTGGATATCCCGGTCCGGAGGAGAGCATGGTCGAGTGTCTCGGACTTGTCGGCGCTACAGAGTCCAGATCATCTTGCGCAAAAGTAGGCACGGTTGGTTCCTCCAGCCGACTGCGCCCAGAGGGACGTCGACCTGCCATGGCTGCACCGCCGGCCAACGCACCTGCACCAACAGCACCCACCGCTGCACCTGTTGCAAAATCACCACGTCCAGGCTGGAATGTACTGCCAGGAAGTGAGCCGGTCCCGCCGACACTGCTCCCTTGCGTCTGTCCCCATCCACGGTATCCGCCTTCACCCTGCGTCATGGCTGCCGTGCCAGCCGTTGCACCACCCGCATTCGGATCAAAAGAATAGGCATCTGCCTCTGCTTTACGCATCACCATTGCATCGCGGTTTCGCTTCCTTCTACGCCAAAAGAGAAATCCAAGTCCACCGAGCAAAGCCAGCACGACAACGGGCACAGCCACGGCAATACCGACCGTAGCACCTGTCGTAAGACCTGATTTTTCTGCATTTTGTGGGACAGCGGATGCGCTTGTCCGTGCTGTGGAGGATGAGCGGGGCGTCGTTCCGGTCGGTGTGAAGGGCACTGTTGATACTTGGGTCACCACGACAGGAGGTAGCTCAGTATTGTCTGGCTGTTGCGATGTGACGGTCACAAGAACGACTAGAGATTAGCGGAAAGGTTCATAGATGGTGAATGTAGTGTTACCGGACGGCGTTGGTGTCGCTGGCGCTTGCTGCTGAGTCGTCGGCGTCGTTCCAATCGGCTGATTCTGCGCAGCGGTAGATTGATTCTGTACAGCAGTCGAGGGAGTCGATGCGACAGTATTCTGATTGCCATTGCCGTTGTTGCCGTTGTTGCCGTTGTTGCCATTACTACTATTGTTGCCATTGCCATTGTTGCCATTGCTATTGCCATTGCTATTGCCGTTGCCGTTACCATTGTTGGTATTGCTATTGCCATTGTTGCCATTACCATTGCCGTTGTTGCCTGTCACTGCGGTAGGCAGAGGAGTCGCTTGAGCAGACATGAGTGCTTGCTAAGCAGATGCCTGGCTATGTCCAAGAGAGAGGTGAGGAGAGTGTCGCTGCTTTGAGCTGAGCTGCCAAGAAGAACTTGAAGGATATATAGGTGACCTCGATTGGCAGACACGGATGAAGGGGGGATTGAGGCAGCGACAAGGAGGGCCTGCTCTATAGCTGTGCAGCGAGTGTGCCCGAAGACGGAGGGGCAAGCGGAGCGAGTGTCGGGGTGTGTGGATGCCGGGGGGAAGGATGCTGGTGGTGGTTGTGGTACGGCTGAGATGGAAATTCAGATCCTTGGACAGGAACCGCAAAATCGGGACTATACCATAGTCAATATACCTAGAGCTGCTAGAGGATAGTAGAGAGAGAGAGAGAGACACGCTACAGCACCAGTGATCATCTACCACGGCTCGCATACGTTCCAGAGTGCCATCCACCCGGCATGTCAGGCATCCGACCCCGTGTCGGCCAACCAGGCTGCTCACCCACACCACCATGACCTCCAGACTGCTGCCAATGTCGATCACTCTGCCGACCATACGCATCCTGCCCATAGTAGCTACCATATGGTGCAGAGCCATCATCCGTGTAGTGCTGTGTAGATGCTTCCGGCATGTGCAAATGACCATAGTGCACCTCCTGACTCAGTGGCTCGGGCGAGACAGCCGTATGCCGCAACGGGGACGGTGTCAGTCGCCCTTGAGGTCGATGCGCCCTGCCAGGCGGCGCATGCATCCCCGTGAGCTGATCTGCTGGAGGTGGAGACGCTGATGCTTCATGAGACTTTCTGATGGCTGCAATCCGATACGCACCATCTTCTGCTTCACCAATTCGAGCAAGTGAATCCACCGACTCCCGATTCTTGGTGTTTTGTGGCAGCATATACGGCGCTGGCAACTCACCCAAGTCCAATGCTGGATCCTCTGGCACAGGCTTCGGCCTACCAAAGAAATCGCGCCTGACTTTCTGCCGCTGACCAAAGTCAGCGTGCTTGTGCTGCTTGTCTTCAACACGGAGACGATTGATGTTTCTGCAGTACAGCAGCGCCATTGCAAAGAGAAAGACGGCGAGGACAGAGAATAGGACGGATAGAACGACAGTCTTTACAGGTATTGCGGTGGTCCTGTGATCCGATTTGGGCTCATCGTTGGGAATGTACTTTTGGATGTTCATATTACTTGAGCCGTGCACGCGCGACAACAGCCACAGGTGTGGTAGGTCTCGCGCTTTTTACAGCGATTCTGTTGTTGCAGACTGTCAGATAGAATGAGGTTGCGGTCGAAGAGGTTCGATTCTGCGCACTTCCTGAAGGTCGATCAAGCAAAGCATTTCGGAGCAAACAAAGCAAGTGCTCGCCCCTGAATGCACAACGCGGTCTTTCTTTGAAACATTGCCAAGGCGAGCAAGCTCAGCCCCGATTCATTGTATTGCCAATCCCCTTTGGATTTTCTTCCGTGAATTTGTCCCAGCGAATCTTCTCAAGTCGCTCTTCCTCCTCAGAAGCTTCATTGTCTTGCACTGGCTTTTTCCCCTCAGGCGCCTTGTTTGCCGGAGCCATGATGCCGCCCGTCAATTTCTCCTGCTCTAGATACTCGTCAATAGTCATAGTAGGCAGACTATGATCTGCACCAAAGACGCCTCGTTTGAGTGTGTCACGATCGTGTTGCCCTGTGATGACAAACGAGCGCAGTGGCTATGGTTAGTCGTGTCGCATCGTCGATCAAACACTTACTCTGCCAGACTTGTCCAGCAATCCTGTTTCCCTCGGAGCATCTAGGCGCCACTGTGTTACATCCTTGCTTGCGCTGGTCCGTGCATTGGGGTCATCTCGAGGCCGGTCTGCCGTTAAAGGGTCTGGTGCCATGGCTAGTACGTTTAATTCGCTTTCAATAGAGTCGAGACCAGACACCGATCTTGTGATGGCAAGCTCAATAGCAGTGGAGTAGAGCTCGCGCAGATGTTCCGGGTCGTCACGCCCCTCGAGCAACGCAAGTGCCTTCTCGAGGTCTTGCTCCCTGCGGAACTGTTCAATCTTGTCTTGCCTGCGTGCTGCGGCATCCAGAGGCCGTCTCTGTTGTTTCACAACAGCTTGTACAGATGTACGAGATGATGCTGGCACGATCTCGTAGTCCAGACAGCGCTGGAGAAACGAGATGTACAGAACGCGTGCACGCTGCAAAGCCTCTTTCCGGCGGGAGAAATCCCTGCGTTCCTGCACGAGCTGTGCCAAGCGATACTCTGTAAGTAGATATCGAATCTCTGTATCTGTGATGTCTTCAAAGAGCTCATTATCACTGAAGAGCATCAGCTGTTCAATCAATTTGCTAGAAGCTTCATAGCCACGGATGGCCTTTTCAAGGGCAGCTGCATCCACAGTATCTTCAAAAAGACGACGCTGTGCCTCTGCCTCGTCGTAGGTCTCTTTCAAAGACATCTCAGCAGGTACAGAGCAAGTGGATAGAGGCGATGGACGGCATATGGTCGACGTTTCGAGGGGTTGCCAGAGATCTCACGTGCAGGCGAGATCGAAGCAGAATGACGGCAAAAGCGACACCCAAGACCTACACGGCTCACCTACTTCTGCTTAAGGCAACCTCATTCGCGCAATAGAGAAGCCTGTGCGAGGGATAGCACACAGAGTAGCTGCAGTGAAAGACTACGCGTCACAACTGAGCATTCTTCGACCGCGCGGCCCTGCATTGCTTGGATAGTGGCGAAGAGACCCACAGCACCCCCTCAGCATTGACTTGAGCGTGCAGCCATGGAGGCCCTCTTGAATTTCGACAAAGAGCTGGACATTGCATTGCTTGATAGGATCGTCCAGACATTCTACACAGGTTCAGGCGCGCAGGTACGCGTTCATTCTTGCTTTAAAGGACATCTCTGACAGCACAGCAAAGAGAAGCCCAAACCATTCTCTCTCAGTTCCAGGATCATCCCAACGCGTGGACTAAAGTGGATGCAATCTTGGAAGGCAGCTCCAATCCACAGTCAAAGTGTAAGATTCGCCAGCACTGATGAAATTTGGCTAATACCAGTTATTGCCCTTAGCATACTCGACAAGCTCATTACAACGCGCTGGAAAGTCCTCCCGAAGGAGCAATGTCAGGGCATTCGCAATTACATTGTGTCTGTCATGATCAAGACTTCGAGTGACGAAGCTCTCATGAATAAGGAAAAGACCTACCTGAATAAGCTCAACCTGACGCTTGTCGCGGTATGTCTCATGCATCAATACACTCATCGTCTAACCTTAGATACTCAAGCAGGATTGGCCCAAGAATTGGCCGACATTCATTCCTGAAATTGTGCAGGCCAGCAAAACCAACTTGTCGCTGTGCGAAAACAACATGGTCGTGCTCAAGCTACTGTCAGAGGAGATCTTTGACTACAGCGCCGAGCAGATGACGCAGCAAAAGACCAAGAACCTCAAGAACCAGATGGCGTCCGAATTCTCAGAAATCTTCCAGCTGTGCTCGGAAATTCTCGAGAAAGCGCAAAAGCCTAGTCTCATCAAGGCCACCTTGGAAACCTTACTACGCTTCCTCAATTGGATTCCGCTTGGCTACATTTTTGAAACGCCCATCATCGAGACCCTGCGCAACCGATTCCTCGATGTTCCGGAGTTTAGAAACATCACGCTCAAGTGCTTGACTGAGATTGCAGGACTTCAAGTCGTCTCGCAATACGACGACAAGTTTGTGGCAATGTTGAACATGGTGATGCAATCCATGAGCAATAGCATCCCACTGCAAACAAACTTTAAGGATGCGTACGAAGCCGCCAGCTCACAGGATCAAGATTTAATTCAAAACCTGGCCCTCTTCCTGTCTACCTTCCTGTCTGCTCACGTCAAGCTTGTCGAAAATCAAGCCAACCGCGACGTTATGCTCACCGCTCACTTTTACCTCGTCAAGATATCTACTGTCGACGAGCGGGAAATCTTCAAAATTTGCCTCGAGTATTGGTCAAAGCTGGTGGCGGAGCTCTACGAAGAGATTCAGCAGCTTCCGATCCACGACATGAACCCTCTCGTGACCTTGAATATTTCGGCAGGATTGGCAAACGGCGGTGCGGCTCATCCCAACTTGCTTGCCAACATGCCACTTCGCAAGCACATGTACGCGGAAGTTCTCTCAAACTTGCGTGTCGTTATGATTGAAAAGATGGTGAGACCAGAGGAGGTCATGATTGTGGAGAATGATGAAGGCGAAATCGTACGGGAATTTGTCAAGGAGTCCGACACCATCACCCTCTACAAGAGCATGCGAGAATGCCTGGTGTATTTGACACACTTGGATGTGATCGATACAGAAATGATCATGTCTGAAAAGCTGTCCCGCCAGGTCGACGAGTCGGAGTGGTCATGGAACAACCTCAACACTCTTTGCTGGGCCATTGGTTCCATCTCAGGTGCCATGAATGAAGAGACTGAGAAGCGCTTTCTGGTCACAGTCATCAAAGACTTGCTTGGTCTCACGGAAATGAAGCGCGGCAAGGACAACAAGGCGGTTTGCGCTTCCAACATCATGTACATTGTTGGCCAATACCCACGGTTCCTCAAGGCGCACTGGAAATTTCTCAAGACTGTCGTCAATAAGCTATTTGAATTTATGCACGAGACACACGAGGGGGTGCAGGACATGGCTTGTGACACATTCATCAAGATCGCTCAGAAATGCAAAAGACACTTTGTCGCTCAGCAGACTGGTGAGCATGAACCATTCATTGATGAGATTATTCGCAGCCTGCACAAGATCACATGTGACCTATCTCCACAACAAGTGCATACCTTTTACGAGGCGTGTGGCCACATGATTTCTGCACAACCTCAAAAGCCCATTCAGGAACGGCTGATTGCTGAGCTGATGGCATTGCCAAATAGCGCGTGGGACAACATTATTGCACAAGCTGGGCAGAATATCGAAGTGCTCAACAATAACGAAACAATCAAGATTCTGGGTAACGTTCTCAAGACTAATGTTGCAGCGTGCTCTTCAATTGGACCCTACTTCTATCCACAAGTGGCACGTATCTACATGGATTTGCTAGGACTGTACAAGGCAGTGAGTCAGGTTGTCTCTGATACTGTAGCAGCACAAGACGCGATTGCGACCAAGACACCCAGAGTGCGTGCATTGCGCACGATTAAGAAGGAAGTGCTCAAGTTGATTGAAGCCTACGTCGAGTGTGCGGACGATCTGTCGTCAGTGAGCAACAATCTGATCCCTCCTCTTCTTGAGGCAGTCTTGTCAGACTACAACCGAAACGTGCCGGACGCGAGGGACGCCGAGGTGCTCAACATGATGGCTGCTGTCATTAGCAGACTCGGTGGGCTCATTACAGACAAGGTGCCTGCAATCATGGATGCGGTGTTTGAGTGCACGCTTGAAATGATTAATAAGGACTTTGCTGAGTTTCCTGAGCATCGTGTCGCATTTTTCAAGTTGCTCAGAGCCATCAATTTGCATTGCTTCACAGCCCTGCTCAGCTTGCCTCCGCAAAAGTTCAAGCTCGTCATTGACAGTCTATGCTGGGCGTTCAAGCACACGATGCGGGACATTGCCGAGACGGGCCTCAACATTTGCCTCGAGCTCATCAACAATATCGCAGCGGCCGATCAGAATATTGCGAATGCGTTCTACCAGTCCTTCTTTTTGCTGCTTCTGCAGGACATCTTCTTTGTCCTTACAGACAGCGACCACAAGTCTGGCTTCCGCATGCAGAGTGTCATTCTAGCTCGCATGTTTGGCTTGGTCGAGTCGAATGCCATCGCCGCTCCACTTTATCAACCGAATCAGGTGCAGAATCCATCGACCACAAATGCGCAGTTCTTGCGTGATTATGTCGTCAGCTTGCTACAGAATGCCTTCCCGCACCTGCAGCTTGTTCAGATTCAGCAATTTGTGCAGGGTCTCTTCTCCCTCAACCAGGATCTACCAAAGTTCAAGCTCAACCTGCGCGACTTCCTCATTAGTATAAAGGAATTTGCTGGCGAGGACGATGTCGAGCTCTTCCAGGAGGACAGAGAAACAGAGATTGAGGAGAGACAGAAGGCAGAGCGTCAAAAGGCAATGCAGGTACCTGGTATGCTCAAGCCTTCACAATTGAATGAGCCAGAGGAGGAGCTTTGATTATGACTTTTCATATCTAAACTTGTCCACTTTGACTTCGTCATCAATGAGCTGGTAGACGTACAAAACCAGTACGCTACCGGAAATGTCCATGAGCACAAAAGTCGGTGTTGGTTCCTCTCCTTCAGGCCACCAGCCAGACTGCACTGCACCTGTCGCGCTACCCGGGTTGATGAAAAACTTGCCTTCTAGTTCATACGCCTCGAAGCGATGTGTCGAGCCCCAGATGAGCACATCCACGTCCATTTGACGCGCTGCAATCAAAAGCGCATCTGAGTCTCCACTCGGCACAATGGTATGCGCATTGATGACGCCGAGCCGTATAGGACCGTGTGTAATGGTCTTTGAGGATGGTAAATTGGGCTGCTCATCACTATCGCCCTTGACAACATGCAAATCCGGTGCAATGCGTCGTAGAAAATCGTACGTCTCGTGGTCCGATAGATTGCCCGTTGATAGAGTCTGTGCAATCTTGTTGGGTACTAGGAGCTTCTTGAACTGTGGCTGTCAGCGTGCGGCAATGGAAAAGAGCTTGTGTACCTTGGCTGGCAGGTCTGCGGCCCTGCTCGGGATGTACAAGTCCCCGATGACCAGGACCAGCATGTTGCGCGTGCAAGTAGCGCGTGAATGACGACGATGCGTTGTGGTTCAGCGTCAAATCGTGAAACGCGACTGAGCGACACCTCAGTAGCTTGGAAGGATTCGACAGGGAAGCGTTCGACTGGGATGGTCTTTTACTTTGCATCCGGTGATCATGTCATCTACATGGGCAAGGACAAGTACGAGAATGAAAAGCTGATTGCTTTTGGCCAGCAAGACGACGTCTGGTTCCATGTCGACAACTTGAGTTCAGCGCACGTCTACCTGAGACTGCGCGCAGGAGAGTCCTGGGAGAGCATACCGGAAGACTTGCTCAAGGATTGTGCACAATTGACAAAGGCCAACTCCATCGAGGGATGCAAGAAGGACAATGTCACCATCATCTACACTCCCTGGTCCAACCTCAAAAAGGATGGCAGCATGACTGATGGGCAAGTCGGCTTTCATCGAGACAAGGTAGTACGCAAAGTGTTTGTCAAGACAAGGGAAGGGCCGATCGTAAACCGTCTCAACAAGACGAAGGAAGAGCGTCATCCTGATTTGCAGGAAGAGCAGCGACAGAACCAGGTCAAAAGGCAGCGAGAAGCCAAGGCACACTGGAACGTCCAGGTGAGCTATCTCCTTCAGTATAATGATCTAACAGCAGAAAAACATTGAGGAGAAGCGTGCAAGAGAGCTCAAGGCCATTGCCGATGAGAAGAAGGCAGGCTACTCTTCATTCTTGACTGAGGAAGCTATTGAAGCTACAGCGAATGATCGTACCTCTGATTATGACCCAGAAGAAGACTTTATGTGATGTTTGGTCATGAGGCTAAGCTGTTTGGAGATACATAAGCCATCTGTTGGAGGTTGAGGCCTTGTCAGGTTTGATGCTATCTGTTGACTGGTGGCACCTGTATCGACTCGTTGTGCCCATCGAGGGTGGAGGTTGCATCAATCAATTCGATCTTATCTTCCTCTGGCGCCGTCATACTCACGATGGCTACCTCTCGCTCTGCATTACCTTCATCCGCAGAAAGCCTGGGTTGGTTTGGCAGAGCCTCATGACTTCTGTGTTCCCTTTCATGCTGGGAGCCTGGTAAAGTTACTTCAGACCATTCAGCTTTCTCGTGAGCCATGCTGGGCCTTACTGGCACTTGAGGCACTGGTCGGGCTCTTTGCGGCAGGGATGGTGGCGGATTCGCTGGACTCGCAGCTGCTGGTTGTGTATTCTCACACTTGTGCTCTACGAGCATGTCTGGCGTCATCTTGGCGCCACACTGACTGCACTTGACATTGATGATATCGAGGTCATCGTAGTTGGGTGGCGCGACACCTGGCATGGGAGGCCTTTCGCTCGGTGCATCGCCCGCTGGGATCAGCGACAAGTCTACTTTTTGTCCCTCAGCTGCTCTTAGCGTCTGTAGGAGTCCCTGTGCTTCGACTGGCATGCGTACTTTGCCAGCAAGGATCTCTCTAGCTGAGTACCTGCCGTAGTAGAACTTTGCATTTTCGTCATTCCTTTCCAGAACGAATGAGCCGTCGACTGCTATTAGTAGAGTGGATGGGAAGTGATTTCATACGTTGAGCTCCAGCGTATAGGCCTTTGGATTTGACGTAATACCATGCTGGAGGCTGTCTGTAGCCAGCGTCCACAATTGCTGCATGACCGACTGGGCCAGCAACAAGACTGATATCTGCACCAAGCGTGACTTTTGGATTGCAGAACGACTCGACTGCCATCTTTGTGTTGAGCAAGATGACGACGTCGTAGACGTCAAGACCTACGAGGAATCCGAAACTGAAGGTATTGACGATGATGCCAGACGGTGCTGACCAAGTGCCGTCGTCTGTGCGCGCCATGACGAGGCCACCGCCACTTCCACCGCCAATCACGAGGCCTGATCTGAAGACCGTAAAGATGGCAATTCCCTGAGCTGCCTTGATGGCATCGGCTGGGATGCGCTGAATGACCTTTTGTTGCTTCTTGGCGGCATGAGCATCCAGGACATTCAATTTCTCCGGCGCATGTTCGCGGTCAATTGTAAAGACGCGCAGGATCCTGGATGCTTTATCGCACTCGCTCGGCATGTCTGTAGGCCAGACTGCTTCCGCGCCAAGCTTGCCGGCCCAGCGATTCATGGGTACACCGACGTACTTTTCACTTGCATCCCAGACTTTGTCGAAGCCGACCTTGGATTTTTCCTTGAGGCCTTGGAAGCTGAAGGGCATGCTTGCGATATTTTAGTGCAGGTCTTTACGATTGCAGTAGATAGATGGCGAGCAGGTAGGTGGTAGCCACTGGTTGGGCTGTCATCAATGACATTGTGCGCGTTTAAGTGCGTGCTTCATTCTCGGGAAAGATGAAATGATCATTTAATGATGCGAGTTTGCTATAGACGCAGCCTTGCTACACTGCAGGTAGAGAGGTGTGAGCATTGCGTCCTCTGTCGCAGTCTCGCTCCTCATTCGTTGCGTTTGTTTCCTGCTCGCGGCTCAGCATAAAGAGGCAGCCCTTCCCCCTTGCCTTCCTCTACCCAACCAACACACCCAACAAACATGAATCCTGATGAGCACGCACCGTAAGCTGTCATTCTCGTCATCGCACACGCGTTTTGCTCACCTCCTGAGTCGAGAACAACCGGCATCAAGTAAATGGTGGATCCTCAGCACCGTCTTAACGGCGTTGCTACTCCTCGTCGGCGCCACCGTTGCAGCGCATGTGGCAACATCCTACCTGAATAAAAAGTGGGCTGTTATGAGCAGGGTCCCATGTTGCTGGCACACTTACTCCTTATTCAGGTAGGTGATTGCCACATGACCGGCAATCGTCACCCCTACTGACAGAAGCACTGCCGTTAGAGCGATGCTGAGGATCCACCATTTGATGGATGCCGGTTGCGACTAAGGAGGTGAGCAAAACGCGTGTGCGATGACGAGAACGACACACCCACATCCAAACATGGATCCTGATCAGCACGCACCGGAAGCTTTCGTTCTCGTCATCGCACACGCGTTTTGCTCACCTCCTGAGTCGAGACCAACCGGCATCCTTTAAATGGTGGATCGTCACCATCGCTCTCACGGCGTTGCTCCTGCCTCTTGGTGTCTTAGTTGCAGGACATGTAGCTCACGTCTATTTGAATAAGGAGTAAGTGTGCCAGCAACATGTGACTTTGCTAACTACAGCTTGCCTCCCTCGGCAGAAGTCCTTGCCATTCGAAATCATACGGAAATTATCCAGCACAAGCTCGAAAAGCTTAAAGGGAGGCAGAGCTTCTTGCTCTACGCAATAACACCGAGGCTAGTTGTGTTGTTGAGCCAGCAGCTGGGTGAGGCGATCGACACTCTCATTAAGCTTTTGGAGGTTGAGCTGAATGACTTCGGTGTGATTTCGCAGGGCAAGGAGCTCTGCCGAGGGAGGCAAGCTGTAGTTAGCAAAGTCACGTGTTGCTGGCACACTTACTCCTTAATCAAGTAGCGTGTTGCCACGTGACCGGAGACTGCGACACCGACTGGCAGCAGCAATGCCGTTAGAGCGATGCTAAGTAGCCATCATTCGATCCCTCGATCTGGTTGTACGTGACTAAGGAGGTGAGCAAAACGCGTGTGCGATGACGAGAACGACAGCTTACGGTGCGTGCTGATCAGCAGGATCCATGCTTGGATGTGGGTGTGTTGTGGTTGGGTAGAAGAAGGCAAGGGGAAAGGGCTGCCTCTTTATACTCAGCCGCGAGCAGGAAATGAAGGCAACGAATGAGGAGCGAGACTGCGACGCTCTCCAGGTACAGCGGCAAAGAGAGAGACGCCATGAAGCTGGTAGACACGTAGAATCTTCTGTGAGAGCGTACCGTACCCAGCGGCAAGCATTGGCCATGTGTAACGAACACGCAGCCTTAAACCTCGCATCCGACTTTCCCGCACCACATGCTCTAGCAACTCATCGCGGCTCTTCTACCTTCCGCCATTCAACGACGCTTATCACCTCAGCACGTTGCCTATCGTCCCGCGCCTAGCTTCCTCGCTTCCGGCAACGCTCTGTCACGTTGTCCTTACTCGCTCTCTTACTCGTCGACGACGTCTACCACGTCGTCCCTTGTTCTGTCTCTTCCTTATCTCGCAGCTCGGACATCTCCACTGGGCTCATGCAATCTCGCTTCCCCTCTTCTTTCACTGTTCTCCTGCTGAGAGTCGGCTCCCGTGGGCTCCATCCCCATCATCGCCATCCGCTCTCATGCTGGTACCTGGTAGACATAAGTAGGCAGCCTTCCGCTGTCTTGTTCCTTAGTTTACAATTTCTATTCTTGTCCCCTACATCTCGCCCAAGTCCTGTCTTCAGCACAAGCATTCGTCCTGTCCTGTTCGCCCTTCGTCACACTTTGTAAACTCAACAAAGCTTGTACAGGCACTCCAGTATGTCGTCAGTCCCCGACGTACCTTCCGCCCAGTCTGATGTGCCTTCGCCTCAGGCCGACGGGCTTCCCTCTCGCCAAGCTCTTCTTGCTATGCAAGAGACCATGATGCAGCGCATTGCACAGCTCGAGGCCTTCGCCGCAGCTGCTACCGCCTCAGCAGCCGCCTCACCACCCGTCCCTGCACCCACACCAGCAGCCAACTGGGCCAAGACTGCCGTCAAGATCGCGGACCCTAAACCCTTCGACGCCGATCTTCTTGGTCAAGACGTGCGCAACTTCGCCGCATCCTGTCGCCTCAAGATGCAGGCCTGCCCTTACCTCTTCCCAAATGAGGGCATAGCCATCGCCTGGATTCTCCAACTCCTCCAAGGCGATGCGGCGAAGTGGCGCGACGCGCGTGCAGTGGCGGACCCCACAACTGGCCTCATCTCGTTTCCTGGACTGCCAGATGCCAATGCAGTTCTCGACGCCCTCATCCAGTCCTTTGCAGTCCGCGATCCCGTGTCAGATTCAAAGAAGCAGCTCGCCACCCTCAAGCAAGGAAAGGAGACCTCCGTCAGCGTCCACCTGGTCGAGTTCGAGCGTCTCACTCTGGTCTTGAATATCACTGAGGAGACCAAGTGCGACATGCTTCTCGGCACACTCAACGAGAAGTTCACCGAGGCCCTCTTCAAGCTCGACGAGGTGGTCGACAACAACTACGCGGCCTTAGCGCAGCAGGTTGTCAAGGTGGAGTCGCGTATCCAGAAGCGCGAGAATCTCGCAAGGCGCTTGAACAATTCCACTGCGGACCTCGCCAGAGTCGCAAAACGCGACCACCCCTATCAACCTCTGCAGCAGCGCCTTCGCCCTGTTGCCTCGACGTCGCAGGCGCCTCAGCCGATGGAAATCGACTCCGCCACATTCCGGCCCTTGACTCCCGCTCAGAGGCGAGCGCGAAAAGAACAACGCATCCGGGACGACCTTTGTGTTTACTGTGGTGGAGCAGGTCACTGGCAAGACAAGTGTCCAAAAAAGCCTCGGCAGTCCCCAAATGGACCCGGCAGGAACCAGTAGGGCACTCCTGGGACCGGGCCATTCAGGACCCTCACGCGCCTTCGCTTTTGTCTGTTGTAGACGATAGCGCAAATCTCTGTCTTTTCTCCATCTCTCTGCCTCCTCTCTCGTCTCATCCGCAAAGTGTCTTGCCTGTTACCGTCTCCCATGGTGATAGGTCCCTCGACACGTTTGCCCTCCTAGATTCCGGTGCAACAAGTTGCTTCATCAGCGCAGCTTGTGTGGCCCGAGGCCGATTCCCAACCGTGACCCTTGACAGCGCAATCCCGCTGAAAGGCTTTACGGGCAAGGAACTCGAGTCTGCCTCTCAATTCACGTCTCCCCTTCGCAATGACCATTGGTAACCACCAAGAATGCCACCACTTCGTCGTTGCTGAGCTCTCCGGCTTACGATCTCATTCTTGGCACCACTTGGCTTGCGAAAGCCACAATCCTGTTATCGACTGGTCTGCGTCCACAGTCCAGTTCCCGGCCTCGTGCAAGGCGCACATCAATCAATCGCCTGTCCAACACGATGCCGCTCCTCCAGTCAATGCCAACGTCATGCAGATCCACATGGTGTCGCTCAAGTCTTTCGCCCGGCTAGCAAAAACTCACGATGTTCTCCACATCGATCTCGCCGACATCTACTCCGACGTCGAGCCAGACCTGCTACGCGCGGATACCGGACAAATATCACGTCCTTCTCCGCATCTTCTCGAAGATTCAGGCTGCCCGCCTTCCCGATAATGCTGCTTACGATCACAAGATTCCTTTGTTCCCGAGCACCTCGCCTCCTTCGACGGCGCTTTATCCCATGAGTGCAGAGGAACTGAAAATCCTCAAGGAATACTTGGACGAACAGCTCAAGCTCGGCAATATCTCTGTTTCCGAAAGTCCAGCTGGCGCATCTGCCCTTTTGTCAAAAAAAAGGACGGGTCTCTGCGTCTCTGTATCGACTATCGCGGTCTCAATGCCATCACCGTCAAGAATCGGGCTCCTCTTCCTCTCATCTCTGAAACCTTGGATCAATTGCACCATGCAAAGATTTTCACCAACTTGGACCTCCGCGGCGCATACAACTTACTGCGTATTGCGCCGGGAGATGAATGGAAGACCGCATTCAAGACTCGTTACGGGCACTACGAGTACAACGTTATGCCTTTTGGACTTACCAACGCTCCCGCTTCTTTCCAGACGTTGATGAACACTGTGCTTCAACCTTTCCTCGACAAATTCGCCGTCTGCTATCTTGATGACATCCTCATCTACTCCCAAACGCAGGACGAGCACACTGAACATGTTCTATCAGTTCTCAAGGTTCTCGACGAGCACAATCTCTTCGTCAAAGCGGAAAAATGCGTCTTCGACGTCGACACGGTCGAATTTCTTGGTTATGTCGTGTCTCCCACCGGCATTGCAATGGACCCCGTCAAGGTCAACGCCATCATCAATTGGCCTCAACCAAAGTCAGTCCACGACGTCCAAGTGTTTTGTGGTTTCGCCAACTACTACCGTCGCTTCATCTCCAACTACAGCAAGATTGTCAAGCCGCTCTACGCTCTCACAAGCAAGGCGACCAAAGTGTTCCTTTGGAACGATCAAGCTACCGCGGCATTCACTCAGCTCAAATCATTGTTTTCTTCTGCCCCTATCCTCGTTCATTTCGACGCAGACAAGCCAGTGGTCATTGAGACTGACGCCAGCGACTTTGCACTTGGCTGTGTCATGTCCCAAGCCGATACAAACGGGATCCTTCGACCCGTGGCTTTCCACAGCCGC